TGCACTACGGTAGGTAGAATAGATTTCTCCACTTCTTATTTCAAAGTTTTGTCCCTTGAAATCTATTCAATTGCGAACTGTACTGGCAGAAAAGAATGCTCTAGTTTTACTTTCTATCCTGGGAGAAAATGCCCACAGAGAATATTTTGCCTCTTCTAAGAATCCATCCCCAACAATTTTTCTCCTGGGGATGTCCCAACTTCTTTGCTAGAGTTTACTTTTTAATATTCTGATCATCTTTTGGTGGTGTTCTCCAAGGTTCTTTGTTAACTGGGTCTCTCTATGTCTCTATGCCCTCATTTCTCTTGTTTCTGCTTTTTTTTTTTAAAGCTGTACTTTGTACCTTTTACAGAATTGCTGCATAGCTCAATTCTTACCTGGATTGCCTGAAATAGCAGTTCTACAGAACAGAATTCATCAAGAGTTCCTATTTGATGAATTTGAGCCCTTCTTTATTGCTTTTCCTTCATTTCATTTTTTAAGATTTTATTTATTTATTAGAGAGGTAAAATTACAGAAAGAGAGGGAGAGACACAGAAAAAGGTCCTCCATACATTGGTTCACTCTCCAAATGGCTGCAGCGACTTGAGCTGGGCCAATCTGAAGCCAGGAGTTCTTTTCCAGGTCTCCTACCTGAGTGCAGGGGCCCAAGCACTCGCGCTGTCTTCTGCTGCTTTCCCTGGCCATAACATAGAGCTGGATTGGAAGAGGAGCAGCCAGGACATGAATTGGCATCCATATGGGATACCAGCACCACAGGTGGAGGCTCAGCCCACTACACCACAGCACCAGCCCCCATCATTTCAATTTAATTCGAAAACAAAAAGGCTGAACACAGAATAAATAAATAAGTGAAGGAGAATAGATCTCTCATACAACAGAATTCTAAATAATGTGTGCAAAGCCTCTCTCTTCAGTGAAGTGGAGCCTAACTCTGTCCTTTAAAGCATGGCCTGTGCTTAAGTGTCTTCCTTTCAAAGAGTATGGTGTTAGCCACAGAGGTCGCTATACAGTGGGGTAACCTGACACACACTTTCTTGGTCAGTGACTTAAAAATACCAGGGAGAAGTCACGCGAATAGCACATCCCTGCATATCATGGAATAAGAATGACAGGTTATTTCCATGGACTTCCTCCCCCAAACCTGAAAATCCACTCTAGTCATGAGAAAGAACATGAGAGAACCCAGCTGAAGATCATCCTACAGAATATCCACATGCAGCAGTGCACACAGAACTGTCAGAGTTGTTCCTGCGTTTGAATTGTAACCAGTGCAGTCATGACCATGCGTTCCGTTTTCACTGTGAAAATTGCTATCAGATGCAAACAAAAGCAAAGGAAAGGCATTCCAGAATTTTAATTGTTTCTATTTTGGAATCTAAAACTTTTCTAATACAAATTTAACTTGCTGCTCTAGCCTTATTATGACCTTATTTCCTCTTTTTACAATGGTTTCTCACATTCTATTTATTTTTCTTTGAAAATTGTAGGCTTTAACAATTTTGCTGTGTTTAACTTAGATATTAAAATTTATCATCGTATGCTTGTAATTGACAAGTAATGCTATTTTGTTTGAAAATTGGGAAGAAAATTGTAATAACCATGGCTTAGAAGAAGTGTTTTCATAATGAGAGCCTAAGTGCTCCTATTTCAGATCAGATAGTTGGAGCTTTTATGGTGTTAATGTACACTGTTAGTTAGAATTAAACAACTGATTTAGTATAATTAACTGCTTATGAGTTCTTAAACTGATAAAGAATACTTGGTCTCATTTTTAAGTTGCTTGAACAATATGAAAATAAAGCACCTAATTTTTCGGTAAGAATTGATTGTTCTTTAGATTGTATATTTAGTCTATATAGGAATAAATTACATGTTTTTAAAAAGCCTAAGAAGAAAAGACAAATATTGGTAATTGTTCCTTTTGCAAGGTGTTTACTGTAATTGCTCTGTTTAAATATTTGAAAGCCTCCATGTTGCCACATGAACAATTGTGACAAGTGGGGGAAGTTTCTATATTTAAAATTTAATTTAGCAAATTGACATTTTCTATTCCCTTTTCTAATATTCTCCTATTCTGACAGATCACTATTTTAAAACAAAATGCAAGACACCCATTTGACTGTCATGTAGAATTAAACATGAAAAGATGAGATGCTGTGACTATCACTTTTCATGAAAACCAGCTGCTCTGATTTTGAAACGCAAACCAGATCAAAATTGATCCAGGGAGTTTTAATGTAGACACTGAGTGAGCCACCTTGTTTTGAAAGAACACTTTTTTTCTTGTTGTGGTTAACTTTGAAGCAAACTTCCACGTCCGTCTCGTTTGATCATTACACCAGCTCTGTGAGCTTGACGTACCAAGAATTACCTCTGTGTTACTGATGAGAAGATTGAGCCAGAGGCTTGACATGCCTAGGCCATTCAGTGCCAGAAATAGTGTTAGAATTCCAGTCTCTAATTGCAGTTGCCTACGTCCTAATAAGCCCATTAGCCTTTGGTCCATAATGTTATTCCAGGCCTCTTGGCCCCAGTTCTTGAATGCAGCAATGGTGTACTCCTATAGGCTTATGAGAACTAATTGTGAAATGCTTTGGAATTTTGTAAACTGCCGTTAAACCGCTGATAGCTTGAAATCTGCCATTTATACCGTAGAAATCAGTAAGCACTGACATATCAGCCCCACCCCCACTCCCCATAGGTTTGTAGCACACTGTTTATTGTATCTAGTCTGGACTGATGCAGGAAAGCAAAAAAAAAATAATAATAAAATAGACTATGACTATGTACTACAAACATGTATTTATAAGTGCAGTAGTTACCAGGGTAGAGGTCAGTATTTCTCAGTTTCTTGCTTTAGAAGTTTGCATTTAAGTAGTGAATAATTAAGAACAGCACTATCCAAAAAGCTTTGATTTCAACTTGAATGTTGGAGGATGATTGCAAATCATTCCTTAAGAACTGGGTCAAGTCCCAGATCTTCCCAGGAGCTGTGGCAGTCTGCAGGGCTTTTCCTTGTCTCAGCCTCTGTTGGATTTAAAACAGAGCCACATGTTTTACTTATTTACTATTTGTCTCACATGAATTAATTTTGTCTCCTGAAGAGGACAAACCCTTTGACAAACCACTCAACCCTTTGAAAACAGAGAAATAGACTTCTCTATTTTAGAAAAAATATATTATGAACACCTATTCAATTCTTGGTGTACTTCTTATTTTTTTTAAAGATTATTTATTTGAAAGAGTGATGGGAGAGAGGGAGGGAGGGAGGAGAGAGGAGTGAAAGGACAGGGAGGGAGAGAAGGGAACCTGCATTCACTGGATCACTCACCAGGGAACTCCCTCAGCGTCTTCCCTGTGTATGACAGGGATGGAAGCACCGAGGCCATCATCCACTGCCTTCCCAGGTGCATTAGGAGAAACTGCATTGGAAGCAGAGCAGTCAGGACTCAAATGGGCACTCTGATATGTAATGGGGCATCTCAAGTGGTGGCATAACTCCTTGCACCAACCACCTGCCCCCCTTCTTATTTCTTGAGAAACAACAGTTGTCAATCAAAATCACCTGTTCTTTTGGAGCTACTAGTCTAGCAAAGAGTCAGGAATTTAAAGAAATGAAAATTTGTGACTGTGGCAAGTGCTTTGAAAAAATTTGTTTAGAGTGTGGAGGGTTTCTTATGGTGGGGTTTTATCTGTTCAAGAAGGTCAGTAAAAACATTCCTGAGAGCATTGTGATTGAACTGAGGGCTGAAGAAAAGAATCAACTTACCAGGTCTCAAATGTGATGTTTTTATGCAGCCTTTCTATCCTCTTCCAATCTGAAATAAATTCCTGGCCATCTGCCCTTCTGCAGCCTGAATTTCTCTTTATAATAGTAATTGTAATTTATACCTTTATATTTATTTACTAAGTGCCTGTTTTTCTCCACCAGACAGTTGGGCCTATGGACCCATGTCTGTTTTGTTCACGTTAGGAGTCCTAGTGGCTGTCATAGAGCCTGACATGGCCATGCCCTGTTGGTTAGTGCTTCTACTCCTTTTGCTCTTATCTTGTAATAAAATAGGGCATATCTAGCCTAACTCTTAGTGATTGAGAGGGCATAACAATGTAATGTGTATACAAAGACAAAAGTCAGGAAAACACAAGATTCAGAAAAATTTAGTGACACAGAACCCAGGGAAGAGCAAATATCCTGGAGTAGAAATAAACCAGGTGTAGCTGTGTTGGTCTAGAAGGAAAAAAAGAAAAGGCCATTTCAGTTGGCAGAAAGAAAGTTTTACTTATTATTCATTTGAATGAAACACCTTGTTCCACTTGTAAAATAGATTTTAAAAATGGTCTCTGAAGTTAAATATCGGGCGTTGATTTGTAAAAGTATTTTCTTGAGAAAAGAGTAATGTGTAAATCAGCACTTTGTTGAAAAAAAGATATATTCAAGCGTATGCTTATAGGATGTTGGCAGATGTGCTTTGAAGGCAGGGAGAAATGAAAGGAAGAAGGAAGGAGCCAGGAAAGAGAACCAGGAGAGCAGTTCACAGGACGTTTCCATTTTATCTCTAAGTGATCGGACTCGGGCTGGTATTTTTTCTGTTTGTGCTCTTCTGTACAAGTTTCCAGATGTCATGATTCTGTTTTACAATAAAGCAATAAAATATTATCTCACAACATAAACAATTGGTAAGAAGTTTGGACAGAGTATATATGAACATGATACAATGCTTAGAGGACTGAGGACTACATTTTAGATTTTTTTTTTACTCACCTAGATTTGCTTGAAATGTTAGTGTGTTAACGTTCAATACCAATTGGGTCTTTGCTTCTATGTCCACCTCTACCCTTGGAGCCTGATCTTGAGTGGGGAGATCTTTAACTCTGTGTCTCTAGTATCATCCCTGCAAGGGACCCATATTTGTTGAATGAATAACTTGAGACTGAAGTGTATTGCTGCTTTTATTACCTTTAATCTGTGAACTTTTTATTTTTTTTTTCAAACATAGGAGTGAAAGATAGGATGAACGGTCATATTTCCAATCATCCCAGTGGTTTTGGAATGTACTCATCTCCAGTGAAGTAAGTTGAAATATTTATATTTATTCTATGGAGGGATTTGAGTTGGTGATTTTAATTGCTAATTGATTTTTGATTTATTTGAATGACAGAGACAGAAAGATATTCACTCCCAAATACTGATAATAGCTGGGCTGGGTTAAGAGTCAGGAGACTCAATCTGGGTCTCCCTCCTGGATGGCAGGGACCAAAGTATTTGGACCAGCACCTCTTCCTTCCATGCTATGCATTAGCAGAAAGCTATAATTGGAAGTGGGGCTGAAATTTAAACCCTAGAACTTGGATATAGATAAGGATATCCCAAGCAATGTTTTAACTGCTATGCCAAATGACTGCACTTTGGTTTACATTTTAAATGAAAATGTTTCATTTCTTAATGTACTTTTATGTCATTAATATGTACTAACATGTTATCATTAAAAGTTTACTGTTTCTGATAAAGAGTAAAATGATGAAGTAATTATTAACCCCAGTGACAGAGATCTCAGAATTGGGCGATGTTTCAGTCTGATATTTTTACCATTATGGTTTTTTAGAGTCAAATATATACTCTATTTCAGAACTTTGAGTGTTTCTGAAGCATCCTATTACTGTTATTCATACAATATTGGCATTGGAGGAGGATTAAATGTCATTTAGACGAGAACACCAATATAGCTAACACCAATATAGCTAACAGGCTATAAAATGAAACAAATGAAAAAGATCAGGCAAACAAATAATCCCAGCAGCCTAGGTATAACCTGAAATTATAACCTTGACTCAAGTGACCATTGTCATATATATTGTGGTTGATCCTGGTCCTTGATATTGGCTATTGTGGGATATATTTCACTAATCAGCTTCCGTGACAGGTGATACTACTAGATGGAGAGAATGAAGATCTTATTTTTAAGCATGATGTAAAAACCTTCAGTCTGGCTGCCTTTTCTTCTCCATGCATTCCTCAGTTCTTGAGCACATCCCATTAACTGCACTTTGCTGCTTCTTGAGTCAGTTCCCTATGCTTTCTCCTCACTTGGTTCTCCACCTGTCTACAGAAGTTCTTTGCATTCTTTTTGGGTTCAGCTTGGTGGTCAAGACTTAGACAACTTGTTGCAAAGTTACTCCTTTAATCTTAACATATTAACAGCTGTTAGTTTTACCCAGATGTGGAATTCTGTGGTAACTCTTTTTATTATTTGTTCCCCTCCCATACTCCTTATTTTCCTAGGTTTGGGGGCTTAATGAATGTTTAATGAATAAATGAATAAGTTTCAAATAAATCAGTATTTATTTCATGTAACATATTAGTAACAGAAAGGTAGTTATAGATAAAGTAGATCAGATTTAATGATAAAGTGTTATTTGAATTAATGGCATTTTAAATATTTGTAAAAAAATGTGTATTTCATGCTTAAATCATTGGGAACTTGTAACTGTACGGCTACTTAGAACATGCTTGAATGTAGCAAACTCACTCTCTTCTAAGAGTTTCAGCCTTGATGGATGTTTATGGCCCCAGTTCTGATTTGCTACTTGAGTGGAGAATGTGATTTGCACAACTTTGGTCCTCACTGGGTTTGAGTGGTTTGTATTCTGTTTCTTCGCTGCTTACCAGGGCAAAATGTGTATAAAATATGATTATTATGTATTGACGTTTGTATTTTCTAGTCCTGAGTGTTTATTCCTTACTTTGGACTATAACCCAATGCAATGACCATTTTTTATTGCAGTGGCTACGGATTATCACCCACCTATTCTCAGATGGACAGAGAGCACACTTCGAAAACAAGTGCAAAGGCCCTTTATGGTAGGTTGGTTTGTTTTAATGGACTGTGTCTGTTTCTAAAAATGTTTTACAGATTACATCATTGGGATCATAATTTGATCCCACAGTTTTTATTCTTTGGGTGGAAAGTGGTGAAGCTGGATAAGGATGATTTTAAAGAGTTTTTGCAAATACTACCAAAGCTTCAAACTGGCTTGCTGTCATACAATTTCTAACTACAGGTGAAATGTATTTCAGCGTTTTTGAATGTCTTTTGCGTGATCCCAGTGGTTTAGGTGTGTTTTCCAGTTACAGTTTGTGTTTGTGGATTTTCATGACTCTTGTTGATCATGGGCTGACAGTGATAGAACTTTTTCCATGTAGTCTTCAGCTTTTCAGATAGTATTATAATATGACTAGCAGCCCTTATACACTTCTGAATAATCTAGCTTTATCCAATCCTTCTCTTATTTCCAGTGCCCTTTCTAGATTATCTCACTTATATGTAAGATTTTCAACTTAAAATATAAATAGAAAGTCATTATGGAGAAGAAATTGAGAAGTCTTGAATACATCATATATATTTTAGAAGGCGTTTGTATAGGGTTGGCATGTCCTTTCTATTATTGTATAATATTAACAAAATCAGAATACTAGTAGGCTTGTTTACAAAGATTCTGGTACCAGACTGTCTAGTTTGAAATCCAGTTCTACATTTGTTAGCTAAGTTATCTTAGGCAAATTACTTCACCAGTATCTACCTCATTTTGGTTCTATAGGTAGCAGGGTATCTCAGAGGGTTGATAATGAGTATTAAATGAATTAATACATGTAAGCTGCTTAGAATAGTTTCTTTGCAAGCAGAAAACAATATTTGTGTCAGTTATTGTCATTGATATTATGTGCTGTAGGAACCAACAACATTTTCTCAAGTGTAGAAGTTTTTCTTTTTGCATTATCTAGATCTACAACTTGTTGGCATGGTAGAATAAATAATTGTGAGGTTTTTTGATTCCTTTTCTGCCAGTGTTCTTAGTGAATTGGCTTTAAATTCAAATAATGAATTTATAAAAATACATACATTCATAAAATGAATTTAATACCATACATCAATACATGTATATATGGCTCTGTCAATCTGATTAGTGTTGGTTTCAAGTTTTTTCTTGTGTATTGTATTGAGACATTCTTACCATGGCCTCATAGTTGTAAATTGTAGATTTAGAGAATATACTCAATAAGTACTTATTTTATAGTTGTACTTAGAATAGGACCCATCATAGGACAATACTTCATGAAGTTCATGGAAAACGGAATTATAGTTTGATGGAAAATTTTTTAAATCCATGGATACAACAGGGGCATCTTTAGATATTTCATAGAAAATCTATCTTATGAAAAACTACATATTTCCTAAATATGGGTTTTGGAGGCCAGGGGATTGGTGATTAATTCAGGGCACCTCTACCAAATTCTGCTGTTTCAAGCAAATGATTTAGCCTCTTGGTCTCAGTCTCATGATCTGTACAATAGGCATGGTAATAATATTGTCCATTTATATGAGAAATGTAAGAAACGGCCTTGTTGTGGAAATAGGGAATGGAATTGAAGAGTCACTTTTTGTCCTTGGGCCTCAGATTCATCATGCCCCTTAAATTTAATATTTTTGGTGTCACCTCCAAGTTGGGTTATACACATTGTTATGGTGAGACCTTGACAGAATCAAGAGGTAGCCTTTGTTGTATATTTGTAAGCTGTGTTCACTCCCTACATTGCTCTAGAAGTATCTTTATATAAACCCCATAAAATATATTGTGAACTATACTTCTATATGACCATAAATCTGACTTTTTGGAGATATATACTGATTTATTATTCAAGGAAATCTGTTAAATATGCTGCAATTTTCAATGCTGTGTTTTTTTCATTTCTTCATTGTTACATGAGGAATTTCCAAGCCAGCATGGAAAGGCTTCACATCACTAATGTCCATGACTATGTAGTGTTAGTAAAAACTCTTGCTTGGGAAAATAAAAATTTCCTTCTCATCTATGTGTTTCAAGACAGTAGCATTTCATTTAGATACTGTTAACAGGGACTGGAAATTTTATATTTTTTTCAGCCATCCTGGTTGTCAAATTCTATTTATAAAGTTTTATTTATTTTCGTTTTATTCAAAAGACAGAGGCAGACAGAGAGAAAAATAGAGATCTTCCACCCACTGGTTCACTTCCCAAATGGCTGCATCTGTTGAGCTGGGCTGGGCCAGGCTGAAGCCAGGAGCCTGGAACTCAATCCAGGTCTTCCATCTGGGTGGCAGGGACCCTATTACTTGAGTAATCATTGCTGCCTCTCAGGGTGTGTCTTAGCAGGAAGATGGAGTTTGGAGTAGAGCTGGGACCTGAATGTAGGCTCTGATACTGGACGTGGGCATCCCAAGTGGTTACTTAACTTCTGCACCAAGTGCCATCCCTGTTAAAATCTTTAAGCACTAAAATTTAAAAATGCTTTAAGAGAAATATGAGGATATTTCAAAATATTCACAGAAAATGGAATTAAAAGATAAGTTTATTTTGATGCGAAAAACTGTGAAAACCATATAAATCTTAATACTCATTTTTGATGTGCTTTTTGCCAGACTCCTTATTTGTCTTCAACTTTTTTTTTTGCATTGGAATAACTTCTTTCAATTTCATTTCCTGTGACCTTTTTGAAGTTCTCTTGTAGCTGTGAAATGCATTAAACCTTCCCTTCCCTCGAGGTGTGGCACTTGCAACCTCTGGGTGACTCAGAAGGCTAGGGTGTGCCCACTGTTATGTATGGTGACCATCTCCAAGGCTGCATTCCTCACCCTTGTACCAAGTCATTCAGTGTCACTTTCCTTCTGAGTATTTGGGGCTGCTTTCCCATGCAGTGGGGTCCTAAGCCTGTTCACTTCCCTTGTGAACCTGGAGCTTCTAGCATTGCCTCTGGCAGCTGTAGACTGGGAAATAGAGTGCGGAATGGAACTTTAATGTGAAGATGTTGTGAAATCTCTAAGACCAGTCAGCCAACCTTCTTAGAAAAGTAACTCCCCTTGGGGCTGGCACCATACTGCAGTACGTTAATCCTCTGCCTGCAGTGCTGGCAACCCATATGGGCACCGGTTCTAGTCCTGGCTGCTCCTCTTCCGATTCAGATCTCTGCTGTGGCCTGGGAGAGCAGTGGAAGATGGCCCAAGTCCTTGGGCCTCTGCATCCGCGTGGGAGACCAGGAGGAAGCTTCTGGCTCCTGGCTTTGGATTGGTGCAGCTCCGGCCATTTGGGGAGTGAACCAACGGAAGGAAGACCTTTCTCTCTGTCTCTCCCTCTCACTGCCTGTAACTCTACCTTTCAAATAAATAAATAAAATCTTTAAAAAAATAAAAGTAACTCCCCTCTAAAGTAGATACTGCTGGATGTAGAGTTTGACTATTTGCCATAAATAATTAGATACTTTATTAAAATTTGTCTTTTTAAAAAAATTTAACAGGCATATAAAATTGTGCATATATATGGGATACTATATGATGTTTCTTTTTTTTTTTTTTTAAACAGGCAGAATTAGACAATGAGAGAGAGACAGAGAGAAGTCTTCCTTTTCCGTTGGTTCACCCCCCAAATGGCTGCAACAGCCAGTGTGCTGTGGGCAGTGTGCTGCACCGGCGTGCTGCGCCTATCCAAAGCAAGGAGCCAGGTGCTTCCTCCTGGTCTCCCATGTGGGTGCAGGGCCCAAGCACTTGGGCCATCCCAGGCCACAGCAGAGAGGTGGAATGGAAGAGGAGCAACCCAGACAGAATCCGGTACCCCAATCAGGACTAGAACCCGGGGTGCCGGCACTGCAGGTGGAGGATTAGCCAAGTGAGCCGCAGCGTTGGCCACTATATGATGTTTCATCATATGTATTCATTGTATAATATCTGATGAGGGTTAACATTTATCCTTTTAATCATTTAACATTTCTTTATAGTTGAAAACATTCAAAACTCAATCTTATAGAGTTTTTTTTTTAATAGAGATATATACAGTATAATGTTATGTCCAGAAAACTCAAAGTGTCACAGAATTACCAATTTGTAATGACCTCATGGTCATTAGCAACACTTACAGTTAACTTTGAGATTTATATTATTGGATAAATATGATAGGTACTCTTCTTAGCCAATAACCACACCACACATTTTTCTTTTTGTACCTCCATTTTTCTGGTCTCCCTCTCCCTCCTGATCTTATTTTGGATCTAATCTATTTGATTGCCATAATTGAATCCCAAGTCTCTTTCATGTTTCAAGTGCCACTGGGGAGTTAATGCTAGGTGCTGTGGGAGCAGACCTTTAGCCCATCATTAGGACACCTGCATATCATATCAGAATATCTGGGTTCACTTCCCGGCTCCGACTCCAACTTCCTACCAGTGCAGACTCTGGGAGGCAGCAGAGATGTCTGAGGTGACTGGATTCCTGTTACCCATGTAGGAGAACTGAATTGCATTCCAAGCTCCCATTTCATTGGCTCTGACCCAGCCCTGGCTGTTGTAGGTATTTGAGGAGTGAACGGGCAGATGGAGCTCTATTTGTTCCCCTCCCCCTGCTTCTCAAAAATAATTTTTTTAAACAATCTCATTTTTTTATCCTCATTATGCAGTTTGTGTTTTACTTAGAGAAAATGTTTAATTTTTTAAAAGAATAAATGTCATTTTTTGTAATTCTTAAGAAGTAAATGACTCATGATTGAAAAAATATCAGGAAATTAGGCAATGTTAGAGTAAAAATTCAGCCTAATAGACTGCTAAAACAAGTGACTCAGAGGCAGGCTGGTCATTTTCCCAGCCTGACTGTAAATTTTGAAGCTCCCCCTCTCCTCATGATTTGAGCCTTTTTAATGCATTGTTGAACAGGCTACTAAAATTAATTTTTAAAGAATGTAGTTTGTAAAAGTGACCTCTTTGTGTTTTAAATGCAGCCTTAGATAGTGTTTTGTCAGTCAGTGGTTGCAGTTCCCTGCTTGTCTCAGACACTACACTGTCAGGCTGTGGTTGCATTGCTTGTGCTAATTCTTACATGGTCATGAGGGCTGCTAATCATCACTGCCTTCCTCTTACTGATTCCCTTTAGCACCTCTCCTTTCTGGAAATGGTGCACTAACCTAGTGGGAAAGGAATTCTCCTCTTCTGTGGTTGACAGTTTTTGCAAGAATAAAGGAATATGAGCTGTAGCCCATTGTTTTACTTATTTGGAGAGAAATAATCACCAGCTGCTTTTATGTTACTTTTTTCTTTTTAATGGCCAAATCCTTATTTTCCAAGCAACTCTGTTTTTGGAGAAAGAGAAAATTAAAATTTTACATATATTAGCTAAAACTCTAGATATTACCTGTTTCATGTTGCTATATTATGCTTATGCCTTTTATTTAGGTAAAAGGGAGTCAAATATAATTGACCTGTGTGCTTGTTACAGTTTTAGTTATGCTAATTATTCAAATTAAAGCTAAATTTGCTATTTCTGACCTAGAAGTTGAATATCTATTTTTGAAAGAACATGCATAAAGCAGCTCAATCATACTAAAATGATTTGTAAAGTATTTTCACCATTGGTTACTCAGCTCTCCTAAATCTGTCTGTTTGGGTTTGTGTATTCTGGTCCATGATATAAAAATTAATAAGAAAATTAATGAAATACAAACACTGATACCATACGTAAGTGAAGTTTGTTCCTGGTCCTAATTGATTCTGAGAGCGAGGGAGGGAGAGAGGGAGAGAGGGAGAGATAGAGGGAAAGGAGAGTTCCAGGAGAAGTGGGAGCCACTCTCCTACTCGAAACTCAAAGCTTGCCAGTATTATTCATTTATTTGTTATTTAATATGACATTTGTCCATGATTTACCCTCATAATTTGGAAGCAAAGCTGTGTTTGAAGAGAGAACGTAGAGTAAGTCAGTTGGCATTTATACAGATTTGGCATGGAGATTTTCACCTTGTCTGCACTCTAGATGGATTATATGAGAATCTTGAGAGTGACCCACACAGTGTTTCAGTTTTTTTTTTTTTAAGCTTAGTTTAATATGTGTTAAAAAGACAGTGATCAACATCATTAGAGTAGTATTGAGAGACTTGGCTTAGGCTTTTTACATTGTCTGAGGGTGGGGAGATTTTTAGTTTAGGAGAATAATTGTTACAACTGTACCTGTAAGTACATGTGCTTCTCATAAAATGTACCACTACAGTTGCCTTTTAGGAACCTCCTCTCAAAATTGCCTAATAAAAAAAGTTAATATTAACTATTGTCCACTTACTTAAAATCACTGGAACTACTAGTTTATTTGCCAACCTGTTTTCTGGTATTTGTGCATTTTTAGGATCTTTAAGAGGTAATTTCATGTAATATACATCTTATCTGTTGTGTAACATGGGCAAGAAAGAAGTTTAGGAATTCTGAAAATGAGTTCCTAATCCGGATAATCAGAAATGACAGTCGGAGTGACCAGCTTAAACCCATACTTTCATAAGTGCTATTGAATAGTTCCTTTGCATTTCTGTACATTGTGATTCTGTGGGCATAAGAAACTGTGTGTTAGAAAATCTGGGGGAATAAATTCTTACTATCTCATATAAGAATGTCTAGGCACAAACACTATTTTGGAGCCTTCCCGTTGTTTGCCATTCATTTATCTGAAAGAATCTGTCAAACACTGGACATCCTGGAGCTATCTTATCATCTCTGGATTCCATGATGCCCTCATGTCCCCTCAAAAGAAACAGAACCTCCCTCCTGTGACAGGTCTGCCATGGAGAATTGTGTGAGAATGTGATGAGCTAGTGATTCTTATACAGAGATGATTTCTAAGTGTTTTGTCAAACACATCCCTGAATTATGTATTGTATTTCAAGAGTAATATAAATTTCCCCAAGAACAATTTAGACAGTGAAGGTTTTTTTGAATATTGTAAAAATGTTCATGGTGAAACCAGATCTTTCTTTATGATCACATTATCTTGGTAGGACCAGATGGATCATACTTCTTCAGGTCATCATCCAAACAAAAAAAGAAAGGTAGCAGAATGGGCTTTGTAGTGTGTCTTGTCTTTGAGTAATTTTAATGCTGCAAAATCAAAAATAGAATATATTACCATAGTATCAGAGTAATAAAAGGACTGATAATAAGGAATATGGAGATTTTTCATCTAAACTATTAAATAAATATAAATGAAAGGTTAATTACTTTAATATATATTTTGAAACAAAACGTTATTGAAGTTTCTAAAGAATACGGTTAACATTCCAAGTCTGCCTGTGTAGTTTGTATTTTTGTACATACGTTGCATTTATGCTCAGAATTTTTTGATTTATGTTGTAGGATTATCTAAGGTTTCCATAGTAACCGAAAAATTACTTATTTTTAGAAGCCAAGTTATACACACACACACACACACACACATACCCCTAATATGTATATGTGTGTGTGTGTGTGTGTGTGTGTGTATATGTGTATGTATGCCAGAACTTTAATGCTTTAAGGATCTTTGGTGTTATCTTACGTAACTGTTTTATTTTACAATAATGATGCTAAGGCCCTGAACAATAAATGTCTTGCTTAAATTTAATTTCTGTTGAAAGTAGTGATATCAAAGCTAAATTAGAACAAAAACCTTTGGGTTCCCCTTAGAGTTCTTTTTCATTTTTCACAATAGCACTTGCTTTAAAAGAAATAGGGAAACTATAAATTTACAATTAAGCAAGCTGTTTTGTTAAAAAGTAACAAATACTAAATATTGCCAACATAGTTTAATATTATTTTTGGGTTTGCAGCATTTATATCAGAAAAGAAACTTAAAGATTTCTTTTAGCTCTTTAAGTAAGTTTGGTGCAATACCTTTCTACCTAACTTTCTCATTTTTCTTAACAGCTTATTTCTGTAATTCTGCGTATCTGTGTGTTCTATAAATATGTGAAAATTGCAACTATTGAATGGCACCCAGCATGATTTAATCATGTTTTGAATCTTCTCTACCACTGTCCATAGTTTGGATGTTATAAAAGGAGATATTTGTTATATTGTCTATTATTTTAATAATGTAGTCTAACTCATATAATACAGTATCTATGACAATATTTGCAGTTTTACTTTGATCTCAATGCATGAACAAATGAAATTTTAAGCTGATTTTTGTCTTTTTTGTCAGACAAAAGATTCCTAATTAAAATCTTCAGATGAAATAATTTTATTTATTTGCAATCTTGATGAACTTTGGAGTTCTGAAAAATTTTATTGAGTTAAACTGTTCCTGCATATCATTTTGGTTTTCTTGTGGCTTTTAGATTGACTATGAATAATGGGTGTTTTCAGATACACCACACAATGGTGACTTATCAAGTACTGTATTTATATGTGAGGTAGACCAGTTTTAAAAATGACCACATGACACCATATATGAACTTCAGCCTATTTATTATTGAGTAAATAATGGCTTTTTAAATTTCTCTTTTAGAACAGAGGAAGAATTATGCACGGGACAGTGTCAGCAGTGTGTCAGATGTATCCCAGTATCGTGTTGAAGTAAGATGCTTCTAATATTTGCCAATATTTAAAACTAACTCTTCAGGAACATAAAAATTGAAAGTAAAATCCAAAATTATGTTTTATTTTATTCCTGTGTTGTATTTTAGGTTGTGTTGACCTGACCTCCAGCTTTTGTAAAACTGAGATATTATCTATAAAGTATTTTATATAAATAACCCGGGGTTTACATTCATAGAGAATAAATTAAAATCACAACTATACTCACTGATCACTGTCAGCCTTGTTTCAGTCAAAGGAAAGGCAAAGTCTTCTATTTTTTGCTGTAAGAACCTTCTTGAAGTTAAACTTCTTACAGATTTAGCAAGTAGTTCAGGTTCATTACTACTGTAATTCTGTTTAAACAACAGTTTTGTTATTAGATTTTTTCTCTTGTTATCCTCTATGATGTTGGCTCACAGGTGAAATCTTCTTGCTCATAATTTGCTCATAACTTTAAGATATTTGCTCATAAATGAAGCCTTTCCACATGACCTCTACTGTCATAGAAAATAAGCATGGAGGTAATTTTGGAATTGCTCCTGTTTCAGTTTTCTAATTATCTGAAGCATGCATAGCTAAAATTAAACAGTTTTGTTTTGGTAAGTGGTTTTAGGAGACTGCATACTAGAAGCTGTTATAGAATGAATTGCTGCGGCCAGTCTGTAGTGTCAGCTTCCTCAGTTTTGGAACTGACGTGTAAGTTGTTCAGCATGTAAATCACCATAAAAGAGTAAGGTGGGGTTGGGGAGGTTATTTTTAGAGAATGCTATTGAAGCTGTTAAGACTTTGTTTTTATGTCATGTTTAATTCAGCATGGCTCAATATGAAATAGACATGGATATCTTATGAGTTAAGACATCGTTTTCTTTATTCAACCTGCTTGACCTCATTCTCTTGATAAAATAATCATGAAGTTCTAGAGAACACTGTATTTGTCCTTCAGCTCTCTGACCCCAATTAGGTTAATTCTACTTTTGTTTGGAAAACGTGCACTAAGACATTTGTGTACATTATAAATATTTTTTTCTTTTTGCCAATTGTAAGCACTTGACTACCTTTGTTCTGGATCGCAAAGATGCTATGATAACTGTTGATGATGGAATAAGGAAGCTGAAATTGCTTGATGCCAAGGGCAAAGTGTGGACTCAAGATATGATTCTTCAAGTGGATGACAGAGCTGTGAGCCTCATTGATTTAGAGTCAAAGGCAAGTTCGTAAAATCTGTACTGTTTGATTTGTTAAAAATCTCCCTACGTACTCATATTTACAGAAAGGTCAGATTGTTTGACAATAGGCAAAAGTCTTACAAAATAAAATATTTACTTTACTTGTAGAACGAACTGGAGAATTTTCCTTTAAATACTATCCAGCACTGCCAAGCGGTGATGCACTCATGCAGCTATGATTCAATTCTTGCCCTGGTGTGCAAAGAGCCAACCCAGAACAAGCCAGATCTTCATCTTTTCCAATGTGATGAGATTAAGGTAAAAGACAGTGAATTTGTTTGTTTTTTTTTTTTTGACCTTTTAAGCAGATATTCTGGTAGCTTCCTATGATGGAGTATTCAAAAAATTCAGATAATGGGTTTCATGAAAACATTGCATAGATCTTATATTTTTTGTACCAAAATAAACATCTTTTCATCCCATTTTCTATGAATTTTGTAAAGTGCCCTCATATTTTAATCATATGTCATTGGAATACCAACTTTTTACTTTTTGAGGATTTTGTCAAGAAAACAAATATCATAGTATTTTCCCTTGGATTTCCAAGCCAAGAAAATAAAGGGGAAATTTGAGTGATACTAAAAAAAATCAGATGTATCGTTTATTTCTTAAACATGTAGATAATATTATAAATTCTTACCAAATGCCTGGACTTACAGTTGAAAATCAAATGTTAAAAAATGACACATGGACAATAAATTATCATACTACTGTCCAATTTTGTTCTGCACTAATCACCTAGTGTGGATTATTGTAATGAGGCACTAAGATAGTTCCCTTGACATTGGTATAAGGTTCATCATTTAATTATGTTACTTGAGTAATTGCTAAGAATTTGTAATCCTCAAATGATATGTGAAAATAATTGAGCACAGTTACCAGTAATAACAGGCTATCTCCTTAAAATTTTTGTTGCAAAGTACACTGTAATTTTTGAATAATTATAATTTGTGATGCTTTATTGGACCTTAGAAGTTATGTTCACCCTTGAATGTCTATTTCCTGAGTTGATTTCTTTAAAATTGAAATCACTTTCTGTTGATTGATACTTTGCCAAAGTAGTGATTTATTGTTTTGATTGTATACTATAAATATTCAGGCAACATTTATCTTACAAAAAATTTTGGGAGATTATCATAAAGAGACACTTGATCTTTTCTGTATTTGACATTAAACTATGATAGGTAAATTAGGGCTGACTGTAAACAGTATATTTTATAATTTCCTTCTAATTTAAATTTATTCCATAGATGACTTCTAATGATCTTATTTGCAAAGAATGTGACATTTAGATAATTTGTATATGTGTTATTCATCAGATTTTTGTATAGTGTAGTGACTTTTGAAAGTCAAAGTATATTAAGAATTTTGTAAGCTTTGATGTGTTGAATCGCTGAATATTAAAGTGAATATTTTGCTCTGAGAATATAGTGAATTTAATTCAAACATTTTAAAAACAAAGGACTAAGTTAAAAGACATTCATAATCTGGTGTTTGGATCCATGATATAAGAGTCCTCCTGGGAGCTAATAGTTACTATGCTGAGTAAAGTTTCTGGATTTCAGTTTTGAGAACAAGGTGCTTGCCTTATTTGACGTGGAGTGGTGATAGTGATACATTCAAATGGATTTACTGAATACTGTTTTGCTCTAACTAGAAGCTCATACACCACTAAGAACTATATTTGCTCATTTGTGCCATAGGCCACATGAGACCTTTTTTCCTTTGGCTGCTTGATTAAAAATTAAGTGCAGCGAATATGATGCAATCTCCTTTATGTGATCATCTTGCCATTTTGCTTTAGAGTGTTAATATTCATGGTACTTCACACACTGCCACAATGCTGTTGCTTACTTTTGTAGTCCTTTTTTTTCCTGAGAAATAAAATATCCTCCTGTACCCCCATGAGAAGTTCAAGGCTCCTGAGCATCTTTAGTTTTGATATCTCAGATAACAGAATGCCTTTGATGATGTGGGCAATGTCATTGAAAATAGGATGTTCCTGTGGCAGCAACACTGAACTGGGGCACCTTGACACTGCCAGTTAGCGCTAGACCTTGGCCAGGTCTACTTTATGCGTATTCCTCAGTTTCATAAATTAGAAGAGGAGAATGGATTAGATCAATGTTAGGTGTCCATTCAGTTCTCAAATTTTATGATTATCAGTGCTCACTGTAAGTGAATATATAGGATGCATGGTTGAGGAAAACATACATAATTCCAGAGAGCATTCAGACATAGCAGATGACTACATCTCAGCAATGATCTAATATCCAGTTTTAAACACTGGCTATAAATAAACTTGAAAATGAAACAGAATAAACTTTGTAGCTGTTAATCCCACATTGGTTCCAAAGTTTTGCAAGAGTTGTTTGCAGAAAGTAAATTTTTACCTGAAAAGACAAAATAAGGAGATTATCCCCAAGGAAACAACCTACTGTTGGGAACCTTCCCACGGGTACAGTAAATTTGCCATTAAAATAAGAGGGTCTCTATTGGGACCCAGCGGTTTGTTTCAGTGGGTTGATGGGTATCCAGTGGGCCCTGAGGAGGAGAAAGGAAAGGAAATTTACCCCACATGAACGTGTTTCTTCTCAGGTGGAAAGAATTAGCCAGCTTCATTTATAGCGCCTGCTTGTACTTTCAGCCTATGCTAAGTGCTTGTATGTTTGCCTTGTGGAAGGACATCTGGTTTAGAACCAAGGGGCTCTGGATCTTTAAAAATTCTTTCAGCTTCTAAATTCTGTCCTTGTAAACATCACCATTAAAAAATCTGCAAGTCACATTTTGAAAGCAATTTTGATTTTCAAAGAAGGCTTTCTTTTTTCATGAAGACACTTTACTGATTCAGACAAATAACCTAAACCCTTTCCCTGTTTTAATGGCCATATTGAAGCTTGGGAAAAAAATCTATAGTCCTCCAGGTAACTTGTCTCTCATTGCAGGCCAACCTGATTAGTGAAGATATTGAAAGTGCAATCAGTGACAGTAAGGGAGGGAAACAGAAGAGGCGGCCCGATGCCCTGAGGTAAGCACATTAAAAAAATTAAAGGGTAAAATTCATTTTCTTGTCTTTTTTTTTGCCACCTAAGGGTTTGGAGAAGTTATTTTCGATGGAGGTATATTGTTGTATTTCACAGGTTACCACCTGCAATCTCACCTCGTGTGCTCTCCCAGGTGTATCACTACGTGATTGCTCCTTTTTTTCTCTCCATGTTTAGGATCTTTTCCTTATATGACTTCTGCTTATGTGTGAAGTCACAGAGAGTCTTGAGCAACGAGCAGTAGGTTAAATGTGTACAAACTAGGCTTCAGCACTATAGTTGGTCTACAGCCTTGAGAGATCCAGAAAGAAATCTGCATTTTTAAAATCTCATATGCATTTATGAATCTACATGTATGGAATGGCTAGAAATCTTTTTTGCCCTTGATATAGTTTTTGAGGTTGAACTAATAACATAAAACAGAGTAAACATTTAACTCATGTTCCCCTGTTTTAAAGGATGATTTCCAAAGCAGACCCTGGCATTCCACCTCCACCCAGAGCGCCTGCCCCCGTACCTCCTGGGACTGTAACACAGGTGGACGTTAGAAGTCGGGTGGCAGCCTGGTCTGCATGGGCAGCTGACCAAGGAGATTGTGAGTATTTCCAGTTTTATTACTTTTCTTGGGTTAATATTTATTGGACACTTCTTTGAGTTGTGACAGTTCTTTCTTTAAAATTCTGTTGCTGGTTTCTCTAAATCTTAGATAATGTAAAGCTAAGCCTTGACTACTGTTAAGATTTTTTTACATGCCAGCCATTTTAATAAATATACTGTTAAAATTGGAATCATCTTTTTTTAATACCAAGAGAGGAGAGGTCATGTGACCAATAATTTTAAAATCGGTGATAGAATATATAACAATTAATCTATTTTTTAAACTTGGACTTCAAATTCTTTCCATTTATTTATTTACATAAGGGGAACAGCTTTCATGTATCATATATACAATTTTAAGACCCTAATGATACTTTCCACCCCATCCTCCCCCTCTCCCTCACTCCTACCTTGCCTCTTCCTTCCTTTTATATTTTTCTTTTAATTTTTGCAATGACATACTTTGTATTTGTTTTATAATTACTTTAAAACCACTAAATAAAGAATCCAACAAGTAGCAAGCAGAAAAACCACTGCTCCTCAGGAGTATAGACAAGAGCTATAAATAATAAATTTCTCAGTGTCAATTTTACTCATATATATTATTTTTTAATGTATATATAGTTATCACAAATCAGAGAAAATGTGATATTTGCCTTTTGGGACTGGCTCATTTAACAAAGCCAGAATGATACCCAATTGCATCCATTTTTGGCAAAATACAGGATTTCATTTTTTTGGCTGAATAGTACTCCATTTTGTGTACATACCACATTCTCTTTAGCCAGTCATCAGTTGGTGGACATTTGGGTTGATTCCATATCCTAGCTATTGTGAATTGAGCTGCCATAAACACAGGAGTACAAATAATTCTTTCATATGCTTATTTCTTTTCTTTTGGGTAAATTCCCAGAAGTAGAATGGCTGGATCAAACAGTACATCTATATTCAGATTTCTGAGGACTCTGTGTTTCTTCCATAAATGTTGTACCAGTTTACATTCCCACCAGTAGCGCATTAAAGTATTATTTTCTCTACATCCTCACTAGCACTTGTTTGTTTTTGATTTTGGATGAAAGCCATTTTAACTGGGGTGAGGTGAAGCTTCATTATGGTTTTGATTTGTATTTCCCTGATGGCTAGTGATCCTGAGGATCTTCTCATGTGTCTGTTGGCCATTTGTATTTCATCCTTTGAAAACTGCCTGTTCATGTCCTTTGCCGTTTGTAACTGGATTATTTTGTTGCTATTGAGTTTCCTGTGCTCTTTATATATTCTGGATATGAATCCTTTATCAGATGTATAGTTTGCAAATATTTTTCCCATTCCACTGATACTCTGTTGAGTGTTTCCTTTGAGGTGCAGAAGCTTCTTAGATAGATGTAATCTCATTTATCTATTTATGCCTTTATTTCCTGTGTTTTCAATGGTTTATTAGAATCTCAGAATATTTCTTAAATATATTTGGTCCGGTTTCTTCAATTTTAAGGAGGGATGTTATCATTGAGCAGGTTCAGATTTGGTGTATTCTAGAGCCTCAACTCTTGCCTCCAGCTCCAGTGCGACTACTTAAATCACTTACCCTTTATCCAGTAAAGTATTATTCATGTGTGATATCAAAATGAGTCACATTAGACTCAACATCAAATCTGGCCGGTTAAAAGTCGGTCTCTGAAGCAAGTCCTGGCACTGCCATGTGACCTTGGAAAGTCAGGTCTCTAATCTAAGCCTCATTTGTTTTTTTTTGTTTGTTTGTTTGTGTTTTGTTTTGTTTTGTTTTTGACAGGCAGAATGGACAGTGAGAGAGAGAGACAGAGAGAAAGGTCTTCCTTTTGCCGTTGGTTCACCCTCCAATGGCCGCCGCAGCCGGCGCATTGCGCTGATCCGAAGCCAGGAGCCAGGTGCTTCTCCTGGTCTCCCATGAAGGTGCAGTGCCCAAGCACTTGGGCCATCCTCCACTGCACTCCCGGGCCATAGCAGAGGGCTGGCCTGGAAGATGAGCAACCAGGACAGAATCCAGCGCCCCGACCGGGACTAGAACCCGGTGTGCCGGCGCCGCAAGGCGGAAGATTAGCCTAGTGAGCCGTGGCGCCGGCTTCTAAGCCTCATTTGTAAAGTGGGGATAAGAACTCATGGGTTGCTATGAATCCAAAACCAATAATGATTATAAGTATAATTTATAGTTCTCATTAGCCAAATTCTGATTTTTTTTGGAATTACATGTAAACCTCGCCACCAAAAAGAAATAGAGATCTTCTAAACTTCTAACTTTCAAAAGTGAAGTAACAGTTATCTACTTTAAAACAATTTCTGTTTTCAAGGATTATATATGCATTCATTGAACCAGTTGATATTTAAAAACTAAGGAGCAATTTAGAGTGTGTGCTACCTTGTCTAACTTAACAGTATTTTTGTTGTTATTTCTGCAGACAGGGGTCTGGATTTTCTGGGTGGTTTGGTTGGTTTTTTGAGAGGTCAAAATGATCTTTCTTGAATGGTGGGGGATAAGACATCTTAGGTTTACAGACATTCTTAACAAACTGATAAAAACAGGTTGAACCTAAAATGATTTACAAGAGTTTGTCCCAGGGGTTTCTGAACCCTCCCCCTATAATGCTATGTAATATACTGTGTAGTGTCATCTACTTAAATTACAGTGACGCAAAGTTTTTCAGAACTTCTAATTTGCTCCTAGGCCAAATAGAACACAATCTATCAGAAGAGGCTCTGTCTGGATCCAGGCAGTTTTGAAGTGGAAAGGCTCCCTCCTCCCCATGGCCCTGGCTGGCTCAGGCTGCACAGCTGTTTCTGCTGCTGATCCGAAGTGATCTCTGTGGAACAGTGGCAGTGGCCCTGGGTTCCCAGTAGTTTCAGACCTGATAGAGTCCTGGAAACACCTTATTTTGTGCTTCCTCTGCCCTCCAGATAATATTTTGGTATCTATCTGGAGTTCTTATTAGCTATCATTTAATTTCAACTTACTGGTTTCTGTAGTACCCTATAGTGAGGTAGCGGCTTAACCATGTGTGAAACAGCAGCTAACTGGCAAGATTTCATACATATAAATTTTGATCATCTTAAGGCATTTAATAGTCACTAATTAAGTTTCATCAGACTCAGTGCTTTATTTTTTTCTCTTTTTTTCTTTTTTCTTTCTCCTTTTTTTGGAAAGTATTCCATTAAATTAGCACAGAGCAGGTATAGCAACACAGAGCTTTCACAGTTTTTCATAGTTCTCTGTATTGAACATTATGAGCCATGCTGATACATTGTGATTTATACTTCCATTCATGATGACGTATTCCTCTTGTTCTCTCCAGTGCATTTTAAAATGTCGTCTACTATAAAGTATTTGTACCAGATATCTGTGTGTGTTCGTAAACTACTTCATGCCAGGAGAGAGCTCATGGTAATGACCTCATGAGTAACGTGATGCTGTAGCCACCTGAGCAATGTCAATGCCTTGTGTTCTCTTGAGACATTTATTCTTCACTGCAAATTCTTATAGGCATTTCTGCTTTTAAGAAGTGTGGCTTAAAGTTGAGCCCAACACTGAACATTTTAAGCTTAATTACAACTAGAATTTTAAAAAGCATGCTACCATCCAAAGGTGCAAGACTTTCTTTTCATCAGTGTTGGAATGTATGAAAACTTAGCTTTGCTGCATTAGAACTTAGTTGGATGTTTTTTTGAGACATAGGTGCTTAAATGCTGGTGTATATTTCTTGTGTAGAAATTAAAGGATGCTAAGAGTTGACTCCACGAGGAGCTGATACTGGGAAGTGAAAAAACAGAGGAGCACTGCAGGGTCAGTACACATTGTACTAAAATGGGGAGGCGGTCCTTCAGCTCCACCCAGCGCTTCTGCTGTGGTGGCAAGGACTCATTGTGTGGATTTTGAGTCCTGTTCTGATTTGTGTATCCAGTGCAGGTATTTCTTTCCCAGATGGCACTCTTTCCTCCATACATTTTCATGTTTTCATGTCCTCTGTTGGAATTGTTTGAAGCAATGGTTGAAAGATTTCTGATTTTTCTTCTTTAGTTGAGAAACCAAGACACTATCATGAGCAGGAAGAAACACCCGAGATGATGGCGGCACGAATTGACAGAGAGGTGGTGAGTGCAACAGTCATTTTCAGATCATTGGCTTCAGATTTATTTATTTTAAAAAACAGAACAACAGAGAAGGAGAGACAGAGGGAGAACTTCCATCTACTGATTGACTCCTCAAATGGTGAGCCGGGAGCCAGGACTTCCATACTGGTCTGCCATAGGGATTGCGAGACCCAAACATATAGACCCTCTTTTGCTATCTTTCAAGGCACATCAGCAAGGAGCCGGACCGGAAGCAGAGCAGCCAGGACTTAAACTGGTACTGCAATATGGTCTCTGGCATTACAAGCTCAGGCTTCATCCTTTGCATCACAATTCCAGTCCCTGGCCTTTTATTTTTTTTCAAGAAGAAAATAAAAATCCACAAGAAAATGAAGTTAATTTATATAACAGTGTTTTGTGAATACTGTATTTTCTCTTTCCCATGATAGTTATGTCCTTTAAATCATTGTTTTTTCTTAACTATTTTGCTCCTGTGCCCATATTTAGTTCATGGACTTGGGCTGAATGAGAAAAACTAGTATTTTAACTATTTAATAAAGGAACTTAAGCTGAATTACCATTTTTGAGAGAGAGAGAGTCCAGTTTTCCTTTGTATATAGTTTGTAATTCATAATTTGAATTGTAAAAATGTATCATTTTACCATTTATGAAGAATATATTTTAGGGGGGGGGAGTTGTGGAATAACAGGTTAAGCCACTGCCTGCAAAGCTGCTATCTCATAAGGGTGCCAGTTCAATTCCCAGCTGCTCCACTTCCAATTCAGCTCCCTGCTAATGTGCCTGGGAAAGTGGCAAAAGATGGCTCAATTCCTTGGGTCCCTGCACCCACGTGGGAGACCCAGAAGAAGCTCCTGGCTTTGACCTTGTGCAGCCCCTGCCTTTACAGCCATTTGGGAAGTAAACCAGTGGATAGAAGATCGTTTTCTCTAACTTTACCTTTCAAATAAACATATCTTTAAAAACAATAATTTTTTAAAAAAGGATATATTTTAGAATGCCTGTAAGATAAGGAACATTTTTAAGAATAAATACTTGAAATTCAACACTTTATAAAGGTATACTGTATTTGTTTTTATTTACCCATAATAAATTACTGGCAGAATGACAATGCACTATGATGTAACAATAGAAAAAGACGTTGGCCGGTGCCTCGGCTCAAAAGGCTAATCCTCCGCCTGTGGCACTGGCACACCGGGTTCTTGTCTCGGTCGGGGTGCCAGATTCTGTCCTGGTTGCCCCTCTTCCAGGCCAGCTCTCTGCTGTGGCCCGGGAGTGCAGTGGAGGATGGCCCAAGTACTTGAGCCCTGCACCTGCATGGGAGACCAGGAGAAGCACCTGGCTCCCGGCTTCGGATCAGCGCAGTGTGTGGGCCGCAGCGCGCCAGCCAGGGCGGCCACTGGAGGATGAACCAACGGCAAAGGAAGACCTTTCTCTCTGTCTCTCTCACTGTCCACTCTGCCTGTCCAAAAAAAAAAAAAAAATGATGTTAATATGATACATTTGCTTTTTATATTGCACATACACTTCTTATTTGGGAATACATAAAGGAATTTGAATTCCTCTTGAAGTTAAAATTTACAATTTATTTTTACATTACACTGTTACATGTCATGCTTAGATGCTTACTTAACTCTGATTCCTAGTCTTTTAATTGGAAAATTGTCACATTGTACACATACTGGTAGTGTATGAAATACAATTGTTCCAATGGTCCTCGAAATCAGAATTCATTATTAGTTTGTTATACCATTTAGAAATGCTTATTAATGCCTATATTGCAGATTAGCTATTGTGTATTAAGTTATCACGCAATTCTATATACCTTTAATTCCAAGAAATTGTCAATGCTTTGTTGGGACATTTATTAAGAAAACAAAAATGTTTGGTGCTCTTTTAACAAAATGTTTCTTAGAATTTTTTTTTCTCCTCACTTTGAGTGGGAGAACACTAGGAGAAAATTAGAGTAATTGAAAATCATTAATAATCTGAGTAGATATTGTGAATGCTTTCTTGATGGCATTGATAATAGAGCAAAATTAAGCTAGAGAAAAATGTAAATGTCAGAATTATCCACGGGTATATTTAATGTAATGCTTTTTCTTAGAATTAGTCATAAACCCTAAATTTGTATGTGGGGGTTGTTTGTGTTTTTTTTTTCTGTTTGGAAAAATACTTTATGTTCATTATTGATTAACAGTATATAGCTAAAGTAAAAAATAGTTTTGTTTTATCTAATATTTTACTGTATAATTTCTAATTCCAGCAAATCTTAAATCACATCTTGGATGACATTGAATTTTTTATCACAAAACTCCAAAAAGCAGCAGAAGCATTTTCTGAGCTTTCTAGAAGAAAGAAAACTAAGAAAAGTAAAAAGAAAGGACCAGGAGGTAAGGTGGACTTTCTTTTTTTGATCATTTAATTATTTTTAATTTTTGAGATGCCACATTTTTAATTTACATTATCTTCCAAGGCCTCATAGCTCAACTAAATAAAAAGGTCAAGAAATAAAAAGTAAAAAGACCACAGTCCAGCAGGAAAGTAGGCCAGAGCTATAAACAATAATCAAATGAAAAAATGTTTAACTTTAATCATGTAAATTTTAAAATAGTCACAAAATTGTTAATACTATCACAGTATATATTTACTGGCAATTTGTCTGACAAATATATAAAGCAAAGTTTAACAAAACACTGTATTTACAGGAAAACTGATGCACACACACAAAAAGATTTTTTTAATCCTCTAAAGACTGTTCAGAACCCCAGTGCTAAGCAGTTTCTGTCTTTGTGAGCTGTTCAGCAAAACTCCATTCACTTTGGGCCAAGGTCCATTTTTCAGTTTTGGGGTAGCACCAGAGGTTTAAGGAGGATTCCAGCGAGCCCAAGGAAGGGTTCATTGTGGTTTGAGATTGCCTGTGGTAGACAAAGACCCTAGCATGTTTTACCTGTCACTGACACTCTGGGATTCATGTGGTAGCTATCTGTTGATAGCTTTCATCAATTATGAAATTAGTGTCTATTGAGGAAAGCTGTAAGTCTGTTCTTCTCATATTTGGATTTATTTTATTATAAACATAGAACTTTATTATGTTGTTAAGTAAGAGTTGGTTTTTCTCATTAAAATATTGTAAAGTGTCAATGGATGGAAATTTTTAATCATAAATGTCTGAGTATTGCATCCACGTGCATAGTCACATACAAGCAGTTTTGAAGTATACTGCAGTACAGCTGTTTTAAGTAGCCTCAACATTTATAAAATTATAATTACAGAAGTAATGTTTATACTGCTTCTGGGAAAATGGTAAAGATTGAAGTACATAAAAGAGAAGTAAATAAATATCTCTTCCATGACAGATGACACTTCAATCTTCCTCCATCTTGTATCTTGTATCCCTTTTCTATCTTCATATTAGGCAGCTTCCTGCTTCCACTCTTCCATGCTTTGAGAATATTCTTATGAAGTTCTAAGTCACCCTCTTCATTCTGTATGCTGCTATAAAGCATGTTAGCTCTATGTTACATCAATTTAAGTCTAGCATCACACTCTGACAATCAAGGTCATCTAAAATCTAATCTTTATGTATGCCTCCATTCTGTTATCTCTCTGCTTTTCTGTTTATTGTTTCATGTACATGCAGTTTCCTTTTTCCATGTTTTTAACTTATGCTGCTTTTGTCCAACAATGATGCTTTTCTCACCCAGTTGCCCTGAAGCAAACTTTGCAAATACCACCCTAAAAGCTGCTTTCCCCGGGAAGCACCTTTTAGGTATATATTTCCCTATGCCCCAACCACTGCAGTTCCTTCTCCTAACACTTAGTTGGCAGTTCTGTTATTTATCTGATTCATGTCTTTAATTAGATTTTTCAGGCCCTTGAGAGTGTAACTCATTCACTTTTATAGTCTTCACAATGATAAGCACAATCACTGGCACGAGGATGGGCTACAGTATGTATTTATAGAATTGCATGAGTAATTGATAGTCTCATAGAGGAAATCATTTGAAACTTTGGATCTAATCCTTACTTTGTGGATGCGATAGAGTAACTAGGTAGCCTTCCTGGTTTGACCATAAAAATTTACAGGCATAAATGTGATTATAGTTTTTTCACTTAATAACTCTCATGTGTCCCTCCTCTCATTTATTTCAATAGAGGGTGTCTTAACACTGAGGGCAAAACCCCCACCTCCTGACGAATTTGTTGACTGTTTCCAAAAATTTAAACATGGATTTAACCTTCTGGTAAGTGAAATTTATTTATATAGAAATAGAAGAAATAAATGAAAAAGAGCAAATTCTAGCCAAGATGCTACTGATTAAATTAAGAAACAGCTTTTAATGCATCTTTTGGTGTGTGTTTTTGATGTGTCTTTATTTAAAATAACAGATAGTAAAATACATCCAGGAGACTTGGTAAGAAAGCAAAAAAGAAGAACTCCTATTTTTCTTAAAACTCACTTCTCTTTATCTCTCTTGGCCCATGTTATGAATACATGGAAATAAAACTGATAGGAAAATATTTTTGAAGGGTCTATTTTGGATCTTTTAAAGTGTCTGTGTTTTGCTCAATTATATCATCATCGTATTGTTTTCTTAATGTTGCAGGCCAAATTGAAGTCTCACATCCAAAACCCCAGTGCTGCAGATTTGGTTCATTTTCTGTTTACTCCTTTGAATATGGTGAGATTTTCTTGACTTAGTAAAGTAATCATTCTGGGTAGGTTTTAACCCCAAGTGTCTTTATTAATTTATAGAAAGTTTTCTTCATTTCCTTGTGTGGGTGCTAATTCTCTTGGTATCTGTGCAAACATTGAGAATGTGAAATTTGAATGTTTAAAAGAACCTTAGAAATCATTTCATTCAAATACCTTGTTTTACAGATGAGGAAACTAGTATCCTTAGAAAACTAGGGAGATACAAAGAAGAAACAAAGAGTTATGGGGTACTAGCGTTTCATTATACACGAGTATAAAATATATTGATATTGTGACTTGGATAATATAGACAGCTTTCTCTTTCTCACATAGGTTAGTCATGAGGAATGCAGTGCTGGGTGGATGGCTTTGTTCCATGAATTATCAGAGACTCATACTCTTTTCATTAGCAGTTCTTCCATTTCCTAAATGGTCTCCGGTTTAATTGTTTGTTCAATTATGTATTTATCCAGCAAATACTAATTGAGAGCTTTACGTGTGCTTGGCATTATAACAGCTCATCAGGAACAAGGCGGTCAAAAATGTTATGCTCTTGGAATTTACTTCATAATGTGGGGGGCAGTCAGTAAGATAAATGAGTGTATACATAATACAGTTTTCTAAAGATTAAATGCTATGTGGAAAATAGAGTAGGAAGGAGAACAGCGAGTACTGCCAGGTGTGTGTGTGTGTGTGTGTGTGTGTGGCATAGCTGCATAAAGGGAAATCTCACTGAGAAAATGTCATTGGAGAAAAGACATTAGAAATCCATATGACTAATTCCTTAAGGAAGAGAATTCCAGACAGAGGATAGCTAATACAAATGCTCTGAGTGTTAACACACAAAGCGTGTTCTTGTAATTAGTGCCTATTATGATTTCAACAAAATAATAAAGTAAAGATTAAAAGAATATGAGACTGTCAAGGTAACAGGAGGACACATCTCTTTGATCCTTTAGGGAATTTTGAGGCCTTTGACAATTTGAGTATTTATAGAAGAAAAGGGTTATTCTGACTACTATGTAGAAATGTGTGAGGGAAGGTGGGAATTTGGTAGAGTGGTTAAGAAGCTGCTTGGATACCCATATCCCATATCAGAATGCCTGGGCTCGAGTCCTGCCTGTAGGACTCAGAAATTAAAAATTGCTGTACCAGGTAGTCAGCTTCTTTATCTGCCATTCTCTCTTTCATGTATTTTCATTCATTCTACTAAGACTCTGTCTCCTGTACTGTCAAATTCAAGTAAGTCTTATTCCAAGTGCTCAAGTGAGGGGACACTGAAAAAAAAGCCATAGATTATAAAGTAATAAGCTACAAATATTTAAGAATTGTTTTTAGGACACTGGGTGCAGGATGTGGAGCATTGGAGTCACACTATGGTTAGGAGGAAGTAGTAGTACCTGCCTGTTGTTCTGAGTGATGGATGAGCATCCTGGGGACTGGGAATGGTATTTGCAGACAGATCAAGGAACAGCATCACCAGCTGACAAGACCTATGTGGCAGGAGGGAAATTGACTCTTGGTCTGGAGCCATTCAGAATATCTTCCATCTTGTGCCACATTTATGAGAAAAGGAGATTTTTAGAAAAGGATTCTGGCTTCTGCTTTAGGAGATAACTACCATTGTTAGCTAGGACATAGCTCCTGAGAAATAGATTTGGAGCAGTTTTTGGTCAACCACTTACTGTCATCTTGCTTATCAGACAGTTGCACCTGTTATTTGTTTCAGCTAGTCATTATAATATCACTGTTAAATCAGGACCACTTCCTAGAATTGAATTCTGGGGGAAAAAAAATGCCATAGATTCAGGGTATTAATTCTCATTCTTCTTTCCCTTCTCCCTGGATTTTTTTTTTTAATTTTTGTTTATCTGTGTAAACACAGCCATAGACTATGAATGTGAGTCTCGTTTCTGGAACGATACTTTTCTTTCTTTCTTTCTTTCTTTCTTTCTTTCTTTCTTTCTTTTTTTTTTTTATTTTCTAGACAGGCAGAGTTAGACAGTGAGAGAGAGAGAGAGAGAAAGTTCTTCCTTTTTCCGTTGGTTCACACCCCAAGTGGCCGCTATGACTAGTGCATCACGGCCTGCGTGCTGCACTGATCTGAAGCCAGGAGCCAGGCACTTCCTCTTGGTCTCCCATGCGGGTACAGGGCCCAAGGACCTGGGCCATTCTCCACTGCACTCCCGGGCCACAGCAGAGAGCTGGACTGGAAGAGGAGCAACCGGGACAGAATCCAGTGCCCCAGCTGGGACTAGAACCTGGGGTGCCGGTGTCACAGGTGGAGGATTATCCTAGTGAGCCGCGACGCCGGCCCTGGAACGATATTTTTCAAAAGTGGCACAAGAGATGTGCAGGTAGAGATACACAGATCAGTATGAAAAATAGCTATGCTAAACCACTTGACTTAGAATTCTCTGCATAGCCACCAGTGTTTTCCAGGGCAAGCACAGTTGTGTACAAGTAATAGGCACATACTATGAAAGGTGTTAAATTGTTGGCTTTCATTTTGAATTTTAAGACACTGTTGGGCTGAACAAGTTGATTTGGCAAAAGTTGTTTATTACCCAGTAGTACATTGAACAACATCAAAATTTACATAAAAATTGTGTGGGGGAGAGAGAGAGAGGGAGGGAACAGCTAGGCCAAGACCAAAGCCAGTAGCCTGGAAATCAGTCCAGTTCTCTCATGTGGGTGGCGGGAACTCAATCACTTTTGAGCCATCATGTACTTCCTCCCAGAGTCTGCATGAGCAGGGATCTGGAGTCAGGCACCTGAGGTAGGATTCAAACCCAGGCAATCTGACCAGTGTCTTAACCTCTAAGCCAAAAGCCTGCTCCCAAGATTTAATTTGATTAAAAAAAAATCTGTTTTTGGCAGGAGTTTTTAATCTACATATTTTGAAAATTACACCAGTAATTGTTATCTTTTTGCTGAAATATGGTTTGTTGTTATTTTAGGTGGTGCAGGCAACAGGAGGTCCTGACCTAGCCAGTTCAGTACTTAGTCCTCTCTTGACTAAGGACACGATTGACTTCTTAAGTTACACTGTCAACACTGAGGAACGGCAGTTGTGGATGTCACTGGGAGAAGCCTGGATGAAAGCCAGGTAAGCAATATGAATTCAGCATTTAATGCCTGTAATGCTTTTAGGTATGGTTCTTTGCTTATTACACGGATCTAATGAGACATTGATTTAATTTTCTGTATACGAAGGACTAGATCTTGTAGTATGAAAAAACCTAAGCCCTTAAAAAGCTAGACATCTAATGGGAGAGAGAGAAATACATACAATATAAGAAAATGAATGCCATGAGTAGTCATAAATAAATGCTGTTGGTTGACAATCTGGAATAATAAGGAGGAAGATGTAGAGAGAAGGGTAGTTAGCTTTCAAAGAAGAGCTGGCATTTAAAATCAAGAATATGGAATACTAGTAGGAATATGTATATATACAACTATGTATACGTATACATGCATGCATAGTGTATTTAGTGCTTATACAAACTTACACTTCACATAGGTAGTCTTGTTATTCTGTTACACAGATGAAGAAAGTGAGGCACAGAGAGGTTGAGTATTTTGCCCAAAGCCTCACAACTTGTAAATAAGGAGCAGGGATATGAACCTAGGCCATCTGGCTCTAGAGTTGATGTTCATACCTACTTGGCTTAAAACTGCCTTTCAGCAGGATCACTAGGGTTTTTGCAAATGCATAGCAGGGAGAGGGCCTTCCCAGTAGAGGGTGAAGTGCAAGTGAGTGCTTGAAGCAGGAAATTTAAGAGAATGGAATATGAGCAAAGGCATAGTTGCCAGAAGAGGAGCGACATTTAATGAGGCAGACCAAGAAAAGCAGGGCTGGATTATGAAGACTTCCACTGCCATGCCAAAGGTTGGATTGTGGCCCTGTGGGTTTTGGAGGGCTGGTAATGTTGTTAACAGGAATGTGACATAATGCCATCAGGTTTTACAAAGATCAACCTGATGGCTGAATCTAGCAAAAACAAGGGGAAAAGTAACTGGAGGGAGAGAGGCTCTTGGAATATTATTGCCATAGTAGAGGTTTATTCTCTTGGACTGGGACAGTCAGAGTGGGATTGGTAAGGAAGCGTGGAAATTTTAAGAATTGTGCATTTGGGGCCTGCATTGTGGTACAAAGGGTTAAAATGCCACCTGCAATGCTGGCATCCGCTGTGAGCGCTGGTTTGAGTACCAGCTGCTCTACTTCTGATCTGGCTCCCTGCTAATGTGCCTGAGAAAGCAGTGGAAGACAGTGTAAGTTCTTAGGTCTCTGCCACTACATGGGAGACCTGAATGGAGTTCTTAGCTCCTGAGTGGCCTAGTCCAGCCCTGGCTGTTGCAGGCATTTGGGCAGTGAACCAAATCTCTCTTTCTCTTTGTCTCTGTATCTGCCTTTCAAAAAAAAAAAAAAAACTTTAAAAAAATTGTACATTTGTCAATGAAATTATTGTGGAAGACACGTAATAATTGCACTTCTGACATTTGCTGAGCAAGGCAGGTTATAAAAATATTTCTGATTTTATGATATGTGAATAATTTTTATTCTGTTCATTTACCCAACTCTTTTTTTAAACATTTATTTATTTATTTATTTGAGAGACAGAGTTACAGACAGGAGGAGATACAGAGGTCTTCCATCCACTGGTTCACTCCCCAAATGGCCACAAACAGCCAGCCAAAACAAAGCCAGGAGCCAGGAGCTTCTCCCAGGTCTCCCACATGGGTGCAGGGGCCCAAGCACGTGGGCCATCTTCTGCTTTCCTAGGCCATACGCAGAGAGCTGGATTGGAAGAGGAGCAGCCGGGACATGAACTGGCACCCATTTGGGATGCCAGAGCTGCAGGCTACTATGCCACAGCTCTGGCCCTCAAGTCTTTACTTCTCTCGTTAGTAGAACATTCAGTATGATAGCTTACAAGTTTGTCTTCCTAATGTTTTTGAATGGGCTAGTCATAGACCAGTCTATAATTTTTTTCCTTTTCTTTTTCTCCTATTGAAACATATAATAATCATTCCCAAATGTTTTGAACTTTGACAACTGTTTGTACTGGGATATAATTTATACTTTTAGTGGTTCACTGAACAACAAATTCTTTGAAAGCACTGCAGTTGTTGCTTTTATATTACAATTAATATTTATGTATATTATCTATTTATTAATATATGAAATCCATCCAGATAAGAGCTCTTCAAAAGCTTCATTGAAACACTTATTATGAATATACTATTCATGGATTTCAAAACTTTTTGTGCTGAAATAAACAATTCCATTTTTTCTACAAACACTTCAAAGTATCCTTGTTTCATACATGTAATTTTCTATACATATGATATATAAACTAATTAAATACATTTCCTTAATATTAGATTTATACAGGCTGTGATTTTATGATAAGCCTTCATGAGCTGTCCTGAATTTTTTTCATATAGCCTACTAAATTAATAAGATCTCATAGTGCCAAAATAGCTAAGGTTCTTTAGTTTCTTTGGGTCTTACCTCAAAATAAGAAAAACCAATGACCATTTGTAAAATTGCATCAAAAAAGGAAATGTGGGGTAGAGTGTGTGTGCAGAAATTATGTCACCCCTTGGGATGCCTTAATTTGCTATCAGACTACCTGGTTTGAGTCCTGGCTACTCCACTTTCTAAACAGCTTTCTGCTGTTGTGCACCCCGTGAGGTAGCAGGTGATGGCTCAGGTACCTGGACTCCTGCCTCTTGCATGGGACACCTTGACTGAGTTCTGGGCTCCTCAGCCTGGCCCAGTCCTGGCTATTTGCAATTATTTAGGGAGCGAACCGGCAAATGGAAGGTCTGTCCCTTGGTGTGTCTTTGTTTCTCTTTCTTCCTTTCAAACTGATGAAAATATGTTAACTCTTAACATGAGAAAAGGGCAATTTCTGACTCTAATTATTATAAATATTAGGAAATGAATGTCCCAATGTAGAAACAAAGATGGAAAGAATCATAAAGGTACATACTAATCTGAATAATGTGACTCATTTCAGCATTTTAGAAATATAACATGAAGAGTTAAATCTTGTATGGAAAGAGAAAGTAGCACATTTTGACAAAAATGAAGTTAGACTTTCTGTCCTAGTTATTTTTGTGGTTCATGTGTGATTAGGAGCTTGTAGAAGTAAATCTCACTCAGTCATTAGATGATGAATGGATAGTGATTATGATTACAGATTAGTTGACCTCACTGATGAAAACCAAGTAGATACATTTAATTAATAAAATTGGTCATCTGTTTTAGGGAACTTCATAGTTTAAAAGCACATAAACCCCAAGAACATGCTGGTCTGTTTTTCTTTCTTTGTTAAAGGCGTAGGAACAGACATACACATGGCACACGTGTGCATACACACACACATACACACACAGATATACAGACAGAAAGCTCTCCTCCACTGGTTCACTATCCAAAGGCCCACAAGCTAGGGCTGGGTCAAGCCAAAGCCAGGAGGTCAGGACTCAGTCTGGATCTCCCACATGGGATGCAGGGACCCAACTACTTGAACCACTACTTTTGCCTCCCTGGGTTTACACTAGCAGGAAGCTGAAAGTGGAAACCACTAAGACTAGAACCCAGGCACTCTGAAGTGAGGTGTTGGACTCCCAAGCAGCATCTTAATGGCTGGACAGGTATCCTCCCAGGGATATTTTTCTTTGAAAGACAGCTGTAATATCAGGGGAATTCATAATGGTGGGAGAGGAGAGAGGGGAAAGATAAGAATCTGAAGCATTTTAGATACTAGAGAAGGTTATGCTCTAACTACTATCATACCTGTGCCTTCTCACTTCCCTCACACAAATCTTTAAAAAAAAAACCTACATCCATGTTAAAAAAGTTTGGTTTAGTGGAGAATTGAATTGGGGCAGTTTAGGGAAAACAGAACATGCCACAGAATTCAATATTTATTTCATTCCATTAGTATAAACATGTTTGCTTTCCCTTTTTGGATAACTGGAGGGCAGGCTGGGCATGTGTTTTTGTTTTGATTTGACTAGGCATACTGAAGATTATTGTGAGCATGGATGCATTTCTTAATGTTATTGCTTCTGTGTCTTCTTGTCCTCCTGCAGAACAGAGTGGCCAAAAGAGCAGTTTATTCCCCCCTATGTCCCACGTTTCCGCAATGGTTGGGAGCCACCAATGCTGAACTTCATGGGGGCACCAATGGAGCAAGATCTTTATCAACTGGCTGAGTCCGTGGCAAACGTAGCAGAACATCAGCGCAAACAGGAAATAAAAAGATTATCTACAGAGGTAGTCTTTTAACATCACCCTTCTCAGTGCGATAATCCGTGTGTCCTGTTGCAATTCTGAGCATTCCCATTTTGATCTGAAGATTGTTCTAGAATCAATTGACTGAACATTATGCTTTCCCTCTCCCTCTCACCTTTTTGTCATTTTTGTGACAGTCGCTCTGTCCCTCAGCCTACACCATTCTCTCCAGCCTGCCCTTTCTGCCCTGCTCCCTGGGCCTTGGCGACTTAAGTCTCCTTGTGTCATACTTTTCCTTGTCAGCAAATGTCCCTGGTGCTTTTGGTTGATTTCGTGCTATTTTTCCTCTTCTGTCTTCAGACCTTCAAGACAGTCCTCTAAACCTGGGTCCTGCAAGCCTGTCCCAAGCATCTCTTTCCTGAATGCCCAGATTCTTCTTTTTTGCCTAATTCTAAATTTCCAGAGCCCTGTCAGCCTGGCTAGAGAACCAAAGCTTTTTCTACTAGTCCTCAGGTGCAGATGGTCATGTACAGCCCTAGGACACCTTGAGAAATCTTAACATATATTATGTCTTCTAAGAATTTAGTAAGCTGTACCATATGAAGTAATGTATTTGGGGAGCAACTGGAAGGCACAAAATTGGACATGTCATCACATCTCTTAAAAATGAGTTTTCTGTGACTCTTGTTCTGGGGAAAAAAAATTGAGCATTAATTAAAGTTGGTCCAAGCACAAATAGGATGACCATAAATCAGAAGAATGAGGTCTAGTTTGATGAGGCAATAGTAAACAAGGAATAGATCCTCCTAATGTCCTAATTTTTTCCTTTGTTCCATTCCTTAATTTTCAAACAGAGCTATATAATGTGGCAAGCATGATAGGAGCAAATGAATTGGCAAACCATAGGGAATTATACCCTATGACCACTTTTAAAGAGAAACATGTATAATAATTAAATTTCTTAAAACAGTCCCTTCCAAGGGCCAGTGCCGTGACTCACTTGGTTAATCCTCTGACTGCAGCGCCAGCATCCCATAGGTGTGTGGATTCTAGTCCCGGTTGCTCCTCTTCCAGTCCAGCTCTCTGCTGTGGCCCAGGAGGGCACCTGCACCCGCTTGGGAGACTAGGAGGAAGCACCTGGCTCCTGGCTTCGGATTGGCATGGTGCCGGCCGTAGCGGCCATTTGGGGAGTGAACCAATGGAAGGAAGAGCTTTCTCTCTGTCTCTCTCACTGTCTAACTCTGTCAAAAAAAAAAAAAAAAAAAACTTTGGGAAAAAATAATCCCTTCCAGAATCTATTCTTTATACATTAATACTATTGTAGCAGTTTGGTTAAATTCCTGAAATTTTCAAAGTCAGACAAATGTACTGCTTTGAAATAGGTTATTTTCTATTGTATTGTCTCCCTCTGACTGCATCTCAGGGAAGAGGTGGATTTCGTGTCTGCCCTTTCCTCTGTATGTGAGTAGTTAAGATGACCTCACTGCTCTGGGCCTTGGTTGGCACGCAGGTGTCCTTGCCTGTATTTTATAGACCTCATCACTATGAGTTTTGTTTCCATTTAGAGGAGAACTTTTCTAGAAGGAAAAAAACAGATGTAATCAGGCATGAAATTATGATACACTTGCCGTTCCTATAGTTACAGCTGACTGTTTTCAAGTCATAAAATTTGCAGTTGTAGTCTTCATATCTTAAATAGCTAATATGCCCAGATTTTGTTATGTATTCCTCAGAAATTCACTTTTGTGAGTTCTTTTTTCAGTTCGTGTACTTAAGGAAAGAGCACTATGTTTTGGTCTTCCAGGTTATAAATTTGTCTACTCTTCACTGTATAAGTAATTTAAAAAAATATTGAGAACCCTTCCTTGTAATGAGTTATCATTTTCCTGTTGTAAAGCATTTTCCATTATGTAGCTCAGGTGCATTCAGAGGTTTAAGAAAAAAAAAAGAAATGAAAAATGCCTGCTAGCGATTCTAGGGGATTTTATACCTTGAGATTTTTTTTGGAAAAGAGGACAAGTAATGGTGATGTACAATGCACAAAAAATGTAATAATTCTTAGAAGAGAGATTTTATTGCACTTTATTGCTACTATAATAAATACATTTACGACAAGACTTGGGCAATTCAGGATCTGGTGATTTTTGTGTGTAATTGAAAGGCAGTGGGTGATGTGACTGACAGGTGTGGGTGGCAGTACTCAGCCACCGTACTTCCTCTGAACCAGGCGTGGCCCTGAGCAAGGCTGTGTAGTCATCACACTTACTCATCGCCATGGTTGCTCTCCCTCCCTTCTCTCCAGTCACTCCCAGTACCCTGTGAATTCCTACTGGCTGACCTCACTCTGTTATGTTCAGAGCTGGGCAAAAGGTGTGAGTGAATAGAAGTTTCTTGTATTCCTCCCTTTAGATCAGCCTTTAATTAAAAAAAAAAAAAAATCAGATCAAATTTAGTTCCCTGTGCTAAAATTTGCTAATTGAATTTAATGCCTCTGCTCTCTCACAGGGAAATGATAAACTGAATTAATCGAACTCAGATATTTAAATGACTGAAAATTATTTATGTTGTGTGAATTGCGGTATCATGGTATATATTTTAAATATAATATGGGTATATATAATATATATAATCTATATAATAATATACTGTGGGTATTTTGGCATTAACACTGGCCCATTCATGATGCCCTACGTACTTTGTCTATGTTTAAACTCAACCCTTCTCCTGCTACCTTTAGTAATCATGCATTTACAACTTTTCTAAAACATCCCAATTTCAAATATTTTCCCTAGTAAATCTATAAACAATTTAAATTTCCCAGAAATTCCAGTGCCTCCTTGTTCATCATGCTTCTCTCATACTTAATTTTACCTAAACAAGCAATATGAAAATCTTAAGGTAATGTTTCTATTTTTTTCCCTCCCAATCTGAGTGTTTACTCTCTATAGCTTTAAAACTATGGTGCTCAATGGGACCCATAGTTTCCAGCTCCCCCTCTTGTAGCACCTGGCCTGGTAGGTAGGTCAAGTTTGGCTGGTACTATCAGCAAAAAAAAAAAAAAGGACTCCAGTCTTATTTTATCCTGAACTCTTTTACTCTCAAAATCAATGTATTTGTGACTTCTGTGTTTTCCTTAGTAGCAAGTCTGATAATAGTGCTTCCATTTAAAAAAATAAAAATAATTTTTTGTGTACAATTTAAAAATGAGAAAAATGAGATGGTGGTATAATTTTATTTTAATAGGTTGCTAAAATTATTTATTAATTTTTTAAAGATTTATTTATTTTGAGAGTCAGAGTTAGTAAGAGTGAGAGGGAGAGACAGAGAGAGAGGTCTTCCATCTGCTGGTTTATTCCCCAGATAGCTACAATGGCCCAGGCTAGGCCAGGCCAAAACCAGGACCCGAGATACAGGAGCTTCCTACAGGTCACCCACATGGCTACAAGGGTCCAAGCACTTGATCAGTCTTCTGCTGCTTTCCCAGGTACATCAGCTGGGAGCTGGATCAGAAATAGAGCAGCCAGGACTCAAACCAGCACCCATATGGGATGCTGTCATCACAGGAATTTCTTTACCTGCTACATCATGGTGCCGGGCCCCAGTTTACATTTGCTAATAGGCTATGCTTCATATTTCCACATCCTCAAATTTTTATTTGAGAAAATTTAAATTATTTTAAAAATTGACACGTAAAAATTGTATGTTTTTATGAGGTACCATGTGATGTTTTGGTATATGTACACATTTTATAATGTTCAAATCAGGAGCAATATATCCATCTTCTCAAACATTTATCTTTTCTTTATGCTGAAAACATTCAAAATTTATTTTTCTAGTTTGTCTGAAATACATACTACATTATCATTATTGATAGTAACCCTATTTACACCAGAACAGCAGAACTTATTGCTCCTATTTAGTTGTAACTTGGTAAAGCTGTTGACCAACTTTTCACCATCCCTCATTCCCCCCTTCAGGTGATTTTTCATATGACACTGTTGACTTGGTAGAATGGTGAAGGTGTATTTTTCAAACAGAGAGCAAGAGTTAAAGGCTTTGCTTCCCAACTCTCTTTATTTTATATAGCTGATAAAGTCTTTCTAATACCAAAGCCATGTATTATTGAAATTCCTATTGAAGAAATGTGTTGCTTTTATATTTGGTTATTATCAGAATTCAAATTTAGCCTTTGCACTAATGACTTTTCTTATTATAAGTATGCCTTGGTCTAAATGGATCCCTCTCATTTTATAATTTATTAACATAATGGCCAGCCACTTGAAAATGGAAGCTGATGACAGCGTGGTAGCAGGTTTTTGTTGACTGAGAAGAATACTCCTTCAGGTGGTCACTGGCGACTCCTGACTCCATCTTGCTCTGTCTTTCAGCACTCCAGTGGATCGGAATACTCTCCTGATGCATATGCATACAACAGCAACATGTACACGAGAGGGCCCCATCTGGACCAAGGGGAAGCTGCTGTTGCATTTAAGCCAACTCCCAACCGCCATGTAGATAGGTAACGTTTAATGGGTACCATTTGCAGCACTGTAGTTTTCTGTCCCTCATTTAGCGCTGATAGAGTGACGGGGCCTAAATTGCATTCTACTACTTTACACTTTTCATCAGTAAGTATACAGAACTGGTTTTGATGAACAACAAAAGTTATCTGGATTTTCAGTCTATAACTCTCACATGGTGCCAATGCCTTTTGGGGATTTTCTCTTTCTTAAAACATACTTTTGACAAAAATCTGTGCATTAAGAAGAAAGAAGAGGGGCCGGTGCTATGTTGTGGGTAAAGCTGCCGCCTGCAGTGCTGGCATCCCATATGAGTGCCGGCTTGAGTCCCAGCTGCTCCACTTCCAATCCAGCTCTCTGCTATGGCCCAGGAAACCAGTGAAAGATGGCCCAGGTCCTTTGGCTCCTGCGCTCATGTGGGAGACCTGAAGGAAGCTCCTGGCTTCAGATAGGGGTAGCTCCGGCTGTTGTGGCCATCTGAGGAGTGAACCAGTGGATGGAAGACCGACCTCTATCTCTCTCTGCCTCTCCCTCTGTGTGACTTCCTTTCAGATAAATAAATACATCTTTAAAAAAAAATAAAGAAAAAGCAATGAACTTGAAACTATCAGTGTGCACCAGATGGTCTCTAAGGATCTTTCCATTTCTGTAACTTTTAAAGGAAACCATTTCCATCTTTCTCTTACCCAACAAAGATAGACAGCCTTCCTTTAGATAGAAATATTGCAACTAAATATTTGCAGTCAAGGCCTTACTCTATGCTTGCCATTTCCTCTTATATTTTATCTTTACTTTCCAGTTTTACATCTCATTCATTTTCCTGTGTTTTTACTCCTAAAAAACTTAACATGGCAGAGATGGAGAATTGGGATGGAGAAGAAATAAAATAATGGGACTAATTTCTCTCTAGTCTCTCTCCTCACTCTCGTCTCTCTAGTATTTCTCCTCCGCTCGCCTCTCCTCTCCTCTCCCTCTCTCCCTCTCCCTCTCCCTCTCCCTCGCCCTCTCCTCATCCCTCTCCCTCTCTCTCTCCCGCTCCCTTCTCCCTCTCCTCTCCCTCTCCCTCGGCCCTCTCCTCCTCTCTCCCTCTCCTCCTCGATCTCTCTGCTACATCCTCTCTCCCTCTCCCTCTCCCTCTCCCGCTCCCTCTACGCTCTCCCTCTTCCCTCTCCCTCTCCCCCTCTCCCTCTCCCTCTCCCTCTCCCTCTTCCTCCCTCTCCCTCTCTCTCCATCTCCTCTCCCTCTCCCTCGCCCTCTCCCTCTCGCTCTCCCTCGCCTCTCCCTCTCCCTCCTCTCCCTCTCCTCGCCCTCTCCCTCTCCCTCTCACCTCTCCCTCCTCTCCTCCCTCTCCCTCTCCCTCTCCCTCTCCCTCTCCCTCTCCCTCTCCCTCGCCCTCTCCCTCTCCTCTCCCTCTCCCTCTCCCTCTCCCTCTCCCTCTCCCTCTCCGCTCTCCTCTCCCTCTCCCTCTGTCCTCTCCCTCATCCCGCTCCCGTCCCCTCCTCCTCCCTCTCCCTCTTCCCTCTCCCTCTCCTCTCCCTCATCCCCTCTCCTAAGCAAGTTAGGTTTACAAGAAGGTCAACCCATATACAAAAGACAAAGAAAGGGAGGTGGATTATTGGTAGCAAGGATATAGAAGCATAGTCTTTCAGATGAACTGGAGTAGAGAAATTGCCTTTGGTTATTTCTTAACTCATAGCCTATCTTCTCATGAATGTTACATGCCCTTTGTTTTCAATATACTTGTAATATAATCTGAAGCAGATGGAATTTAAATGTTTTGTTCTTTGTCAGGGATGATGACAGAGATAGTACTTTGGTCGTTGGTGTGGTCACTATGTGGATATTACTCTCAGTGCACTACTAACATATTGAGGACAAAGAAAAGTCAGCAATGAGGAATATATTTTGAAAATGAAAATGTCTGAAATAATTTTTAATTAGAATTGTCTTTTAGTAGATACAGGTGAAAATCAATTTTGAATCTTAAGCATTACTTCATTGCAATTCTTCTTGACTAACTCCCTGCACGTCCAGATATTTTCTTTCTTGCATTCAGTGTTGGATGCAAAGATTCTAGGAATTATTTCATTTTAGTATTTTTTAACATTTTCTTTTTGTCTTGTCACTTCAGTAAATCAGGATGATTTTCCACAGCGAAGCAGCTAGAAAACCATTTGAGTGCATTTCTCATGGATGCTCAGATTTATAATATATATTTCTACCAGAAAACTTTTATCGTGTTCCATTGTTAAGACCATAGTAGTATATCATGAACAGTAAGTGTAGATGTACTGGATTGATGGAGTGAACGATGGAGTAAGTACATGAGCATGCATGCAACATTTCAGAGTCACTGCTTCCCTGTCCTGCACCCAGAAATCAGTAAGGTCTAGCATCACTGGTGTGATAATTTGGCTTAGCAGCTGGAGGGGAAGATTGACAGCCACCTAGAGTTCTGGTATTCTGTAGATGATTTGTCATCGTTATGCTAAAAACTGTGCATGAGTTCTGGGTTAATCTGAAATACACAGAGGTTTGGAATTATAACAATAATGATAACATTAATAACTATTTTTCTTCCTCTTGCATTCTACCACATGACAGGAGTACAGAATGCAGTAGGTACCAAGTGAAGTGTATTCACTATTCAGTGAAATTACCATGTCATTAAGGAGACCATCTGTTGAATTTAGATCCCTCACCTTTGAGTGACTACAGTTTGCTGCACTTTAGGTGCAATTAGTCTCTTGGAGAAGTCTCAGAATATTGTTGTCTACATATGTGCCCTGGATCAATTGACGTGTCTGTTGTTCCTGGTTAGAAATAGAGACTCTGTCATTGAAACATTCTGGATGTCTTAAGAAACTTTAGTACATCAGAGAAATTACAAACTGTGTCATTTTTTTCCAGTTGACACCTAGTGTCGGTGTCATATCCAAGTTTATAGAGGGTAAGAAACCACTATAAAGATTTGCAATTCTAAAGTACTTAATGAGTGCATGCTGGGTAACTACCTGTGAGGCAGCCAAGATGGCAAAGACTTCAAAGACAGCTGCAGCACACTTTTCTTTTTATCTCACCCACTCAGATCGCTAGAGGCAGGTAATCATTCTCTTGGTTATGGTACACTCAGCTGTCCATTATTAGCTGTGATTCGTTTCCAGATCACAGGAGAGAACGTGGGGGAAGAGAGAAAGACAGAAAATTGAAGTTACTCTTCTCCTAACTTTTGGGGTCGTTGAACCTCTTATCTCCCAAATGAGATCTTAATGGCATGTGTATATGTAAAGTAGATAAAAGCAGAGCTTGTCCAGTGGGGTAGGAGGAACAGGAAACCCACAGAAAACAGTTTTTTAATTATTACTGTTAATAGTGCATATCTAAAATTGGTAGGAAAAGAAAATTACATCCATAAAATTATAATATATTCATTAACAGTAATTGTTATTTATTAATATAAACAGTTTATTAATAGTAATTATATATATATACATATGTGTTTGTGTATATATATTATATATATACACACACACACACACACACACACACACAAATATATCAGATCTCTTAAAGGTAACCAATAGATAGCACATCTTTCAGGTCATCTTTTTTCTTTGTCTTCATCCCCCATCTCCTGTGGAGTTACTATAGAAGACGTAGTACATACCTGTGCACCTAGGATGACCGAATGCATTGCCTTACAACCATCCTGCAGGCCCTGTTGTAACTCAGCATTCTAGAGAACTTAGTAGACAGCAGAAAGAATGGTCACTGCACAAGGGTAGGATGACCAACATCCTATCTCTTTCTGCTTTTTCTTTTGAAGAGATGTATGAGGAAATGTGGGAAAATAAATGGAGGAGAAGATTAGGGAGTAAAATTAATAAAGAAGAATTGATGTTACCTATTATTGCAATAGATGAAAAATACATTTTAATGAATCAAGTTTTATTGTGTTATGTAGTTTTTAAATTGTGTTTTAAAATCTCAATATTCATTTAGTGATGAAAAGAGGTATGTGGATTTTAAGAATTTTTTTAAAGATTTTTTTATTAATTTAATTTATTTATTTGGAACAAAGGTAGGAAGAAAGAGAGAGGGAGGTTTTCCACCACTGGTCCACCCACCAAATGCTTTAACAGCCGCCAGCTTTGAGCCAGGCCAAGTCAGAAGCTAGGTACTCCGTCTTGGTTCCTCATGTGCGTGGCAGGGGCCCAAGTACTTGGCCCATCTTCCATTATCTTCCCAGGTACACTGTTAGCAGGAAGGTGGATTGGAAGCAGAGTAGCTGGGACTGGAACTGGTACTCCCAAATGGGATTCTGGTGTCACAAGCAGAGGCTTAACCCACTGTGTCACAATACCATGCCCAAAAAAAGAATTTTTTAAAAATCGTGACCCCGGGTATGTGTCGTCAATATTTTAAGAACTTTACAGTGAGTTTATTTATTAATTAATTTAATTTTAAATATATATATTTGAATCAGAGACATTATTTACATTAGTGAAATCAACATATAACAAATCAACTGCCATGGAAATGATCTTATCTTTAACTATATGAAAAATGCTGGGGGCCGGCACCGTGGCTCACTTGGTTAATCCTCCACCTGCGGCACCGGCATCCCATATGGGCGCCGGGTTCTAGTCCCAGTTGCTCCTCTTCCAGTCCAGCTCTCTGCTGTGGCCCGGGGAAGGCAGTGGAGGATGGCCCAAGTGCTTGGGCCCCTGCACCCGCATGGGAGACCAGGAGAAAGCACCTGGCTCCTGGCTTTGGATTGGCACAGACACCCAGTTTGCTCATTTTAATAGGGAGAACCCTACAATTCTTTTTATTTCTCAGGTTTTATAAAATATAATATAATAAAACTAAGCTACTGTCTAAATAACTTGTCACAAAGTTTTCTAGCACGATTTGGCTTACCTTAAAGTTTTAACTTTTGTTTTCAGCGTTTAGTAAGAACTTGTAGAATGGTCATCATTTTTCTTTCTTTTTAACAGAAATTATGACCCAGTGAAAACACAACCCAAGAAATATGCCAAATCCAAGTACGACTTTGTAGCAAGGAACAACAGTGAGCTGTCGGTCCTAAAGGATGATATTTTAGAGGTAATAGCATTGTGCCCTTTTTATACTCTTAATAAAGTATATTTATTGGGTTCTTCTTTTGGTATCTATCTAAACCTTCCTCAAAGGACTACTGAGGTCAAGAAATTATTTTAGTGCATATCATGTCACTAAGGGTCCAGTGTACTGGAGACTATGTTTGCTTATCTGTCTTAAGAGGGGGTAGGGGTAGATTTCTTCTGGGTTTACATTCATTCCTCTTTCAGGCTTTCTTCAAAACTAGTTATCAGTTCATGCATAGATGCACTGTAATATATTAATAAGGGAAAATATTTCCTTCTTTTATCCTAGTATCTTTGCCGAGCTGTACTCAGCAGTGAGCTACTAGTGTTAGCAAGTCTACTGTGACAAATACCTTTCTTAGGTTATAACTGAGGGCTTACCTCTTTGAATACATAAGATGAATTAAGGCAAATTTTGTAAAGAAACATGGTATTTATACTTCTCCTTTTTGTTCCAAAATCACAGACGGTAGGACTTACTGAGAGTCATCTTAACACTCTGGAGTACAGTCTTCAGATCGTGCAGATGTACATTTGCGAGGGAATAAGGTCCTTAGTGATACCGTACCTGTTTTGTTTTAATAAATATAATTCTTCATGTGATTCCTGGGAATCATTCTGTCAGCATTATGTTGACACTGAGTCAACTCTCAGGGGTGAAAATTTTGGGGTGGGAGGTTGAAGTCTAGGATTAAAAATAACCCAACTTCCTTCATAGACTGATTTTTATATGGTAATTATGCCTCTGTTTCCTTGCACTGACAGATACTTGATGATAGGAAGCAGTGGTGGAAAGTTCGAAATGCAAGTGGAGACTCTGGATTTGTGCCAAATAACATTTTGGATATCGTGAGACCTCCAGAGTCTGGTTTAGGGCGTGCTGACCCGCCATATACGCACACCATACAGGTAATTGTGCTTTTCTTCTTCAGCAAAACTAATATTTACCCGTTTTTAAATATATCACTCTTAAACAGAATTTTAACTCTTTTGGTGTCATTATTTTGAGATTTTATAGGTTGCATATTATTTTGAGAGTACTTGGGTGGCAGTGATGAGAGGCACAGGGAAGAATTACACATGTATTTTCTCATTTACCTCTTTAGGAAATAGTTTAAAATGTGTGGCAATGGGTGACTATTTCTCTAAATGCTTTTCTTCTTTCCCTATAATATTTCTGATAACTGGAGAAATAGTGTTTCTGTCGTTTTTCCCAGAGCTCTCCCGTCCACCAGTGGTCTCTTGCAGAGGGTGACCCTGAGACAGTGGCAGGAGACTCCAGCAAGTCCCCAGCCTCTGCTGTCAGTGTCTTCAGTGTTCTGTCACAGAACAGCCTTGTGTCTGCACTCATCTGTCCTTACACCAACACACAAGTGTTGGTTCAGTTGGACTGTAACACCGTCTCCACTTCTTGACTCTAAGATTATAATACCCTTAACAGTGTTGAGTTGATCAGTCAGGCTCTCTCCTTGATCCTTGAATAGTCCTGGAGGCCCATGCCACATTTCCAGGATTTCAGGGACCCTGGTCATCTCATTCACCCTAATATATGAATTCACTCGTTGTTAAACTCCTGGGGTTTTAGACCTGTGAGAAGCGCTCTGGAGTCTGATCTGCCAACTGAGACAGAATGAATAGACATTCCCATGGGCAGCCTCTAAACCTGGGTGACTTATTTTCCTGGATAGAATTCCTTTAGTGTTCAGAATCTTGAGAAGAAGATGGCAACTGACCCTGTATTGCTGCCCTGAATTTTGAGTAGAAGTTACACAGACTGTGCATTGGCATAGTTAATTTTATGCCAGGTCCAGGCTTAATAAAATAAAGATTGCCCATTTCTAGAACTGTGGTCCTCCTCCTGCTGCCTTGATGATTCATTTAAGAACTCTGCGTTCCTCCCGACATTGAAGATTAGGTCATGCATTTATCCATAGGGGCCTGGCCTCATTAGAATCCATGAATCAGACAAACATTTAAAATAAAAAATAAGGGCATAGTTTCTATATCTCAGTAATGGAAAGTGATTGAAATCCCAGAATTCTAGAAATTCTGTTTTCTGTTCTTGCATTCTGGCCTGAAGAGCATGTATGGTATGCATTTATTTTATGTTCATATTTGTCATTAGCTGTTGATGCCAAAGAAGGAGTTTGAATTATTCAAGGTATGATCTACACCATTCCGCATGGGTTTTTGAAGTGAACTTTCCAACTTAGTTTTTATTACCTTTTTCTTTCCTAAGTTCCAAACTTTTCTGAGGTTGAAATGTGGTAACCTGGCATAACATAGGTTTCTGTTTGGTTTGTGAATCCTGTTCTTTCTTTCCCATAGTGCTTTTGACCTTGTTCTTAAACATTGATCAATTATACACTTGAACCGTATGCCTTGACCAGGAGAGTATATGCCCTGTGAGCTGCATGAACTGTGTTTACTGTTGAACTCATGATGAGGTCTAAGATGCACTGCTCACAGAAGACATTCCTAATTCCTAATATGTGAGAAGAAACTAAGGGAATATATTTTATGTGTTTTAACAATTATCAGAGCCTGTCTTTCGGTGCATCTTGCAAGGAAGAAACAAACTCTAAAAAAGTAGTTAAGCTAGCATATAATATAAATTCTGTATTTTCTTCCATCTGAAATTTCCTTAGAAAAAGTTTTGTCTCTGACCTTTGAAACATTTTAATTCAAGAGTTTAATGTCTCTTAAATGTTCTGTTTACTGTTCTGTCATGTCTTTCTCTTCAATTCTGATTCCTGGTTTGAGCCATAAGTTGACTTTTTGGAAAATATTTCTGTTTAAAACTGAACCAAGACTATTAATACATGTCATCAGTATTGAGAGTACTTTTAGAAAGCTTAAGATCTACTACTATATTGTAGAGACTTTCATCTTAGATTTTTGTCAACTTTGGCACAACCAAGAATTTTTTCAAGTGCTAACAAGTTTCAAGAGTGTGTTTTGCTACTTTAAGTAAATAGAAACTTGTGGTCCTTGAAGGAGATTGCCTACTTTGGCTATTTCCTTTTAAACTTTTCCACACTATCTCACTGTCTTCTGAAAATTTCCAGATGCAACTTGAATGCAGTGATGCGTATAGAAATGTGTATCAAAGCTTTCTCTCTGTGTGTGTTTGTGTGTGTACACGCACTGTTTAGGTTGAAGCTCTCTTTTTAGAGGATATTAAAAACAATCTGCTTCTTAACACCTCCTGAAAATTTTGGGCTGAGCTCAACAAAACCAGCAAGATCTTGTAAAATTTTAATAAACAACTCAAAAATCTGCTATCTGGCACACATCCCACTCTGAAAAGATTTCTATTCTCAAGCATTTATAACATTTCTTAAATTAAAAAAAAGGGGGGGGATAGAGTAAGATGGAAAAGGAAACATGCTTAGAAATGTGTGCCACTCATTTTCATATCTCTGCAAGGGTGTCAGCAGAAACTTAGACCTAAAATGTCTAAAGAAAACTCCTGTGGCTTATTTCCAAATGACAATAAAGATCCACTGTCTTTATATAAGATTTCAGTGATCCTAATAACCTAAGCTTCTAAAATTTTGTGAGATTGAATGAAAAGATGAGTAAGACACAGAATTTTATTCATTCCACATTTATTTGCATGCAAACATCGTGTACTTGACAGAAAGCACAACGGAAAGCTAAATTCCAAACATGGCAGATCCTTTGGACAACCTTTCCTCCTGTTCTTGCTGGGTTGAGAGCAGGGACCGTGTCTCCCCTCCTCAGATGGCATATGTACACTTTTTTCTCCTTTTGTCTTTCCTGTTCAGTGATATCACAGTTTTGAAGAAATGTGAAGAGTTTATAGCAAAAAAAATTTTAGATTCTTGTCCTCCAGCAAAACACTTAAGCGTGCCTTACTGAAATGTGCTCTGTGCACACAGATAGCAATGACACTGCACTCCAAAGGAGACCAGTGGTCCATGCTCATACTCTGCCAGGCATTGTTTAAGCAGCGGAGGATGGCCCAGGTGCTTGGCCCTGCACCCGCATGGGAGACCAGGAGAAGCACCTGGCTTCTGGCTTTGGATCAGCGCAGCTGGCCGGCCGCAGCGGCCATTGGGGGGTGAACCAACGGAAAAGGAAGACCTTTCTCTATGTCTGTCTCTCTCTCTCTCTCTCTCACTGTCCACTCTGTCAAAAAAAAAAAAAATATGTTTTTATTTAGTTCAAAGGTAAAATGTCAGAGAGAGTGAGCGAGAGAGACAGTGATTTTTCATCTGCTAGTTTATTCCCCAAATGCCTGCAACAGCCAGGACTGGAAGTCAGTCCTCATCTCCCAGGTGGTGACAGGGGCCCAGATACTTGGGCTGTCACCTGCTGCCTCCTAGGGGATTTAGTAGGAGCATGCTGAGGGCAGGTGTCTTGGCACAGTGTGTTAAGCTGCTGCTTGTGATACCAGCATCCCATATTGCGTGCCTGTTCAAATCCCAGCTGGTCCATTTACCATCCAATACTTTGCTAATGTGCTGGAGAAGGCAGCAGAAAAATGGCCCAAGAAATTGGTACTTGCTTCTATATTCGTGACCTGGTTGGAGTTCTTGGCTCCTGGCTTCAGCCTGGTCCAGCCCCTGATGTTGTAGCCATTTGGGGTGTAGGGTGTGAATCAATGGATGAAAGATCCTGATATCTCTCTCTCTTTCTTCATCTCTTCCCCCCTCTTTTTCTTTCACTGTGCCTTAAATAAATATTTAAGATTAAAAAAAGAGGGAGCCTTTGCCGTGGCTCACTTGGTTAATCCTCCAACTGCAGCACCGGTATCCCATATGGGTGCCGGTTCTAGTCCCGGCTGCACCTCTTCCAGTCCAGCTCTCTGCTGTGGCCCGGGAGGGCAGTGGAGGATGGCCCAAGTGCTTGGGCCCCTGCACCCGCATGGGAGACCTGGAAGAAGCACCTGGCTCCTGGCTTCGGATCAGCGCAGCGCCAGCCATAGCAGCCATTAGGGGAGTGAACCAACGGAAGGAAGACCTTTCTCTCTGTCTCTCTCTCTCTCACTGTCTATAACTCTGTCAAGTAAATTAAAAAAAAAAATAAAATCCTTCCTCTGGATTTCAAAAAAAAAACTTTGCACCAAAATTTCTTTTTTATAAAAGAAAAAGATTTAAAAAAGAGAGAGAAAACGCTAGAAGCTGAAATTGAAAGTATAGCTGACTCTAATCCAGGCATTTTGTTATGGGATGTGGGTATCCCAAGTGGCATCTTAACTGCTGCACCAAAGCCCACCCCCCAAATATTTTAAAATGCATATAGTTTGACTCTTAGTTTTATCTCCTACACTTCCTGCGAAGAAGTGTATATGAGGGACTTCAAAAAGTTCATGGAAATTTGAATTGAAAGATAAGATTGTTTTGGTAAAAACAAATTTAAATCCATGGATAGTATTTTTTTTTCCATAATAGGAATTTTCTAGGAACTTTTTGAAGACACTTCATATGTATGGATTTCAAAAAATTTTTGTCCCAATATAAACTACATTTTAATTCCATTTTCTGCAAGCTTTTGAGAGCTTGTATTTTGTCCTTGTATCACAGGATAGCCCTTGCCTATTGTTCACACTTTTTTTTTTTTTTCAGAGATTGTGTTTGATGGCAGGGACACTCATAGCTACACCAGCAGGGAATAGGTGTTGAATTGCCACCTAGCCTCCCAGAGAGTCCAGACTATTTAATATCCTCGCATTTGGAGTGATTTTTAACAGCTCTCTACAGGCAGCTGTTCCCACCTAATGTGTTTCCCCTATGGCTTCAGCAAAGTTTTAGAAATAAAAGAAATGGAGGCATTAAAGCATTTATCCAAGATGTGGAACACTGAAATAATTGAATGCAGCCACAGAGAAAAGGAAATAAATGCTCATGAGAGAGTATGGAAGATGACAAGTCTTTTGATAGAAGTCTGGAGCGTTCCAGGCTTTGTTGTATTTTAGTGGACAACAGATGGACACCCTGGAAGCTTTCTCTGACCCGGGACCTGCTTGCCACATTAAGTTTCCTGATAGATCTTTTGCCTCCACTCCAGGCATCTCACACTGTGACTGTGCATCTACTGCTGTTACCCTTTTGCCCATGTAGATTCTCCTGCTATGAGCTAGGAGCAGAACTCCTCTGCTGGCCTACTGTGCTTTCTGACATACCCAGTGTCCTGACTAAAGAAGTCTTCAGTCTGCTATTGATTGCATATATGTGCTTATGGTTATTGTAGATGTTCCTACTCTACCGAGATACAAATAATTAAGAAAGTCCAGTCTTTATAAATTCTCTCATCTTCTCCATTTTCTGCAAGAGATGTTGGAGTACTGTAGAAGAAGTAAGCCCAAGCTAGGTAGTGGTAGACAAGGATTCTAGTCCTAGTCCTGACACTAACTTCCTTTATGAAGTCATAAAGGAAGGATTTTATTTATCTGTGCTCCAGTTTGCTCAGCTGTGAAATAGAAGAATTCAGGTTATGTAATATCCATAATTCAGCCCAGATATAAAATTGTATTATTCTCTGTAGACATGTTTAAATAGCTCTAAATTAGAAGTTGAAATATTTTCTACAGTTGATTACTGAAGTACTAATGCTGTAAATGAGATATAAATGTTTTGCTTTTTAAGCTCCATCCAAACATTGGATACCACCATTGGTACCACCATTGGATACCAAAGAGTGAGACAATTTTACTAAGAAGGCCTTCAGGTTCTTCCTGCCAGGCCAACTTCCTGATAATATTTAGTTCTTTAGAAAAAAGTTTATAAATTAATCTTAGAAGACTCTGTTCATTAATTAAAGGCATGGTTTTTAAGTGTACAACATGGAATTGTAAGATACATACACAGTAAAGTAAAATAGTTAACTGTAGTGGCACAAATTAACATATGCATCATTTCACATAGTGACCTATTCCACACCCCAAGAGCAATTATAATCTACTCATTTAGCAAGAACCCTGAATACAATTACTGGTATTAACTGCAGTCCTCATGTTGTACATTACATCTTTTGATTTACTTCATGCTTGCTATTTTGCATCCTTTAACCTGTATCTTCTCATTTGTTTCTCACTACTCCAACCTTGGTAACCCCTTTTATATTCACTCTTTTTCTGTATTTGACCTTAACAATGATTGCTTTTCATTGTGCCTCATATATTGACATTTTTCCAGAAATGTCTTGTGATAATTTGGATAATACCTGCCCTAGACATACATACATATTTGTATATATACATATATATACAGTACATATACATATACACATATGTATGCATATATGTATATATACATATATGTATACACCCATGTATATACAGTGCATATATAGCATTATAATTATATATGTGTGTGTATATATGTATATATGTATGCACATGTTCTCTATTTGGACTTCTTACAAGTTCGAAATAAAGCTACCTAAAAGCCACACCATGATGTATAATTCCTTTTTAAAATCAGCTATTAAACTGGAATTAGCTTTATATTTAATGAACTCTAATTTGCATTCTTTATAAAGTTTAAGAATGAGATGAACCTACATCTTAATTTTTTAAGCTAGTACTTTACTAGACAGTTAATACTGAAATACTCTCCACTGTTTTACTACAGTCTAATCGACATGATTATTTTTACATGGCTAGAGAGGAATTTTCGAAGTTATTTATATATTTAAAGGCTCCCTCACTGATTGATTTGTGGGCAGGTAATTTTACTGGCAGAAATTAATTTGCTCATGTGTTTGGGTATCTTGTGTGAATTCTAATTGACATTATCTTAATTCCATTGCCTGTGTTCATTTTCTCATTTGATGTGATTTGCTCCCTTCTCCTAATAGCAATTACTTGGTGAGCTGTCAGAGGTAACCTACATTCATTCTCATGGCACTTCTTTTTAATATAGTTTTTTGGATTCAGTCTCTAGACTTAACACCTTCCAAATGTTCCAGCTGTGCTAAGTTTTCACTGAAGAGTTCCAAAGAGACCAAACTCAGAGGGAAAATGTGCATTTCAGAGTAGGTTAAATTTTTCAGAATAGTTCAATTTTCATGGCTTTGTGGGCTTACTTGCATAATTTCCCCTCTCCAGCAGTGTCTTCCATGAATCAAGAGTTCTCTCAATAGCTTTCATTAATCCTTGGAAATACCCACTCAGCTTTAGCTCTTAAAGTCAGTCAGTCCCATTTAGTTATCAATAGGCAAGTGTATGTCCTATGAGTTCTACTAATTCTGACCTCCTTCAAAGAAATAATTTGTTGTTAACAGAACTTTATATTGATGGCAAATAACAGGCAAGACTTACGAAGTAATACACAATAAAAAATAGATCCATGTTAGATTGACCAACCGCCCTATTTTGCCCTCAAATGAAGTATTTATGGGACTTTCGGTGACAATTCCTGAGAAGAGCCCAGGCAGACTGGGAAGATTTGGTCAAAATTTCTTTTTATGGGTTTGGAGCTTCAGCCTCTTCAGTTCAAAAGAACAATTTTAGGATACAGTCCTGTTCTCCAAGACTTTCTGCAAGTTGAAGATACACAGATGTCATCATTTTTCTGCTGTTGACCAGAACCAGCCACAAGACAGAAATGGTCAAGAGTAAATGGTGGTAGGCTTTAGGTAAGAAGCTGTGGAGATAATGGCAAGGGACACTGAAAAGTGACTTTGTTTCCTCCACAACAAGAATTGCAAACCAGTGTCCACAGAAAGCCATCTCGACTACCATTTCAGAATGGTTTATAATGAGTTGAGGAGGGCACCTCCCCTTTTCCTGTCAGAGCTGAAAGCATCAGGCAAGAGGAAAATATGCAAGTAAATATAATTTATCGTGTAAGTCATAAACAATTTTATATTGGTTTTCTTTAATCAAATAGGTTTACTTTAAACCTATTTTGTAAAAACCTAGTATTCCGTGAAGTCATCCTGATAAAAGTGCACTTGGCAGCAGTGGCAGACAAGTAAAACGAGGCACAGGACATTTGGTGAGCTTGTCTTCCGGCTTGAGTGTGACAATAACACACAGTGTATTCGGTTTTCACGGTGTTACTTGATGGAAAGCAAAACACTAGCTGTGCTTGTCTTTATGAAAGCAGAAAATATGAATCATATCATGGAATGCAGAGATGATGGCATTTCTGTGTTTATGCTTTTAAAGCAACAATTTAAAGTCTGACACGCTTTGGAAACACCAGTGTGAGAATTCATTAACCCTTCATGAAATGGCATGCAAGGGAACATTGCATAGACACCATCAGATGACTTTGGTGTGTGCTGGGAATTATGTTTTGGTGATGTTTGCTGTATTTTGATTGCTTTAAATATTTTTATTGGCCCAAATATAGGAAGATCGTCTTGTGGGTGTCATATGATAACAATACCTTCTAATACATTATTGGATGGATTAGGAGCATTTCTAGGCTCTGAATGCCGAGGGGATTATCAGTCTGTGTTTCTGCCCCCACGTAACCTGTCAGACTCCACAACTTGCTCTGGGACTCTTCCCTGTCCCTCTCCTCTTCCCTCCTTGCCCTGTCCTCCGTGCCCTGGCCCTCCCCCAGCAGCACCACAAACAGCTCTTTCAGCTCCCTTCCATCCTTGCCCCACACCCTTCCTGCTGTCTCCACCCCACTGAAGGTGAGGGTGAGCAGTGACTTCTAGAAAGACAACAGAAGACCATGAGGGCTCCTTCTCATGCAGGTCTCCACAGGTAGTAATCATTTGCTGTGAAGACAACTGTGATGCAGGGTTTTTGAGTAATTTAATTAGAAAGTAAAATAGATGGGGTATGTATTTGCTATGTTTTTGATCTCTGTAGAAATTTGGGAGGACTCAAAATCAGTATTACCTTATATTTGGGCCAATTTGGAGCTGAAAAGTATTGTTCTAATCAAAGGACCATATTACCAAAAGGTCTTTTTTTTGCATTTTATGTACTAATCCTAAAATTTAGGGTAACTAAAATTGTGCCAGTGCAATATCTAAACTTTACTTCAGTTCCAAGTCATCACTCTGTATTTTGGTTCTGCAAAGAAAATGTTCCTTTTGAGAATTTGGAGCCTCTTACACTCTAGTTGTCTATTAAAATTATTTAGTTTAGGTTTAAACTTCGAACTGCTGTATTTCAATAAGGAATATACATAAATGCCATTTTGTAATAGCTTAATAATCATGATTTTAAAATTATTGGAAAATACTGTGTATTTTATCACATGTACCTGTTTAATACAAATCCCCATGTGCTTTGTTTCTAGTACATTTTGGGAAATGTGGGCATAAACATTTAATTAAATGACATTCCATTACCCAGCTATCCTATAGAAATCCCATATCAACACAAATTTTTTTACTTTTTTCATTGATGTGATATCTGAAAGGGCTGTGCCTTGAAAAAATCAATAGCATTTTTAAATTCTTTATTTTAAAGCATAGTCCCTTTTTAAAACTGAAACAGAGCCCCTTTGTTTAATGCATTACTTGAAAATAGCATAATTAAACATCTTTGAAATAACATGTTTTTAAATTAAGGAGTATAGTATTTACATGCAGACTTCTAGTACAATTTGAAATTAGAAATTATGATTAATCGTACATTATAATCTAATCAGAAATATTTTGACCTATGCTGGTCTCATGTGATTCCAAGTTTGAATTTAGTTTTCTCAGCATTTATAATTATATTTGGTACTGATGTAGCCAGTAGGATGTGCATGTGTGTGTGTGCACACAAATAAATGGCAACCAACAATGTCCTATCAAAGTCTGATTTTTTCTTAGTGTACGTTTATTTTTTCTAAAATTTCAAGTTCATTTTTTGTCTTTTTCTAGAAACAAAGGATGGAGTATGGTCCAAGAGCATCAGATACTCCCTCTGCACCCTCACCTCCTCCTGCGCCAGCTCCTATTCCTGTTCCCCTTCCACCTTCTGCTCCTGCACCTGCTCCTGTGTCGAAGGTCCCAGCCAGCATAACCCGGCAGAACAGCAGCTCCAGCGAGAGTGGCGGCAGTATTGTTCGAGACAGCCAGAGACACAAACAACTTCCAGTGGACCGTAAGTTTCCACAGGAGGCCAGGAAGTTTCCTCTGCAAATAAGAATTCTACTAACATACGTTTGTTTTTATTGATTCTACTGGTAGTAAATATAAATCATAGGCCTTATACTTGCACAGCATTTCATAGATTATAGAGATTTTCACTTTATTTCCATCATCCTCTAAGTAATTCTGAGAGGGAAGAAATCCTGTCCACTCTTTGACATATGTCTTTCCACTCATTTTCCAATACCTTGTGGTTGGATACAGATTCCAGAGTCAGGCCTGCTGGAATTTATATCGTGAAGCGTCACTTGCTGGCCCTGTGACCTTCAGCAATTTAATAGTTCTTTCTGTACGTGGGAGAAAACTGAAGCTGCATGCCTCACAGGATAAGTGAGATGATTTAATGTGATTATGCAGGTAAAGCCGGGGTGATTTTGATGTCTGACCCCTCAACGGGGGGACATTTGGTATGTTCTAGAGATAGTTTTAGATTGCCACGTGGGGACAGTGCTGCGAGATGTTTAGCAAAATCCCACTACGAAGAACCCCTCACCACAACAGAATTCTTTGGATCAAAATATCAGTGGTGTGGACATTGAAAAGCCTTGATTGATCTTGACCAATGTGTGATACATTATTAAGTAGTCAGTATTCCCTGCTGTCATCATTGTCAGTGTCATCACTGTGGTCATCATAATCTTCCTACTTCTCTTCCTGATATCTGCTGTTCTCACATATAAACATAGTCATACCAGCGTCACCACCTGCCACTGCACTCAGATTTACCACCCCCCAAGTCAGATTCAGGCGATTAAGAAAGACTTCAACTTCATATTTAAATAAATTTAAATTTGATTTTTCACATGAGTTTCCTATAAAAACCATATTTAAAAAAAAACTAAAGGATATAATGGTTAATTTTGATTATCTTTGTTACTGCTATAGAATAGAAGTGTAGATATTTTGAAAATTGAATGTAATTCTAAGATTATTTATTTATTTATTTTTGACAGGCAGATTTAGACAGTGAGAGAGAGAGAGAGAGAGAGACATAGAGAAAGGTCTTCCTTTCCATTGGTTCACCTCCCAAATGGCCACCACGGCCGGGGCGCTGCGCCGATCTGAAGCCAGGAGCCAGGCACTTCCTCCTGGTCTCCCATGCCGGTGCAGGGCCCAAGCACTTGGGCCATCCTCCACTGCCTTCTCGAGCCACAGCAGAGAGCTGGACTGGAAGAGGAGCAACCGGGACAGAATCCGGTGCCACAACCGGAACTAGAACCTGGGGTGCCGGTGCTGCACGTGGAGGATTAGCCAAGTGAACCACGGCACCGGCGATATTTTTTTTTAAGATTTATTTGTTTATTTGAAAGTCAGATTTACACAGAGAGGAGAGACAGAGAGAAAGAGAAGTCCTCCATCTGCTGGTTCCTCCCAATTGGCCGCAACTACCAGAGCTGCGCCAATCTGAAGCCTGGAGCCAGGAGCCTGTTCAGGGTCTCCCACGTGGGTGCAGGGGCCCAAGTACTTGGGCCATCTTCCACTGCTTTCCCAGGCTATAGCAGAGAGCTGGATCGGAAGTGGAGCAGCCAGGTCTTGAACTGGCACCCATATGGGATGCAGGCATTGCAGGAGGTAGCCTCCTAAGATAATTTTTAACTTGTTTTACATTGTATTATGGAATGTCTATTAAGTATAATCTCCAATTTATGTTTTAAAGTATTGTAAAATTACTTTGCTGTATGTATTAGAATTTTTATTTATTTTCATATTTATTTGAAATGCAAAGAGACAGAGAGATAGAGATCAACACACAGCAAAGATTCACTACCAAATGCTTGCATCTCCCACAAAAGTAGCAGGGACTCTCTCAAGTCCTTGAACCATCACCTGCTGCCTCTCATGGTACACATTAATGAGAAGCTAGAATTAGAAGCAGAGCTGGGACTCAAACCCAGGCACTCTGATATGCGATGTTATTTTTTTTAATTATTTGTTTGAAATACAGTGAAAAAGAGAGGAAAGGACAGAGAGGGAGATATTCCGTCCACTGTTTATACTCCCCAAGTGCCCACAACAACAGGGGCTGGGCCAGGCTGAGGCCAGGAGCCAGGAACTACATTTGGGTCTCACATGTGTGTGGAAGGAAGCCAAGTATTTGGGCTTTCATCTGTCACCTCTCAGGCACCTTAGGAGGAAACTGGATCCTAAGCAGATACAGGGCTTGACCCCTATGCACTCCGATTTGGGATCTTGGCATCCCAAGTGTTGATGTAACCTGCTGTGCCACAACACCTGTCCCTGTCTCTATTTGATATACAAAAACGCTTTGAAAACTAGAGCCAGGAAGATTTTTCAAATTTCCTTAATATGGCAGAAATATAAGAAGGGTATAAGCGTGTGTGTTTAATGGATATCCTGTCATTCTGTGACTATGTGTGTCTCCTAGGGTTCTGCATTCTTTCAATATTTAAATGAATTTTTATTATATATGATCATTTCATTTCCATTTCTTTCAGTGCTATCTATATTGTTGGAAAAGGAATGAACCCACATTAGTCTTCAGACCAAATCTCATTTCTGACTTCCAGACACATGTGTTGTACAATTAACCTTAAATCTGAGATTAGATGTCCAAGATTCATGTTCAAAACTAATTTTTAAAAATTATTTGTTTGAGAGACAAACAGCTGAGAATGGGTCAGCCCAAAGCCAAGGACTAGGAGCTCAATTCTAGTCTCCTACGAGTGACAGGAACACAAATACTTCATCACTGCTTCTACCCAGGGTCTGTATTAGAAGGAAACTGGAGTCAGGATCTGGAGCTGAGAACCATATCTGTGTACTCTGATGTGGGATGTGGGTATGTTAACCACCAGGTTAAATGCCTGCTCCCTAAAACTAAATTATTGAATCTTTGACTCCCATTTTCATCCTACTGTTTTTCTTAGCTTAGTAGATTATAGTTATATCTCTCCAGTTGTAGTCATTCTTGATAAATTAAAAAGTTAAAAAAAAAAAAAAAAGGTACTTGTATAACTGTTACTATTCAGCTGGTCTGGAAATTCTGGTTAAATACAATAAGCTCAAGCCTGGCTATATACATTAATTTCTCCCCCAATTAAAGTAACTTTTGTATCCATACCTTGACTTTGTCATAAAACAAAAAATGAAGTCTTGGAAAAGCAGTTGACTCTTGTGTGGCCAAAACAGCTGTGTGTGGGGTGTGTGTGTGTGTGTGTGTGTGTGTCTAACTATAGGATACAAACAATTTTTTTTTCTAAAGATTTATTTATTTGCTAGAAAGGCAGAGTTACAGAGAGGCAGAGGCAGAGAGAGAGAGAGAAAGAGAGAGGTCTTCCATACGCTGGTTCACTCTACAGATGGAAACAGTGGCCAGAGCTGCGCCGATCCAAAGCCAGGAGCCAGGAGCTTCTTCCTGGTCTCCCATGTGGGTGCAGGGGCCCAAGGACCTGGGCCATCTTCTGCTTTCCCAGGCTATAGCAGAGAGCTGGATTGGAAGTGGAGCAGCTGGGCCTCGAACCAGCTCCCATATGGGATGCCGGCACTGCAGACAGTGGCTTTACCCACAGTACCACAGAACCAGACCCCAAACAAATTTTTTAATGTGTGTTTTTATAAATATGCTTTTTTCCCCAAAGACACAAAAGACATAGTTTTAAGATGAGAAAGTTCTATAAATATTTTTATTTATTTCCCTAAGGAAAATTGTACTTAGTAATGACCATTCCTTTCGTCTTTCTTCCCACGAGTTTCTGCCATCCCCCTTCCTTCGACGTGTCAGCACGATGATCCCTGACACTGTGCTGCCCCTGCTGCAGGCCTGGGAGCAGAGGTCATGGGCATCTGGTCCTCATTTGGAACAGTGTGTGGGTTGGGACAGTGTGTTCTTTGTCCCGTTCTGAGAAACCAAGAATAACCAAGTGGGAAAGTCATAGCTTGAATACTTATAAAAAGATAGAGGACTCTCCTGATAATTGTGACTCATCATTTGCAAGTCTCTTTTTTCTTAGGCGAAGGGCTCATTGGTATATAAAAACAGTAGCATCTCTCCAAAAATTAACATATATATTTGTTTTCTTAAAATAATAAAACTAGTTACTTAATATAAAGTTCCTTCTTAGGCTATCTCAAAAGTATAGTTTTACATTCAATAGATTTTTTTAATTAAAAAGATGCTTTTCATAGCTGCTTCTGCAACATGTTTTTGGGGAACAGTTTTTTTTTTTTTCTAAATAACCATTATGGTTTCTCATCAGGCTTAGAACCAGATAGGCATGTTTAAGTGTATATTTATTGATGGCCAGATCACTCTCAAAAATAAACCTATTCATGCTACCTATTCTCTCCTTACTACCTAAACTTAATCTAAAAATAAAATAGAAGGAACTAGGAAGTGAGTACTGATCGAAATATTATCAAATAACCATGAACACGGTAGGGAGGGAGAGGATGCTGTTTCTGAAATGTAGCAGGTGTCAAGAGCGACACACCTGCTGCTAACAGGGAAGCCTATTCAAAACGCTGCCTGCTGCCTGGAGCCCTCCGTCATGCCAGGCATTCCAATCCCTTTATTGCAGGATCCAAACCTCCTCCTATCACTTTTGAAGATACCAAGTTGCTTTGCATTTCTCCGGTTTCCTTTGAAATGCTAGTCCTTTGATTGCAACCTAAACTGTTGTAATCAGAAGTGCTATTTTAGAAAAGTATAAAGTTAGTCTGATTTGCTGTTGTGTGATAGAGCATTGAAAGTAGACACCAAAAGCCAGGAGCACTTTGGAAGGAGGTTTGTAGTCCAGAAAAGATTGTGCTGAGGACTAGTAATACCCACTGTTGTGGCTTAGTCAGTGGGTGAGAAAATAGATCATTTATGCTGATGCTTTCTCTTGTTTACTCCTCTGAGATGTACTTATGTGCTGTATGGTGCCATCATGTCATAATTTTTTAATGTAGTTTTTAAAAATAATGTAGTGGTTCGTTAACTAATGAAATGCATGTAATGTATTACTTAAATGTAACAGTCTGTGGTGGTCTCCCACCTTCCTCTTAATTTCTTCAAAAGGTTGCGTAAATACATGAGGCATTTAAAAAAATTAGAACACTGATTATTTCACACTTTCAATTACTTCCCAAGGCCACTAAATGCTTGTAAAGCACTTTATTAAAATAAAAAAAGGAAAGAAAAAAATCATAGAACACTGTCACAGAAAGCTCCCTTAAGTGGCCTGGTCATGCTTGCTGTAAGTTCGTTGGCTTAATAAATCAGTCCTTCTTTCCTAATTCTTAAAAGTTACATGCCAAATAATTTTTTTTTATTTGACAGATAGAGTTAGACAGAGAGAGAGACAGAGAGAAAGGTCTTCCTTTTGCTGGTTCACCCCCCAAATGGCTGCTTCGGCTGGAACTACATTGATCCGAAGCCAGGAGCCAGTTGCTTCCTCCTGGTCTCCCATGCGAGTGCAGGGGCCCAAGCACTAGGGCCATCCTCCACTGCCCTTCCCAGGCCACAGCAGAGAGCTGGACTGGAAGAGGAGCAGCAGGGACAGAATCCGGCAGTGCCGTAGGCGGTGAATTAACCAAGTGAGCCATGGCGCCGACCCCAAAAGTTACATGCCAAATAATTTAGCATACCTATATATTCACACATTTTTAATTTTATTTATTTATGGGAAAGGCAGAAATATAGAAATAGATCTTCAATTTGCTGGTTTCCTCCCCAATTGTCCACAACAACCAGAGCTAGGCCACCAGAAGCTGTGAACTGAGAACGCATTCTTGTGTGCCATGTGGGTGGCAGAAACCCAGCTACTTGAGCCATGATCTGCTGCCTCCCAGAAGCTGCAGTGATAGGAAGCTGGAATCAGGAGCAAAGCCAGGACTTGAACTCAAGCTTAATCTCTGCACCAAACACCTGTCCAATAAACACATATTTTAAAAATATACACACAAAAGTATTATTCTTCTCCCATACTTTGACTTCTTTTCCATTTTTCTCATAACTGTATGTTCATATATACAGTTTTCCCATCAGCATGAAATGAGAAGGCTGGTGAGCAAGTTCATCAAGGATGATGTTGGTGACTTTGAGATACAGCCTTAAGCTGAAAGTCAAATGATACAGTGCCAGCTGGATTCTAATCATTAACAATGTGACTTGGGCAGCTCATTTTCCTTTGGCCTCCATTTTGTTATCTGGTTATTTAAGGGGTTGGTTTGTGATGATGTTGATATTCGAGGTCTCTCTCAGTGAAAAGTCAGAAGATTGCCTCATGCATTCTTGTATTTAAGTAGTATTAATTGAGTGACTATGCTGTTCTAGGTCCCAAGGACATAGAAGCAAACCAAACAGGAAATCTCTTTTTATTTTTAGGCTTATATTTTAATGGAAAGAGATATAAAATCAGGCAACTGGGTTGACAGAATTTTAGAAGGTGGGAAGAAGTTTGGAGACTGATAAAGCGGTGGGAACAGAGTGCTGTTGGGGAGAGAGTTGTGGTTTTATATAGGCCAAGGGAAACCTAGAGGAGGAGAGGACTGAGTCATGTGGGTGTGTGGGGGAAGCAGTCCAGGTAAAGGGGACTAGAACAGCCCTTAAATATGGGCAGCACCATGGAACCACTGTCAGCAGGTGTAGAGACGGTCCAGGCACTGGGGAGGAGGAAGTCACAAGGACCTCATATGAAGAAGAATCTGGATCACGTGGGAATGTTTTGAGCACAAGAGTTGCAATGTCTGACTTCTATTTTAAAAGGATCATTTTATCTGTAATGTTGATGAATAGAAAGGGATGTGTGTGGGGGTGGGGGTTGTAGGAGTGGGATCAGATAGACCTGTTAATAGGCTGGTGACTCAGATCAAGCTGGAGAGAAAAAAAAAATAGTGGGGCCAGTGCTGTGGCTCACTTGGTTGGTCCTCCGCCTGCAGCACTGGCATCCCATATGGGCCCTGGGTTCTAGTCCCGGTTGCTCCTCTTCCAGGCCAGCTCTCTGCTGTGGCCCGGGGAAGGCAGTGGAAGATGGCCCAAGTGCTTGGGCACCTGCACCCGTGTCAGAGACCTGGAAGAAATACCTGGCTCCTGGCTTCAGATCAGCATAGCTCCGGCAGTAGCGGCCATTTGGGGGGTGAACCAGCAAAAGGAAGACCTTTCTCTCTCTCTCTCTCTCTCTCTCTCTCTCTCTCTCACTGTCTCACTCTGGCAAATAATTTTTTTTTTAAATCTACTTAAAAAAAATGAAGTACTTCGATTTGGAAACATTTTGATGGTAGAGCAAACAGAATTGGCTGATGGATCACATGTGGTATAAGGCAAAGGGGATTCAAATGTAGCTCCATGGTATTTTTTTAAAGATTTATTTTATTTGAAAGGCAGAATGACAAAGTAGTAAAGATACACAGAGATAATGCATTCTTGATTCTGTCCCCAAATACACACAGCAGCCAGGCTAAAGCCAACAGCCAAAACCTCCATCCAGGTCTCCCACATGGGTTTCAGGGCCCAGGCTCATTAGCAGCAAGTCAGATCCGAATGACAACTAGGTCTCAAACCAGCACTCCAGTATGGGATGTGGATGTCCCAAGCGTTGGATTAATTTGCTCACTGTGCCACAACTGCCCCAGTTCCATGGCTTTTTGCTAGAGGAACTGGAGGAATAGATTGCAATTAGCTGAGTTGGGAAGTATAAAAGTTTCATAAAAGCAAGCTTTGGGAAGAAGATCAGGCATTCAGGCTTAGACATGTTGTATTTGAAATTTGTTAGAGATATTTAATAGATACTCAGATGACTATCTCAAGTAGACAGCATAAATGAATGTAGAGTTCTGAGTAATAGCCAGGACTGGAGAAATAATTGGCCCTGAGCATAGTCACAATGGTCATTTGTGGAATGAGTGTAGGCAGAGAGGATGCCCAAGGATTGTGCCCTGGAGCAATTCAACATGACTTAGTTGGAGAGATAATAAGATCCAGACAGTAATACTGACAAGGAGTGGACAGTGAGACAGGAGTAATATGAGAGGGTGGTGTTCTGGAGATCATAAGTGTTTTGAGGAGGAGTCACCTGCTGTATGTATCACTGACAGGTTTAATGAGATAATGGCTGGGAAGGAATTGACCTAGAGTTTGGAAAGATAGAGTTGGAGAGGTGGGGGCAAAACTAATGAATTAAATTGCCATGAATTTAAAAGAAAGTAAGAGCCCAAAGAAAGAAATGAGTAAATGGTGAAGATTAGAGCAGAAATAAACAGAATATAGAAAAAGAGAAAATAAGAGAATGAGGATTACAGTCAACTTCTATATTTTCATTGACTTTCACTCGAGAGAACAGAGAAATGTACAGTAACTGGGAGGGATATGGTAAGAAAGTACTTTTTAAAAGGGGGAGAAATCAGAAAATAACAGGTTTGAATGCTGATGAAATGATCAAGTAAAGGGAGACAATTGATAACAGGATAAGTAGGGGAGAAATCTCCTTAAAGTGTTGGAATAGATGGAAAACTTGGGATCTAATATATACATAGGATTGGCTTTGGGAGCATGGAAACAGTTCATCTACACTGTAATGGGAAGGAGGGCAGAGTATACAGGGGAAGTGCTGGTAGCAAGCAGGAAACCTCTAGGGAAACTTGCAGAAGCTCTTTTCTAACTTCTTTTATTATTATTATTCAGAAATCAACAAGTGAGGTCATCAGTTCAGGGTGAAGATTGGGGGATAAGGTGAGAAGTTTGCATAAAAAATAGAAAATACTAAATACTTGACCAAGGTAGTTGACACTCATGTGGTGCAGGGCAGGGTTCTTCTGCCTGGGCTTTCTTGACATTTGAGTTTGGATTAGTCTCTGCTGTAGGAGGCTGAGAACTGCCTGTGCATTGTGGATTGTTGTGTGTATCCCAGGCCTGCCCTTACTGCATGACAACAGCAGCCTTCCCCCTTGTCATCTTTTAGTTGTGACAACCAAAAGCATCTCCAGTCATTGCCAGATGTCTCCTGGGATCAAAATTGTCCCTAGTTGAGGACCACTTGAACAGCAAATGTACTATGATTATCCTGGAACATTAACAACCTAGTTGAGGTTCAAAATCATGAATTTCACATGACAGCATCCAGTCAACGTTAGTGTATTCTATTCAGCAGTGCAGTGCAGGCACAGAAACAGCTAAGTTCTTCTTAAGGGTTGGGTTAAATGAGTTGCCAAATGAGTACATGAAGAGAGAAAAGAGTGAACGAGTTATTTTAATCATTGATCATAGAATTCATACGGGTGTGGATAAAAGCAAAGATGGATGGTAGAAATATTATATTATAAATCCTGTTTGGGGGAAAAGGATTATTGGGATTGAGATTCCGTGGAGAGGGATTGTAATGTTAATGATTTCAAAAAATGCCATATTCTCTGGTGGTGTCTAGGAAGGAAGTCTCAGATGGAGGAAGTGCAGGACGAGCTCATCCACAGGCTGACCATTGGTCGGAGTGCTGCTCAGAAGAAGTTCCACGTGCCACGGCAGAACGTGCCAGTTGTCAACATCACCTATGACTCCACACCCGAGGATGTGAAGACATGGCTGCAGTCCAAGGGATTCAACCCTGTGTAAGCCTTCCTTTGCAGTTTTGTGTGTAAAACATATATTGTTTGCAATTTGGTCACTTACATGTTACAAACCACTCTTAAAAAATCTTAGAGTCCAGACTGCATTCTTTGTTCCACGTTCAGGATACAACTGTGGCTATTCGTAGCAAAAAAAAAAAAAAAAAAAAAAAAAAGGAAGAACCAGAAATAAGTGTCGTTTGTTGCCACCCGTTTTCTAGTTGGTAGTACCTATTCATCCTTGGTCCCTTCAGCAGGTTATCAGTATTATGGTTTTAGTTGGTTTCCCCAGATTATGTAGGACATAAGGCATAGGCTTTTTTCCTGCTGCAGGCAAATAGCAAATAGAAGATTTTACCTATCTTCAGTTATCTTTTTAAAAATTGTATTTGAGGGGCCTGTGTTGTGGCGCAGCTGATGCCTGCAGTGTTGGCATCCCATTTGAGTACCAATTCGAGTCTTAGCTGCTCCACTTCTAACCCTCCTCCCTGCTAATGCACCTGGGATAGCAGCAGAAGATGGCCCAAGAACTTGGGTCCCTGCACCAACATGGGAGACCCAGATGGAGTTCTAGGCTCCTTGCTTCAGCTTGGCCCAGGCCTAGTCATTGTGGCCATTTGGAGAGTCAAATCAGATAACAGTTCTTTCTTTCTCTTTGTCTCTCTGTCTCTCTCTCTCTCTCTCTTTCTCTCCATGTCTTCTTTTCCCTCCTCCCTCCCTCCCTCCTTATCTCTCTCTGTATGTAACTACCTTTCAAGTAAATGAGCCTTCTAAAAATTATATTTGAGAGGCAGAAAAATGGAGAGAAGGTGAGATAGCTCTCATTGACTAGTGCACACTTTAAATGCCTGAAATGGCCTCCCAAGAGCCAAGAATTAGATCCAGATCTCCCACATGGGTGGTAGGAACCCAACCACTTGAGCTAAACATAACTGCTGCCTCCCAGGATTGGCATTAGCAGGAAGGCAGAATCAGGAGCTAAAGTCTAAATTGAACCCAGGCATTCAGATGTAGGATGTGAGCATCTCAGCCACCATCTTAACCACAAGGTCAAATGCCCATCCCCAATTATAAGCTTAATAAAGCTTTTCCTTTAGTAAACTCACGATAAAGCTTCTGTTTATCTGTAATCTAAAAGTCTATGCATATCTTATGTATATTTATTACAATGAACTACTTGAATAATACATATTCAGTGGACCTTAACATACTGTAAACTCGCTAGCATGGTTGAAAAATGAAGTATAATGGTTAGTCAGTTGCCAGGTTACTAAAACGTTACCTATTCCTTCCATCTATGAAACAACAGATTTCAAGGAAATAATATAAACAGTAATGGTACTACACAGAATTGTTCCTTTTTGTTGCTTCCTCGTCACCAGCAGAGTCCCTGTCATGGCACTGAGTAAGCCTGTGGTGCTACTCAGACTTCAGTGTACTGAGCACTTGGGAAGGCGGGGTTACTGGTGGAAACAGAAGTTTTCTCGAGAAAGTATTTTTAATGTTGTTCATTTCTTTGGTTTTTTTTTTTTTTCAGGACTGTCAACAGTCTTGGAGTATTAAATGGTGCGCAGCTTTTCTCTCTCAATAAAGATGAGCTGAGGACAGTCTGTCCTGAAGGGGCCAGAGTCTTCAGCCAAATCACTGTACAAAAAGCCGCATTAGAGGTATGACTTGTCAGCCCAGCAGGATGGCTTCTAGCATTAGTGTGCACTGTAAATTGGAAGTTCTGGAAATAACTGTTCCTGTCCATATTGGCCAGTTTCCCTTTCTTACAGAGCTGTATTAAATCTGACACAGCTTGTGTAAATTCATCATTTGACCATCAGTGACCATTTGCAGGGAAATGAATTTATAAATGCTCACTTAACACGAAGTTTGAGCATATACTTTTGGACATTTAGTGAAGAGAAATGTCCTCATTTTATGTGCATTAACTACTTCTATAGGAATTTCAATTTTGACACAATAATAGTAATTAACTTCTGAGTGAGTAAAGCTCTTAAGAGTCTGGAAGACTGTTCTTAATATTTTATTGGTAGATTCTAATAGGGTATAGCTTATGAAGTCTTTTTTTTTTTTTTTTTTTTACTATTTTACTTCTTATTTATATAGAGGGAACAAATTTCACGTATTTCATATATACAGTTTTAAGAGCATGATAGCCGGCGCCGCGGCTCACTAGGCTAATCCTCTGCCTTGCGGCGCCGGCACACCGGGTTCTAGTCCCAGTTGGGGCGCCGGATTCTGTCCCGGTTGCCCCTCTTCCAGGCCAGCCCTCTGCTGTGGCCAGGGAGTGCAGTGGAGGATGGCCCAGGTGCTTGGGCCCTGCACCCCATGGGAGACCAGGAAAAGCACCTGGCTCCTGGCTCCTGCCATCGGATCAGTGCGGTGCGCCGGCCGCAGCGCGCCGGCCGCGGCGGCCATTGGAGGGTGAACCAACGGCAAAGGAAGACCTTTCTCTCTGTCTCTCTCTCTCACTGTCCACTCTGCCTGTCAAAAAAAAATAAAATAAAAAAAAAAAAAAGAGCATGATAATACTTTTTACCCTACCCTCTTTCCATCCTTCCCTTCCCCACTCACTCCCACCCTCCTCCTCCTCCTTTTCTTATTTTTCTTTTAATATTTACAAAGACATATTTTCAATTTACCTCATAATCATAAGTTTAACCCTCCACTTAAATAAAGAATTCAACAAGTAGTAAGTAGAAAAACCACTGTTTCCTAAGAGTGTAGACAAAAGCTACAAACTATAATCAAATCTCAAAGTGTCAGTTCTGCTCACTGACTGTATTGGGAATGGAAATATCAGGTAGAGATCACTGAAAATAGAGATCCCTAAAGTATAATTATTGCCTTATAGTTTTCTGTATGAACGCAGGGGAATAAATGCTTCTCTTGGTGATATATTTAAGCTGCCTGTGTCCTGCTCTTCTTAAAGCAGGCTATGTAAGAGTAGTAGCTTCCATGTGTCACCTCTGACAGTTCTTAATGGTTTCATGAAAATTATACCTGGACTCAGATGAAAGGATAAAGGCTTTGGGCATGAAATTAACACACAATTATCTCCAGCCAGGTATATTATATAGATTCATTAGTTAGGTAACTCAGAGTAAAATAGCTTTATGCATATAACCCTTATAACCATTCTCAATCCAGAAAAACTGTATTTCCCTTAGATGTTTTCCCTACCACACTAATCTTGGGTATTGTGTATTAGGGTTTGATGTGACTGCTTTCTATGTGTTGGTTATGAATAAGGATTCTAACTTGCATCAAGCAGTTTTGTTCCCTTTATACACTCTGATTTTACTGAGAGCGTGTAAACTATTTTTGAAGGATACGTTTAAAAAACTTCCTTATTCTTAAAAGTTGCAGGTTCCGAGTTCCTTCATGGAGGAGTGACCAGAATTGGTCATTTTCCCTCCCCCACCCACTTCATCTGGCCCTCTTGCTGCCTCTTTTCCAGATGGGAGTTGAGGCAGAGGTTGACTCCCTGAGGCTCTTCATGTGCCTCAGCCCTCCCCCTCTAGTGAGCAGGAATGACCTTTCATATTCCTCACCTGGGCAGCCAGAGCAGTCTGATGATGAGAGTAGGAGGAGGAGAAGGGGCCCCAAGGATGTAGGTAGGCCTGGGAAAGTCAGAGGGTCCTAAATGCCTCCTTGGAACCAAGGGACCCTTGCTGTATTCTGAACCCCCTCAATTAAAATCCGCAGACAGACCAGGATCTTGCTTAACTGGAGAAAAGGTTCTTGGGCAATGTACCATGCTGTTGTGCTTAATGTGCATGTATCTTCTTTCTCCCGGGGAACCCAGAGCCTTCCACAGGTATGACTGATTTGTCTGTAGCTTGTTCAAGTGGGAGGCACAGTGATTGAATAAAATTAACAGGCACTAATGTGACACGTTAGTGAAGCCCCAAATGCCACTTATCTGAAAGGCAGCCTTTGGTTTTCCTAGAGATACTAGAAAACACCTCAAAGGGCTTGGACACTGAACCTTTCATTACACGTCCTGCAGCCATCGCAAACCAGTAACCATCTCGTCTGCACCATGTTTTATTTCTCAGGATAGCAATGGCAGCTCTGAATTGCAAGAAATCATGCGAAGACGACAGGAAAAAATCAGTGCCGCTGCTAGTGACTCAGGAGTGGAATCTTTTGATGAGGGAAGCAGCCACTAATTTGTGTGTGTGTATGTGTTTGTTTTTAAATTCCATAATCTTGACATTATTCCAATATGCTTTGTTTTAAGAAGCCTTGAAGGGAATGTCAGATTTGTTTTTTTTCTTGGCCTACTTAATTTATCGCCAGAAAAAAAAGCAATGCAAACCTGAGTAAGCAGAGGACTTGTTTGTGGGACCATTATTTTTATTAAGACTGAAAAATCTTAAACTGAATTTTTGGCCCTCAGGAAATACTTTTCCTGCTTGACCACAGTGGATCTTTGTTAGGTTATTTAATCCACATTTCAGAGTATACACAGGAATTTTTTGACAGTGGCAACTGAATTCACTGCAACAAAGCAAAGATGTTGTCAATGATTTGAAATCTAAGCAATTGCAGTTTTGCTTGTGAATGTGAAGTCTGTGCTCATTATATGAGCCCCTGCTTACTTAGGTCTCTGACATACTCAATGACAGACTGTTTAGGTTTATTTAAAGTTCTTAATGCCAACAGTTAAAAAAAATTGAAACATTTGAATAAACTGTAAAGTACAGCCAAGCCTTGCACTGCAAATGTAAAGCTATGGAACATTCTAGAGACATTTTATTTATCACAGCTCTATTGATCACAACTCCTTGCATAGTTTGTGTAATGGTTTAGTTTATGTTCTGCTTGTGATGTGATACTGTGTTCCTATATGTGAGAAAGCACAAGTCAGAAAGAGGTCATATACAATCAAAATCTATCGAAGGAAAGAGCCTGCATTTGTATGTGTTACAGTATTTTGCTTAATGGAGGCCTCTGTTCTGAATATTGATAGAAGTAATTGAAAGGAAATTGGGGCCATTTATTGTGTTTTTCTGTGTCAAGTCTTTTTGGTAATAAGAAACACTTAATTTACAAATATTTTAATCTAGTGGAAGATTCTAGATAGAAGAAAGAGAAAGACCTAACCTTCAACAAATGTTATTTTTGGAAACACAATTTTTGTCATTAAATGTTATATTGTTTCACATATATAAAACAGATGTTATGTAAGAATGTTGTATATTTTAACATAAATCCATCTAGAAAGATGATCTAGATTCATTAATTTTCATAGTGCCTTTTCACATGAGTCAGGTGGAAAGTCTGCAATAAACAGTATTTGCTGTATGTTAATAAATGGCTTCTGTTTCATTAACAAAGGGGATCTTTGCTGTGTAGACTGGAGTTTAGTACTGAATGGAATGCATTGGAAAATGTAAAAATCTACATTTTTTTTTCTAATGAGGTTCTGCTAATTTCTGAGTAGGTAAAATTGCTATGGAACACTTTCTCCAATTGTTTATTTTCTTTCCACCGTGTTTATTTCAACAACTTTTCTTTCAACCACCTAGTAACAGTTGGTAATAGTAGTGAGAATTAAATTTATATAGCACTTAAAATAGCTAAATGCCTTCATGTAAATACTTTACTAAACATTTACAAATAACTCCAAATTATATGAGGAGACTTCAGAAAGCTTGTGGGAAAGTGAAATTAAAAGGTAAGTGTATTTTTATCCAAAAAATGTGAAATCTATGCATAGTTTTTCATACCATGCATTTTCCATGACCTTTTTGTGATCCTCCCTATGCATGGATTTCAGAGTGGAACTTTGCACCAAAATAAGCTTGTGTTTGAATCCATTTTCCATGAGCTTTCTGAAGCACCCTAGAACTTTCATCAGTAAGGAAGTGTAGTTTCCTAGAGGCTAATTTATTCCAAATCATGAAAGATTTGGAAGTTTCTCACCTTCCATCTCAGTGTCTCCATTATACCTCCCCTTGGACTAAGTGCGGCATATGTGAGAATGAGAAAGGAGTATAAGTTTAGATCTTTTATATTTCATAAGCACTGATACATGTTGAGAACTTAGTCCTTAAGTAAAACTCTGAAAATACATGGAGGTGACAAAAGAAAAGGATTTAAAATGAACATAACCTGTGTTTAAAGTAGTGTATCTGATTTGAAACTGATAGGTCCAACTTGCATCCCTATGCAAAGGAAAGTCTCCCCCAGAGTAGTGATTGCTGGAAGCATTCACCTCACCAAGGACTGTGAGCACAAAGAGAAGAGGTGAATGGAGGTAGCTACCTGCAAGAGAGGCACTCCAGAGTGGGGATCCAGACATCTGAGGCGCGTGCTCACCAGTGCCCCACAAGTTTGGAGGAAAACCCTATAGAGAAGGAAAGCAAACCTCTGAGAGCAGGGCAAGGCCTAATTGGCACTCTTGCCTCAGGAATTCAGAAAATTTTTCAGAAAACCCATGGAGCTGGAATTTGGAGCTCCAAGGAGACCATGCAGCCAGCTGGTGCTTGGATGTCTAAAAGACAGGACCAAGAGACTTCTGGGACATGGGGGAAAGCAGACTGGTTCCTGAAACCGACACTGCTGCCACCGAGAATCATTTCTGCTTGCAGAGTGAAGAGTTAGGTGCAGGGTGATGTTGGTAGGAACACAACGGGAAACAGGAATGAGGAGTCGCTTGGTCCTCCTGTCACCCTCTGTGGCCCTCTACCTCCCTGTAGCACATATTTTGGGTGGAATCTATCAGGCACCCACAGGCAAAACCCGGAATCACCAAGATGAGAATACAGGTGGATTTGAAGCAGAGAGAGCAACTCCATAACCACCACATTCTGGCTTCTGCCTGTTTAGCCTCTACACTTCCTCCTCTATGTTTTTTAAATTATATATGACAATTATAAAACAGTTGCAGTTTTCTCTAACAAAATGTAATCATCCTCTGACATTTAAACAGTAATACAGAGCATGTAAAAAATTTATTTTTATATGAAAGGCAGAATAAAAGAGACAGATATCTCTCATCCACTGGTTCATCCACAAATACCAGCAACAGCTGAAGCTGAGATTGGATCAGACGTGGTCAGTTCCGGGAGCCAGGCACTCTATCTGGGTCTCCCACATGGATGACAGGAACCCAAGTACTGGAGCCATCCCCTGCTGCATCCCCAGGGACCCGTTAACTGGAAAAGCTAGAATCAGGACTGGATCCAAGACTCCAACCCAAGGACTCTGTTATGGGATGCAGGTGTCCCAAACAGCATTTCAACTGCTGTGCCAAATTCCCACCCCCTAATACAGAGTATTTCTTGAAAGAACTTGTTAAATAGGCAAGAAGAGAACACTAAAACATCGCATCGGTGCTAATACAGGAAGCAGCTCTTTGCCTGTTGCTGATGAGCAAATGGGAGAGTTGAGCACATCAGTGTTGAGAAGCCTGAGGAAGGACACTACAGAGGCTGTGCTCGCACCTGATGAAGGGGGCTGTCCGTGTCGGTGCTGGTATCTGAGGGGTACACAGAGCGGAGCCCCATGGAGCCCTGGGACAGACATCCTTGAGGGGACTTGAGACTCATCTCTGAGTAGGTGCAGCCGAGGTGGTTCTAAACCACCTAGAAACTGGAGTCAGACTTGATTCCAGAATATGGATCTGTTCTTTTCACTGGTTTTCAGCCATTTGCTTTTAGTGTGCCTGTGTGTAGTGTTCTTGTTTGATCTTCTTGGAACTATGAGATTATACTTTTTATTAAAGCTGGAAAAATTTCAGCCATCATTGCTTAATATTTTATTCTGGCCCTCCTGCCTCCTTTTCTTCAGAGCTTCCAATTTCATGTATGTTAGCCCATTTGAAATGTTCCCAATCTCACCAATGCTCTAATTTTTTTAAGATTTATTTATTTATTTGAAAGTCAGAGTTACACAGAGAAAGAGGAGAGTCAGAGAGAGAGAGAGTTCCTCCATCTGATAGTTCACTCCCCAGTTGGCTGCAACGGCCGGAGTTGTGCTGATCCAAAGCCAGGAGCCGGGAGCCTTTCCCGGGTCTCCCACATGGGTGTAGGGGCCCAAGGACTTGGGCCATTCTCTACTGCTTTCCCAGGCCATAGAAGAGAGCTGTACCAGAAGTAGAGCAGCCAGGTCTCGAACCCGCGCCCATATGAGATACCGGCACTTCGGGCCAGGGCATTAACCTGCTGCGCCACAGCGACGGCCCCAACCAATGCTCTGTTTTTATCATTGTGTTTCTTTGTCTCATTTTGGGTAGGTACTGTACATTTACTTCCATTGTAATTTGTCATCTTAGACATTATTGTTTTTGTCTCTAAGTTTTACATGGTTTTCTTTTTTACATGTATATTTATTTAAAACACAGAGTGAGGCCGGCGCCGTGGCTCAATAGGCTAATCCTCCACCTTGCGGCGCCGGCACACCGGGTTCTAGTCCCGGTCGGGGCGCCGGATTCTGTCCCGCTTGCCCCTCTTCCAGGCCAGCTCTCTGCTATGGCCAGGGAGTGCAGTGGAGGATGGCCCAGGTGCTTGGGCCCTGCACCCCATGGGAGACCAGGAAAAAGCACCTGGATCCTGGCTCCTGCCATCGGATCAGCGCGGTGCGCCGGCTGCAGCGGCGGCCATTGGAGGGTGAACCAACGGCAAAAGGAAGACCTTTCTCTCTCTGTCTCTCTCTCTCACTGTCCACTCTGCCTGTCAAAAAAAAAAAAAAAAAAAACACAGAGTGACAGAGACAGATCTTCCATCTGATATACTCCCCAGCATATTCTCCTAGAATGTGCTTTAGCAGGAAGCTGTAATGAGAAATTGAGCCAGGACTGAAACTCCAGAAATCCAGTATGGGATGCAGGTGTCCCAGGTGCTATCTTAACCACTGCACCAAATGCCACCCTCAATTTGTTGTCTAAATTGTCTTCCATGTTTTTACTTGCTCAGTATTTCAATGTAGTTAATGCTGTTAAAACAGTCTTAACGGAGATTTTGGGAAGATAACACAATAGCTAGCACAGAAATCTGTCTTCCCATATAGGCAATAATTTCAAAGACAGGGTCTGTTTGATGCAAGTAGTTTGGAATGCAGTAGTTCTTAACTTCCAGAAGACTTAGATGGCAAATTGTAGTTGATTTTGGTCAACAACCAAAATTAACAATAAAAATTTGCTCAGCACAGTAGCAGCTACACTTCCAAGCCCCCAGTCCTGTGGCAAGCAGTTACTGGATTTCCATATATCCTTTTTTTTTTTTTTTTAAAGATTTTGTTTATTTATTTGAGAGGTAGAACTACAGACAGAGGGAGGGAGAGACAGAGAGAAAGGTCTTCCATCTGCTGGTTCACTCCCCAAATGGCTGCAATGGCTGGAGCCAGTTGATTGGATGCCAGGTGCTTCATCTGGTTTCCCACACAGGTGTAGGGCCCAAGCGTTTGGGCCACCTTCCACTGCTTTCCCAGGCCATAGGCAGAGAGCTGGATCAGAAGAGGAGCAGCCAGAACACAAACTGGCCCATATTGGATTCTGGCCACTGGTGACTTAGCCTACAATGCCACAGTGCCAGCCTGGGTATCCATATATTCTAACACTGTATACAAAAATTAATTCAAATAAGCTCATGATACAACTGTACAACATAAAACTATAAAACTCTTAAAATATGGGGGCAAGAGTTTAACAGTATTGGTTTCAGCAGTGATTTCTTTGATATGACACCAAAGGCATAGAAAACACACTGTCGACAGATTAAAAAAGGCAACCCACCAAGTGGGAGAAAATATTTGCAAATCACGTTTCTGATAAGGGATTAATATCCAGAGTAATGGGTATAGAGTTTAAGTTTTAAAGGTAAAAATTGTTCCGGGGAATGATGGCAAGGATGCTCGCACCAAATGTATTTAATAACTCTGAATTACACACTTATACTTAAAGTCATAAATATTTTATATGTTTTATGACAATACAGTATTGCAAGAAAAATCTGTCTTGTGGCCAGTATTGTATCATAGTGGGTAAAACCACTGCCTTTGATGCCGGTTCAAGCCCCAGCTGCTCCACTTCCAATCCAGCTACCTGCTAATGGCCTGGAAGAAGCAGCAGAAGATGGTACAATGCTTGGGCCCCTGCCACCCACATGGGAGATCCAGATGAGGCTGCTGTCATCGGGGGGTGAACCAGAGGATGGAAGCGCTCTCTTTCTCTCTCTGTCTCTCTCTCTTTCTCTGTAACTCTGCCTTTCAAATAAATCTTAAAAATAAAAAATCTATCTTAATTTTCCTGTTTAGTCAAACATCTTTTCAACTTTTGTTTAAATTGACTTTTTCCCTTCATTATGAAATGACTTATTTCTTTGCTGCTTTATATACCTCACAATTTTTTGTGTGAGTTTTACCTTTTTTAAGTGTTGGGTATTTTTGTATTTTCAAAGTATTTTGTAAGTATTATTAAGCTTTATTGTGGGATGCTGTTCATTTCCTTGGAAATAGTTTGATCCTTTCTTCATCTTGCTCATAAGCTCTTTGTTAGATGATACCAAAGCAACATTTGTACTAGAGCTAATTTTATACCACTATTGAATCAAATCCCTTGTGAATACTACACCTATTGTTCAATAAATTATAATGTTTTTCCACTCTGATCGATGGAAATGAGAAAAATTCCTGTTCCAGTTGAGCTCTGAGAGTTGTTCCCTCTCATTCTTTCTCAGCCCTGGGTAGCTTTCACATCTGAATGCACTGATCAGTATTCATCTGAAGCCTCTACTGGGACCACCCTGTACCGATCTTCAGAGCTCTCCCTATGTGCAGCTTTCCCCCTTCCACTACTCTCTGCTCTGAACTTTACTTCCTTTGTCCTCACACCATAACGTTTGTGTTCTCCTCCCAAGGAATCTGCTGGACTTGAGGTTCTCTCTGCATTGCAGCTGGAAACACTCTTCAGGCAGAAAAATGGAGCAATCCTAGGGCTTTGATCATGCTTGATCTATTTGTCAATGATCACTGTCATCCCTTGCCTAGTGTCCAAGATCTTGAAACTGTTCTTTCAAATATATTGTTTGATTTTCAAAAATTCTCTATGCTGGAGAATAAATCCAGTCCCTCCGACCCCACTTTCGTCAAAAGTGACAGTAAGTTGCTCTTTAAAGCGTCTTCTACTCAAAGTTGAATCCTGCATTAGCACCCCCTTGCTCACAGCACTTCCATTGGCTTTTGCTCTTGTTTTTTCAGATGGCAAGTCAGCCGTCATCCATGTGTTTCCCTTCATGATGCTTTTCTGTATCATTTGTTTTTGACAGCTTGGTTATAAAGTTAGTAGATGGTAGGTTTTTTTTTATTTATCCTATTTGGGGTTCAGTGAGTTTCTGGATATATAGAAGTTTGTCTTCCAAAAGGTTATGGAAAATGTGCACAATAATTGTATTTTTATAGGAACTTTTTTCAGATACCTCATATGTCAGTTTTTCCCAGTATTAGAAAACCTTATCCCACCAATATTTATTCTCCTTTCTTACTCTTTCTTCCTCTCTTCAGTCTCCTATTGCATGTATGTATATTAGGCTATTCCATATCACCCTTAAAATTCCTGAATATTTAATTTTTGAAAAATGTTTCCCCCTATTTGTCAAATTTTAAAATTTCTGTTGCTATCAGTTTCATCAGCTCTTTTTATTCTATATTACCTGCTTTTCAATTTTTTGTTAAACCAATTCCTAGAATATTTTGTTTTAATCATTGTGTATCTTCAGTTCTAGAATTTAGTTCTTTTAAAAAATTATTTCTGTTTATTTTAGAGGAAGAGAGTCATACTGAGAGGCACATACACACACACAACTCCCATCTGCTAATTCCCTCCCCAAATGCCTGCAAAGGGCGGAAGTGTGCCAGACCAAAGGTGAGAGCCAGGAATGCCGTAGAGATATCCCTCATGGGTGGCAGGAACACAACTACATGGACCATCATGTGTTGCCTCCCAGGGTGCAGATTAGCAGGAAGATGGAATCTTATGTGGAGCCAGCATTGGAACTCAGGTATCCTGATATGGCACGTGGACATCTCAGGCAGTGTGTTAACTGCTAAACCAAATGTGCACACCCATTTAGCATTTATAAAGCTTCTATTTCTCCAATTTTAATTCTTTGAACATATTTTCTTTAACTTCTATAACTTATAAAAGCATCTTTATAATCTCCACCCAACAAGTCCAGCAGTTGAGCCACCTCATGATCAGTTTCTGCTGATTACTGCCCTTTCCCAAATTTGTGTCAATTTTTTATTGGATATTTGACATTGTGGAGTATATGAAGCATATTCAGAAAGTTTATAGAAAATGCAAATTATGAAAAATCATGTGTGTATTTCAAAAAATTTACACCCAAATAAACTTAGTTTCATTTTTTTGAAGCACTTGTGAATGAATGTTTTACTCTGTTATATTCCTTTGAACCAACACATAAGAAAACACCAAGAGTTCAAGTGTGGTTGCTGTAGGTGGCAGAGGCTCCCGGAGAAAGGTGGTATTCCCAGCTGGTCTGGGTCCCATACAGGAATTTCAATTTGTGCTCAGATCTCTCCTCCATCCCCCATCCCACTCTCATCGTGGTCCAGTTCTCCAGTCCCAGATCACCTCGCAGCTTCTTTTACTTGCCTTTCAGCTCCTGTTTCCTCAGAGTTGACATGAATAAGGTCTGTGCTCAGGATTTGCGGTGGGGCAGAGGCAGGACATGTTCCTGTGTATCTCAACACATCTGTGAAAGAAAGATTAAAAAGCCAGTGAAGTTGTGATAAGCAGCATTCCTGAGAACTATACAGCAGACATGAAGCTGATTTGAGGGGAGAGGTGGCTATCAGGAGCTCTCGGGGGAGGATGAAGACCATGGATCTGTATTTCTGTGTGATTTTGGATATGTAACAGCTGAAGTGCCTCCTGAAGAGCATTAGGTACCCTGACTTTACTGGGGCTGGGAGGAGGTGGGCAGTGAGCCAGGCAATGAACTTCTGCCAGGCCCCCATGGTCTGACCCAGGCTGACCCCATGGGCTGTTTTCTTCCTGACCATACCCCAGGTACTTGGTCCAGTTCCTGCTCTTTTTCTGGGCTTTTCTGAGTGAAAAAGCCCTGAATGAGTCTCCTCCCTGAAACCTGTCTGTGGAGTGGAAGAGAATTTCCCCAGCATCCATCATTCTTGTTAGCTCTGAAAATGAACACGCAGGCCCTTTCAGTCCATGGAAAATTGATGATCACACACACACAAGAATTAGTCTATAGGTCGTTCACAGACCTGTTTTATCATTTCCTACTCTCAGCTGGTGTCATATGCTAAGAACTTCACCCTTCTACCTGTTGTCAAGGAAAAGGGAAAAAAAAACGGAATTCACATATGCTGAGAATCCTCCCCACCTTACAAGTGATGAAACTGAGCTCAGATAAGTTACATGGCTTGTAAGAGGTCACACAAGACATGAAACAACTAAATTTGGACTCTTTTGGAGTTCCATATCATGAGAATCTTTCAGGTATGATAGATAAATGTATTTTAAAAATTAAGCAGAAAAGATATTTTTAAATGAAATTTTATATACTATGCCACCCTATTGCACTGTATGAAATGAGTGCATAAGTTGTGATATAACACTGTGTCAATCAGACTTTGGTCGAGGCTGCAGAGAGAAGGCTTGGTCTCTCATGTGGAACTCACTGGTCCGGCCAGGTCTCTCCATGAAGGCCCTCATAGGTCAGTTTGAAGGCAAACTGGGCACGGGTGGTTCCCTAATAGCAGATCAGGAAATATTGCTGTCAGTCTCAGCAGTCATGTACATCTTAATATGGTTGATCACCCCCTAGTTCCCTTTTGCTTAGATAGAAAAAACATGTTCAGACAACCTCTCATTGTCCTTCAATTATGCCTTGGAGTAAAAATGTCATAAAATACCAAGAAATCAGGGGAAAAACTAACTGATACTAGTCCCAGTCTGCCCTGTGATAGGCCAAAGTCAGGAATAGGTACCCATTTGCTGCAAGCATATCTGTGATGTGGTTTATCCAGAAAATGTGATGACAAGTTGCTCTCCAGCTCCTGGGAGGCATGTGGTAAAGGCTCAGTTTGCCTTGCACTACTCAATGAGTAGAAACAACAGAGCTATTGGCTGCCAGGCAAAGACAGTGAACATAGACTGTTTGCTAACTCACAAAATACAGCTTTGCAAGGTGAAAAGGTTGGGAGCATTAATAACGCATAGCAACCCACTATCCTGTAGCCAGTAAGAGAACATTTCATGTTAGGAAAACAGCATGGGGGGTTTTCCTTGCTTCATCTTCAAGACCAATCTTACTGTAGGTCAGAATTTACGCATTTGGGTAATTCATTTTATTTATTTATTTTATTTATTTAAAAAATGGAGAAATGACTAGTTTTATGCATTCATGATGCAGTGAATTTAAAGAATGCAAATTAAAGTAGTGATCCGTGATTACCTTGATGCTTCCAACTTCTTTTAGCATTAGTCCAGCTGAATTTCCTGTACCACTGTGCGGCACTATATACATCATAATTGCAGACAAGGCCTCTGCTGACTCTAAGCTTGACAGCAGGGAACAGTTGGGATTGTTGCTGCTGCTTGGGGCTGCAGACCTGGTGGATGCTGTGCCCATGGTTGATGGGGGAATTAAGCCGGCAGCTTACCCTGACTATGTCTTGACGGTTGGATGATGCTTTGTGGGTCTAAATATGCTGAGAGAGAGACAGAGACAAACATAGATGTGGAGAATGATACAGCATCATTTCCCTGCTGACTCAGCTAGTGCTTTATAAGCCAGTCCTCAGTGTTGCCACAACTTTAAAAAGTAGATACTACTTTTTTTGTGGGGGAACTTACACTCAGAAATGGCAGGTGACTTCTCAAGGTCACACTGCAGTAAGCATCAGCACGCCGGGGTCTGTGACTCTAAGGACTATACTTGATCTTTTGTGCCACTCTGCATCTGCTAACCAGCAGGCCCTGTGCCAAGGGCTTTACACTAATCCTCCATGCAGCCCTGAGGAGGAAGCTCTGATTATTCCCATCAATAGACAAGGAAACCAGTTCACAGAGCGGCTAAGTGGCATTCACATGGGGTGCCTGCTCACTCTGTGTTTCTGTTCTCAGCTGGACCCATCACACTTAACTATTAAGGTTTGTACAAACTGGCTTCTCTATTTTAGAAGTACCCAGCTTCTTAGATATAGTTTTGGGGCAGTGAATTTGCATAGATCATGTGTACAACTGCAGATACTTTCACTGATTGTGAATTGGGCCCTAGCATTGCTTTGCTGGGAAACCCACTTGTGTGGGTTTACAGACACACACCCTGCTGATGCATTTGGTAGCAGGGCATTGAAGCACAAAGCTAGGACTCTCATGTGGATGAACGACTCCAGCTTTGACACTGTGTGACAATAACACAAAGGTCCACGCATGATCACACGGTGCATCTTTTGCAGTCCAAGGTCTGTGACTGTGAGGGTGGGGGATAGGATTCAGATGTCACCCTGGCAAAACTAAGTCAGCCCAGCTCACATCCCAGGTTCAGATATTCATGCCCATTCAGTAGTAGAATTCCAGGATGGCTCTGGAGACTGGGGAGGTTGGCTTGTCCTATGGAGTCATGTGGTATATCCTGAATTATCTCAGGTAGTGCTTTTGCATCATTATATGTGTCATCTATATCTTCTGGGAGTCCTATTCAGTGACTGGCTGTATCCCCCTGAATTCATGCACTGAACTTCTGCCTGCCAATCTGATGATATTAGGAGGTAGAGCCTTAGGGATAGGACTATGTGATGAGAGTAGAATCCTTGTGAATTAGATTAGTGTCTTTAACAAAGGGACCCCGGAAAGCTCTCTTGCCTTCTTTCTTCCACGTGAGAACACAGCTAGAAGTCAGCAGTGGGCAGCGTGGTAGAGACCCTCACCAGCACCACGCTCACAGGCACCCTGCTCTCAGAATGGTGAGATATCAATTTCTTTTGATTATATGCCACCAGATCTGCTGTAATCTAAGCAGGATGTGGCACCCAAGCTCATGTTTTAATTCCAAAGTCACAGGTTGATAGCACTGAGAGAGTAGAAGTATTCAGTTATTTTCTTTGGAAGCATGGTCTAGTGGGAGAATCTGTGGTAATTGAAATGATGCCCTTGAACTCTTACATCGGGGTGGTTTATGAAAGCCTGAGTGCAGCCCAGCCAGTCTGCTTACTGGCTCGCCATGTGATCCTTCCTCCATGCACATTCCACCATTGCCGTCCATTGCCCTGATCGCCTGCCAACCCAGTGGGACTGCCTAACTTGGACTGAGCCTTTGAAACTGGGAACTAAATAAATCTTTCCTTGGTATTAAACTTAGTTGTCTCAGGTAGTTAACTGCAGTGACAAAAAGCTGCCTAATACATAAAATACATGGTATTTTATCAATAGTCCAAACCGACTGAAACATTCAGTGAGAAAGGTACCCTCACAACATCCATACCATAGATTAGACAACTGAGTCATGGTCAGGAGCAGTCTTGCTGAGTCTCTCTCCATCCACAGTCCCTCATCCTAATGTCCCTGCTCTGCTCTGCTACAGGGCCCAACCCTGTGCTGCTTCCCAAGATTGCTAGTTCAGGGATCACATGATCTAGTTTGGTTTTGGATGTAAAGGAATCCTTCCAAGGCCATTCTATTTGACACTGGTAAAAGAAGTCACAGTTGCACTTGACTTTTCCTAATAGCCCTTTGCACTTTTTGGTCTTCTCAGAACTGAACAAAGTGTTTTGTCAGCTGGTTTTCACCTCCTGGTCATAGCCCTGGAGCCCTTCAGGACACACATAAAGTAAAGCAAAGGATTTGGTTGCCCAGCATCACGCCACATGCCAGGCCTCGTGCCTAGCCCCATGGCCTCCTGATGTTTGGGATTTTATTGATAGGAAATCACCCTAGGGTCTACTGTAGTTGGAATCCAAGACTCTGAGTCAGAACTGATAGCCTAATGTAAGGCTGGAAAGTTCTAGCAGGTTTCCTAAATAACGGCCTTGTTCTGGGGGTTGGAAAGCAGTAACAATGATTAGGAGAAATCTGGCTCAGAGGAAGACCAATGCTGAAGAGGAACACGTGTATTTTCACAAGAAAGTTTATTTGTTTAAAGAGTCATCCTTGGCTTCTGTAGCCTTTTTCCTGCATCCTTGTTTTTCTTGGTGATTAACCTTGCTCTGCTTTCTTTCTTCTTTAACCTGTCTTCTGGGAATTTTCTTAGTCACACACCTCTGCTCGGGAAAACTCCCATCTTAACTGAAATGTAATGGTTATGTTCTTGTGCTGCCATATTTAAGTAAGGGCAGGTTCTACTGTAACAGACAATATCAGAGTGTCAGTGACAACACAACAGAAATCTCCTTGATTGCCTCATGGACAGGGCAGGCAGGTGTCCCTCTAAACAGACTCTCAGGAACTCAGGTTCCTCATAGCTTTTGGCACCATCATCTCTGATGGGAGGAAAGGAAAAGATGAGCCAAGAGACAGAGAGAAGGTTAGAAGGTTGCATCTGAGCGTTTTTCATGGGCAGGAGCTAGGAACCCCATTTTTCACTGGCCAGAACTCAGTCACATGGTCCCGCCCCAACTGCAGAGGAGCTGGAAACTGGAGCTACAATGTGCACTGTCACTTTTGCAATAGTCTGTTGGATTTTCCCCAGAGGTAGGAGCCATCTGCAGGGACCTGTCGATAAAAGTGTGCTTTGGAGTCAGCCTTCTTCTGCATCTTTGTAACCCAGTAGTTGTAATTTGTAAGCCATGCTCTTACTCTGCCTTTCAAATCTGTCTATTCTTATGTCATAACAATGTTTTGAGACTAACAGCACTGCATATGAAGGACTTAGAACATTAGGAAAAAGCCACCATTGCTCTCCTCAGGGTTCAGGGTAAATGCTGTTCCCTTTGCTGCCTAAGAGAGAAGCCTGTCCTCTACTCCAGCAGTCATAGGCAGCAGTGTGCACACAGCACCTGCCCACTTACCAAGATGGGGAAGTAGGTCTGACCTTCAAGCTGGAACCCATAACAGACACAGACTCATTCATTCTGAATGGTAGTAAGGTCCTTCAACGTGCAAACCAGAGGCACAGGATCGAGTGCTTCACTGGCATCCCCTGTGGCCACCGGTTTGAGTCCCAGCTGCTCCATTTCTGATCCACCTCCCTGTTAATGCACCTGGGAAAGCAGCAGAGGATGGCCCCAGTGCTTGGGCTCCCGCACCTACGTGGGAGACCCAGAAGAAGCCCCTGGTTCCTGTCTTCGGCCTGGCGCAGCCCCAGCCATTGCAGCCCTTTGGGAAGTGAACCAGTAGATGGAAGACTTCTCTGTCTCTGTCTCTCTCTAACTCTGCCTTTCAAATAAATAAAGTAAATGTTTTTAAAAAAACAAAGGCAGAAATGCTTTCTGAAAGATGGAGGTATGTGTTGCCCTGCGAGGTAGAAACTTCTCACACTGGAAGGGTTCAGTAGGAACAAAATAGCCATCAAGCAGGAACAGAGCTGCGAGCCCTGTACTGAGGGTGAGAAAGGGCGTGGGGATTTCTACCAGGGAAGAAAGCGCATGTCAGAGCGCCTGGTGGTTATTGGGTGACAAAAACAATGAGTACCTATTGCTTCTGTTCTATGAGAGTAAGAGGAAAAAAAAGCCTTAATATCATGATCTTGGTGGCTGGGAGACAGTAGAAAATGTTGACCAAAACTTGACTCGTGCTTTCTGTATCCTTCCCACAACAGAAAAGCTTTGACCTTAACGTATTTTTAACATCCGACACGTTGCTCCGTCTGTACTCATCATGGAGTCCAGTGTATTGCAGGCGGTCAGGAACTCTTTCGTTGATTGATCGATTCTCTCAGCATGATTAGGTACACAAGCATTGTTGAATGAATGACTCTTCCTTTACTGCAGGTTTAATTGCCTCGGTTTTCCCAGATTTTGTTCCGTGACCTGTGTTTTTCCACATTCCTAATGGTTCTTGTGTCCCTGCCCAGGACAGCCTTCAGTCTGTTAATGCCCCTCTTATAATGCGGCTCCCAGAGCTAAACATGACACACTGTCTTTAATCAAGTGATCCACCAACTCATGAGGTCTTGTGGTGAGCACCAGCTGAACCTGAAAACAAAAATCCTACTGTTCTGGAAGGCCAGGGGGTCAGAAATGTACCCGGTTGAAATTTCCAGCAAATGCATCTAAATGGGGCTCTTGAAAACCAGGGGTAGACATTTGCAGTTTTTGCGTGCTATGTTTTTGTTGCTTTATAACCCCTTTGGCCAAAGAGAATATTATAGTCAAACATGGCATGCCTCCTGGTCTCCATGCCTGTGCCAAGTACCAGACTAGAGATCTGTGAGCTAGGAAGCCAGCCAGCTCTTTGAAGCACATTGCATCAGACATTTCCTGAGGTGTAAAGGAAGGACTCCTTGCTAGAAAGCAGGGAGAATTTTGGCTCTTAGAGACTGGACTCAGTAACTTTAACTCCCTGGCTAAGGACCAATCTTCCATCAGGCAGCTCTCATGTGGCCTGCAAAAAATTCAGATCCAAAGCCTGTGGCTTCTATTTTCCATGTTGACACCACAGCCTTGTTTGAAAGAAATATCCCTTTTTGGGGACAAGGGAGGGTAAGAACAGCTTTTAGGAAAAGAGAAACATTATATAATCTGACATTAAAAGAGAGACATTATATAATCTGACATAAATTAATTTTGGGGGGCAATGTTGTCTTCTGCATTGGGAAACCATTGACTCTGAATTAGAATGCTGTCCAAATAAATGTTGTCATGTATCACTCTTTCTTTCTAAGTTAAGTAAAATTAAATAATATGTAGTGGTATATATCCTGGTGTTTATTATATTTATAAATTAGACCCTAATGGAGGTTTCTCAAATAACTTCACAAATTATCTCTTATAACCAAGGAATTTGATCTTAGTAGCACTCAGAGTTAAATATTTTGTAATTCTAGATTCTATAACTCTTCCAATGTGCCATACAGGCTATTTATGAACGGCATGTGCAAATGTCTCTGTTTTCATTCCACACAAAGCACTGCGCAGGTGATAGAAAATAATTAATAATAAAGAGGTCTTGGAAGCTTTCCTTCTGAATGTGTAAAGTTGAACCCTGGGGTGGGAACATAGCTGGTTAGAGTAGCCTTAAGTATATGAAGGAACAAGATAAAGGCACCTTTGGGAGATTTTTTATATCTGATATTCCCTATTCCTGCAAAATATGGAGCTATTATTAGGTTCCCCTACAGTTGTTAACTAAGACTCTCCAGAGGCAAGTTCCAAAATCACCATCAAGGTGATAGCCTATGTCTTCCCATAGATGGATGCTTTTTCCATCACAAGATCTACAATTTGAGGGTCAATGTCCCAGTGAACAGGTGATGACCATAAAGACCCCTGAAAGAAGGCTCTGGACAAGTACTTTAGTGTGACTTTCCTGTAGTTCTCAACTCTGAGTCTTAAGTCCAAATTCTGGATACTTCATCTTTTCTTTTGGGAATGTGGATCTGGCACAATTCGATCCCTACCTTGTTTGGGGGCTAAAAAAAAAAAAAACCATGAAATATTTATGAAGTGCTTTATTTCACAAGAAGTAAAGTTCCAGGTTACACAACCTCTGTAAGCTCCTGTGTGGCAGTGTTGGAACTGCATTTCTGCTCTCCCACCCCCACCCCACACCACACACAGCACCAGCTCTTCCGAAGTCACAGGCTCCACTCTTGGGCTATCCTTGTGTGATAACAGAAGAATGTCACACATACATTTGCCGCCTTTCTGTAATCATGTTTGTTGTTGAGTATGGTGTGATAGATGATTAAAATGTCCAAGAAGGGAAATAAAGGAGTGGGGTGAGAAGAGGAGGAAGCAGCAGCAGGGAAGCATGAAGTAGAGGAAGGGTGAGTGAGAAGTGACAATCCCCGAGGAGCCCAAGCTGTTAACCTGCAGGGTGTGCACATCCTCTGCCAATCACATTGCGAGGTGACACTGGGACTCACTGACCGTCTTGCCAGGAATGTTGTCAAGGTCTGTTGTGGACAGGGTTTCTCGGGACGAGAGACAGTGGGGTGCAGAGCTGTTCACTTGGCATCGTTCACCATCACTAACGTCTCTGATAGCGCATTAAGCTTATCCTGTATACCCGGTTTCATAAAGGTGATCGGGAATGGCAGGAAGCCAAGGAATGGGCAGTGATCAGACACAGAGAAGCAAGGCTTCCTATGACAGCCACCGGGAAGCGGCCAGCTTGTGTTTACTTTCCACTCCAAATGTTTTCCTTGGTATATCTATACCACCACCTATTTCTCAGGAAGTGACACAAAGGAACAGGCTTCACAATGCCATCAATGTCCATTTTGACAGCATTCATGTCACAATACACAATCATGTACTGTAATTATACAAAATCTAAAGAATGAAATGTTACTAGTTACATTGCTTAAAATGAAACTGACAGTCAAACAGAAATAACAAAAAAGAAATCTCCTTGGTAATCCATAGAGATACTTGACAATATTACAGGAAATGTAGCCAAAGAATTGTCCTAGCATGCTTTGTCATAATTTCATAAATTCCCAGCTCTTTGGGGGGGGAAAGAAAGTGCATTTTCACAGCCTATAGTTCACAAAGAAATAGCTTTCACAGGTGTTCAAGTGACAGAGAAAGGAATACAAAGTGTAGGCACCAAGATTGCTCAAACAGCAACAGAGTTTGGAGAATGAGACTTGACGCTCTTCTGAACCAGATCTGGTTTCTTGAAAAAGAACCTGGACAGTCACATTATTCCAAAGGGGCCAAGGAAAAAACATCGAACTGTTAATAAGGAAGAAAACCATCAAGAACTAGACCACTTAATACAAATATTTTTCTATTCTACTTTGAAGTTAAATTACAGCTTTTCATATTTTGAATAGGAAAAGATTTGTGGTTGATCTGTGGGTAGAAGCCCTCTCTCTTACCCATCCACCCTCCCCGCTTCTGATCTGGTAGCTTAGGTTTGCAGTACAGACATTGCTGGGTCCATTTACTTGAAGTAGAATTGCTATTTCTTGATGTGTGACCATGCTTTTTTGAACAATGAGGTATAATTCAATGCTAACCATGCCTGTTCCTTCCTGGGCTATGGGGTCGGTCAATGGTGTGGGCAGAAAACAATTCAACTGTCTGATAAAATCATATACAGAAATTATTGCACTTTAAAAAAATGAACACAAAAAACTCAGCCCAACTAGCAAAGGGCCTGAAAGTCTTGAGAAGTGCCATACTTGCTGCCCTTTGCAGAGTGCATCTTGACCTTTCAGGTGTTCTGTTGGGTTTGTCCATTATTAAATTTCCAGAAGTGAAAGAGTCCAAAAGACACTGTAGGCTCTTTAAGGCTAAGTCTTCTCAGTGCTTCTATGAGATAAAATTATCTCCTTGGCCACATACTACAAAGCAGGGGCTCCTGTTAGCAAAATGACTAGCAGGGCTCCCCAAAATGTCTGGAAGCAAGGGAGGATGGGTGCAGATCACGTCCTCTCCTGTGAATGAGAGAGAGAAAGCCAGTGAATGGCCTGGGACACGTCAGCAGCCTCCTCTTTTCTTTACCACTTTCACATACTCAACTCCAGAACCCAGGCATGCTGCTGGGGATTTCTCTGCATTTCTCTGTGCGTCTTCTCCTTTCTGTGGCTCTGAATATCATTCCCTCTCCCTGCACATTTGTCTCCCTCTGTCCTACCCGTTATCCTCCTTGCCCACTATGCTCTCTGTCTCACTTTCTTGGTGAGTAAAAGGTAGTGTTAGTCCCATTCTGCTATTCACAGGTCTTTGCTTCCTCTCCTTACATATGTTTCCCACAGTGCACCACTATCCACTCCCTAACCTGTCAATGTCTCCAATGCACTATCTTCAGATATTCCAGACTCTGTTTATGAGGCTCACTGGGCTTATTCAAGGTCACCTCAGTTGAGAATACTTAAACCTTCGAAAATCTGTTCTGTTCCTGTTCCTGTCAACACTGGAGCTCAGGGTACTCATGATGTTACTAATGTTTTTCATGAGGCTCTCAAGTGAGTGCTTATGTGAGCAGTGAGATAAGACATTTTTAGGGGGCCGGCGCCATGGTGCAGTAGATTAATCCTTCACCTGTGACTCTGGCATCCCATATGGGCGCCAGTTCTAGTCCCAGCTGCCCCTCTTCCATTCCAGCTCTCTGCTATGGCCTGGGAAGGCAGAGGAGGATGGCCCAAGTCTTTGGGCCCCTGCACACACGTGGGAGATCAGGAAGAAGCACCTGGTGCAGCTCCGGTGAACCAGCAGACGGAAGACCCTTTTCTGTCTCTCCCGCTCACTGTCTGTAGCTCTACCTCTCAAATAAATAAATAAAATCTTTAGGAAAAAAAGACATTGTTAGATACTGCTATCCCGAAACTCTAAAGTTAACATTGTTTTTCTTCCTATGGGTATCATCTCAAACTCCTATGTAGTCAATAAAGCATTTGCACAAAATGTCTAAATACATTTGGAAGGTGGTTTGCTGTATGACAGCAGTTCCCAGGAAAACACAGTTCCCATCTCTGAATCATGTAAGGTGCTGGGCAGGGAGCATGGAGTACAATCATCATGAGTGGCAGAGACCCCTGCTTCTTCCTGCCACCACCCTCAGTGCACTGAAGCTCAGGGGTCTGCCATGGTATTGGTTACTCACTATGACCAACTTTACATCATCAGGAGTTGGTGCAAAATCCTAGTGTGAAGTCAGAGTCAATCCCAATGGTTGCCACTGATCCTGTCAAATCCCCTCCCCTCCCCAAGACACAGCCCCTGTGATGGACTCTTCTCTACTCACTGCTCTGGATCCTGAACTAGGACTTGCTAACATTTTCGTATATGACGTCACTGATGCAGAATTGCTGCTTCTTCTTCATCCACATCAGCTGCACACACTGATGGATAAAAATGTACTGCTCCTGGAGCAAAAGACAAAAGCATGTTTCAGTGAGACGTGAGCAAAGATACGCGCTGCAATGCTATGACAGTTCTAAAGATCAAGATCTGCTGTAAAAGGAAGCCATTTTCATCATGTATAAGTGATACAGTTTTTATAAAGACATGATTTTTATAACTGGAACATTCAAGAGAATCAAGAGTAAAAGTACTTTGATTAATAATAGAACTTAGAACATCAATAATTTATTTTTGGAAGTGGAATTTTTTTGAAATATTTACTAGGGTATATAGCAAATAAAACTTGTATACAATTGGGGTGTTTGGGGCTGGCGCTGTGGCGCAGTGGGTTAATGCCCTGGCCTGAAGCGCCGGCACCCCATATGGGTGCTGGTTCAAGACCTGGCTGCTCCACTTCCAATCCAGCTATGGCCTGGGAAAGCAGTAGAGTATGGCCCAAGTTCTTGGGCCCCTGCACCCACGTGGGAGATCCGGAAGAAGGTCCTGGCTCCTGGCTTTGGATCAGCGCAGCTCGGGCCACTGCGGCCAATTGGGGAGTGAACCATCAGATGGAAGACCTCTCTCTCTCTTTCTCTCTCTCCTCTCCTCTCTGTGTGTAACTCTGACTTTCAAATAAATAAATAAATCTTTAAAAAAATTGTGGTGTTTCCGACCTGGGCCGGTTCACCCCTCCTTAGGCAACCTGGTGGTCCCCCGCTCCCGGGAGGTCACCATATTGATGCCGAACTTAGTGCGGACACCCGATCGGCATAGCGCACGACAGCCCAGAACTCCTGGACTCAAGCGATCCTCCGGCCTCAGCCTCCCGAGTAGCTGGGACTACAGGCGCGCGTACCTTTCTCTGAAGGGAGGAGAGAACCTCCACTTTGACTATGACCTTGTCTAAACAAGATAAGAGTCGGAGAACTCAAGGGGCTTCCATAGCCTTGGAAACTCATGACTGGAGCATAGGGAGATTACTGATGCCATAGACAGGAGTGTCAATTGGTAAAGTCAACAACAGGAGTCACTGTGCACTTACTCCTCATGTAGGATCTCTGTCCTTAATGTGCTGTGCATTGAGATTTAATGCTATAACGAGTACTCAAATAATATATTTCACTTTGTGTTTCTATGGGGGTGCAAACTGTTGAAATCTTTACTTAATGCATACTAAACTGATCCTCTGTAAAAAAAAAAAAAAGAAAAGAAAAGAAAAGAAAAGAAAAGAAACTATCAACTCCCAACTTGACTCTCACTGGGATTAAACATGACAATAGGTCTGATCTGATTTCATCATCATTAAAAAAAATCATCTATTATTTTTCACTTTATGTTTCTGTGTGGGAGCAAACTGTTGAAATCCTTACTTAATGTATACTAAGCTGATCTTCTGTATATTAAGATAATCGAAAATGAATCTTGATGTGAATGGAAGGGGAGAGGGAGTGGGAAAGGGGAGGGTTGTGGGTGGGAGGGACGGTATGGGGGGGAAGCCATAGTAATCCATTATTCGTACTTTGGAAACGTATATTCATTAAATAAAAGTTAAAAAAAAATAAAAAAAATAAAAAAAAAAGAAAATTACATGAGAAAAAAAAATAAAAAAAAAATTAAAAAAAATTGTGGTGTTTGATGTGGTAATTTGATGTATATTGTGAAATGATTACCACAATCAAATTAATCAACACATTTATCACCTTCTGTATATGTGTAGTGAGAACATCTAAGATCTACTCTTTTAGCAAAGATCAATGTGCAACACAGTGTTAGTAACTATAATAACTTTACTTGATAACAGAGCATCACTACTTAATTCTGAAAGCAACCAATATTCAATCAATAAATCATGGGGCTAGATTGGAAAAAAGTGCACGACACATCATATACTGAAATAAGTTCTAGAAAGTTTGATAAAGTTAGTCATAGAAATATGGAGGAAAATAAGTGATTAATTCCTCTCTACTTTTGAGAAGGAATTTCTAAAATTTAAAGCAATGGAATAAACTACAAATAAAAATATTTAAACAACTGTACATAAAAAGATAAGGACAAAAGGAAGAGCAAATCAAAAACTGGAAGGGAAAAACAGTTCCTAGAATTATGAAAACACTTTTACATCTTTACTTTTGTTAGAAAGCCATATATCAGTAAAACACACAAATAGACAAATAAATAACAAACATCAAGCACTAGACCAAGTATTACTGGAAAGTAGAGGCAATGCTTTCATTCCTAATGTATAGCATTTAGTTTGTGTTTATTAGATTATTTTTAAAGTAAACTGAGAAATTATTAAGACATGCAAAAAAGGCCATAAGGTGAATAAAAAGATAGAAATGTAAATTAAAACAAGTATATTCCATCTATGAAGTGAGTAAAGCTAGAGAAAAAAGTAATGTTTGGTGACAACTTGAGTTTGGTGAAGCAGTCAACTATCTGGTGGTGGTATAATTAATAAAGTGCGAATAAATGATATGGGCACAGTTCTGAGTACAAAGAGGGAAAGCATCTTATTTAATATTCCATAAAAAGGAGAATGCTTTCAGTAAGCAATGGTGTATCTGTAACAAAACATTAGACCTTAAAATGAGATGCATAGAGTTTTAGGCAATTTGTGATGATCATAGTAAAATGCTAAGTGAAATATATATATGTGTGTGTAAAAAATTAAATATATACATAGCCTATGAACACAATTGTGTGAGTTACACTTCAATGAAAGCTGAGGTGAAACCATCAAAAGATTAAGGTTAGTTTATTTTTGTGCCATAAAATAGGGGTAATTTTGTGGCCTTTCTCTTTTTTCTGTATTTCCTAGTTTCTGTATGAGTAACACCATTAGAAATAACCTCTAAAGAAGATCCAGTCAAGACATCCACAGGATTTGAAGTAGCCTCTTGTACAATGATACATCAAAAAGTTGGTAGAAAAGGGGAATTAAAAGATAAGCTTAGGGACTGGTATTTAGCCTACTGCTTGAGGAACCTGAGTCCCATAGCGAATGTCTGCATTCAATACCAGGCTCCTAATGCCAGCTTCCTGCTAAATGCAGACCTTGGCAGCCTGTGATGATGTCACAAGTAACTGGGTGCCCGCCACCCACATGGGCGACCTGAATTGAATTCTCAACTCCCAACTTTGGCTTTGGCCCATGAGGGCCACTGCAGGCATTTTCAGTGTACACCAGTGGATAGGAGCTCTCCGCCTCTCAAATCAGTGAATTAATCAAAGTGTTTAAGAAGATGAGTTTATTTTGGTGCAAAAAATTGAAATTCGGGCACAATGTTTCCATAATATGAATTCTCCATGAATTTTTGAAGACACCACATGTAACAACTTTATACCAAAGATAAAACTCATACTTGAGGGGCCGGCGCTGTGGTGTAGCAGGTAAAGCCACTTCCCACAGTGCCAGCATCCCGGTTCAATCCCCGGCTGCTCCACTTCTGATTCTGCTCTCTGCTATGGCCTGGGAAAGCAGTTGAAGTTGGCCCAAGTGCTTGGGCCTCTGCAATGCTACTGGAGACCCAAAGGAAGCTCCTGGCTCCTGACTTCAGATCAGCCCAGCTCCAGTTGTTGTGGCCCTCTGGGACATGAACCAGCAGATGGAAGACACCTCTCTCTCTCTCTCTGCCTGTGCCTCTGTAACACTGCCTTTCAAATAAATAAATAAATCTTTAAAAAAAAATCTCATAACTTCTAACCACACTGAGTTGATGCCTCAGCCTATCCTGTGCTTTTCAACCAGGTTTGGAGAATACAGCTATACACTCCTTTAAGGTGACACTATCGCTGCACCTGGGGTCTTTACACCTTACTCCACTGTTTCTGGTGTCATTGCTGGAAATGGAGACAGCCAAGAATTGTCTGGGCTTTCACTCCACAAGGATCCAGTGGCCACACTTTGTGTAAAAAGAAAAAAAAAGTCCACAGGCGAGTAAATAAAGTAAAATACTATTTACAGAAAACATATCCTGGCGAGTCTCTGAGAAACCCCAGCTACCAGTCAGGAGGACAGGCTGCTCAAAGCAAAACCCATCCTGACCCCCATGGAAAGGCTGTTACAAACAAACCAGTCCACAAATTCCATCAGAATAGAAGTGGCCCAAGAGAGGTGAATGCCATCCAGAGGCAGCACTCAGTTTGGAAGCATTCATCTATTACCATTGTGCATGCTTTCAACAGTTTACAGATGTCGTCATGGTCACTGCATGGCTGAGAACTGGAAATGGTGGGGGTGGGGGGTGGTGTGAATGAAGCAGTGGTAGAGCTGTGATGCAGGCTCTCTCCTAGGGTCTGGTTCTCTCTCTAACTTTCCCTCTACTTGTGAGAGAAGCCCCTGAAGTGTATTTCATCAGATGATAAAGAACAGGCAGGTAAAAAATTGCCACCCATGCAGGGGTGGAAGTTTGGGGTACTGGTTAAGATGTCCACATCATCTATCAAAGTGTCTGGGTTCAAGTCCTGGCTCCTCTCATGATTTCAGCTTCCTACTAATGCACACCGCGGAAGGCAACAGGTGATGGCTCAAGTATTTGGGTCTCTGCCACCCACATGGTAGACCTGGATTGAGCTTCTAGTTCCTGGCTTTGGCCTGGCCATCTCTGGTCATTGTTGGCATTTGGGGAATGAAATAGTCATGGGAACTCTCTCTCTTTCTGTCTGCTTATGTCTGCCTCTTAAATATATAAATAATTCAGCCCATGAAACATGTTGCAAAGACACTGAAACATGCGTCTGAGAACATGGCTGATTTAATCAGTTCTGCTCTCTTCTAGGCCACATGAGGTGCTCGGATGAAGGTGGTGGGCAATGTAGACAAGGTTGGAAAATCAGAAACCCATCAGGGGAGGAAATGTGGTATACAATTCATGGGCTATCTACATAAAGACCCGACTCAGCGAGAGAATCACTCTATCCTTTTGAAAATCATTCGTGTCACGGGGATACTCTGGGAAGATAAACTTGAGAAGAATCATTTTGACTTTGTTCCTTACTCATGAATATCAGTAATTTAGAAGACAGCAGGATTTGGAAGCAACTGGCTTACTTAGAATGTTAGGCACATCAAACCTGTATGTGAGACACACAGGTTGAACCATGGAGAATGAAGAGGAATGAAGAAAAATAATGGTAAACAAACGAGGTGTTAGGTGTTCTAAGGCAGAACTAACCAAGCAGACACAAGTTATCTGGGAAGCAAACCCAAGACCTTGAGTGGTCGCTGCCCCCTAAGCTGACTTGATGCCCTTACGAAGTTCCCTGAGAGCTAACAGTACTTCAACAAAACGGTTTCCCTGGCAGTGTCTACCTGAGATGCTGCCACGAACAAGGAAGCCAAGCAACCAAAATCTGAGTAAAGAAAGGGAGAAAAAGGGAAGTGTTTTGTTGTTGTTGTTGCTGCCTTTGCAGAACACCTCCAGTTCTGTGTGATTTCCACACCCAAAAGAAATGATGGGACTGAGAATGGACAAGAGGCCCACCAGGTGAAGGTAGTTTTTAAAAAGGGATTAAGGTTCTGTCCTTGGAAAAAAAGTCCAAAGCATATGGGCTAGCATCAAAGTCTATAAAGTTAGAAAAGGTATACATTAAGTACATGGGGCAAACCCAAAATATGTGACAAAAGGAGTGGCTCTTTGAAGCCTGGGGATTAATATACTTCACAAGGCATTTTAATCACACATTAGCCTGGAAATTTATAGAAGTGAAAGCCAAAAGTAAGAACCGATTAATAAAGCATTGTTTAATCACTAGTTAGCGGCTTCTCTGGGGGAACCAGACGTTTTGAACTTATGATAACAAGGTAATGTTCATGTCCCCGCGACAGTAAATTAGAAGGCAGCAGGACTGGGATGGGAGTGGGCCCAAGAAAGTGCTTCCTAATTATCAGTGAGACAACTGAATATTAATAGATTGCATCCTTCCAAAGGAATATGATCCTGTTCCAGCCCGCAAGTGAATAGATTGGAATGGTCGTGTCAGTCTTTGGTCAGATGAGAATGGACTCACCTCCAGGAAGTAGGAAGAAAGAAAAGTAGAAAGTGAGAAAGGAGAAATCTACAAGCACACAGGACTGAAGAGATGCCGCCATTACTCTGGGCTTTTTGAGTTATGCTGACATCTAGTGGTAGTATATAGGAAAAGCAAGAAACACCTAGGCGTGTTTTTTTTTATTATTATTATTGATAATCATTTATTTCTTAAAGGACATATTCAATATTACACATTTGACAGTCATATCCTCATGTGTGTCTTGATGCATGTGTGTATGAATTCAAATGATACTATGAAGACTCATTACTTTTTGTATAAGAAAGGTTCTGTGTAAAATAGAAGGCTCTTGCCTAGCAACTGAATTAATCTGGTTAAAGATATAATTACTAATATAATATTACTAGGTGAATATTTGGAAATTAATTTTAGTTAATAATTTCAAGAAAGTAATGGTACTTTGCTGTAGCCATATTCCATCACAGTGAAGACTTAATTATATTCAGATAATAATTGATGAGACATTCTTTAAAAGCCATTAATGTTCTCCACTATTTAAAACAACTCATACCATATAATAACAGCAGAATACTGACAGAAATGAAGGGTTTCAAAACGTTTCTAGAAAACACACGGTATCTTTTAATTCCATATTCTGTGAGCTTCCTGAATGTCCCTTACATATATACTTTTTTTTTTTTTTTGACAGGCAGAGTGGACAGTGAGAGAGACAGAGAGAAAGGTCTTCCTTTGCCATTGGTTCACCCTCCAATGGCCGCCGCGGCCGGCGCGCTGTGGCCAGCGCACCGCACTGATCCGATGGCAGGAGCCAAGTACTTATCCTGGTCTCCCATGGGGTGCAGGGCCCAAGCACTTGGGCCATCCTCCACTGCACTCCCTGGCCACAGCAGAGAGCTGGCCTGGAAAAGGGGCAACCGGGACAGAATCCGGCGCCCCGACCGGGACTAGAACCCGGTATGCCGGCGCCTCAAGGCGGAGGATTAGCCTAGTGAGCCGCAGCGTCGGCCCCATATATACTTGACACCTCACTAGAATGCAAATGAGCTTGACTATTCAATGAAACTGCATAATGTTCTGCTATGGCCGAAAACCTTTCATTCTGGTCTTCTGAATTCCTATGAGGTTTTTGTTTGTTTGTTTGTTTGTTTTTTGTTTGTTTGTTTGTTTGTTTTTGTTTTTGACAGGTAGAGTGGACAGTGTGAGAGAGACAGAGAGAAAGGTCTTCCTTTGCCATTGGTTCACCCTCCAATGGCCGCCGCGGCCAGCATGCTGTGGCCAGCGCACCGCACTGATCCGAAGGCAGGAGCCAGGTGCTTATCCTGGTCTCCCATGGGGTGCAGGGCCCAAGCACTTGGGCCATCCTCCACTGCACTCCCTGGCCACAGCAAAGAGCTGGCCTGGAAGAGGGGCAACCGGGACAGAATCCGGCACCCCGACTGGGAATAGAACCCGGTGTGCCGGCGCTGCTAGGTGGAGGATTAGCCTGTTGAGCCATGGTGCCAGCCCCTATGAGTTTTTTCAGACATTCAGAGAAACATAACATGAGTCAATGTTACCAGGATGAGCTACCTTGGGAGTAACAGGAGTTCCCAGACAACTTGCGAAGACACCTGTATTTGCAAAGCAGGGGGACAAGGACAAAGTTCTGCTGTTCAGGCTTAAAGGGGTTTTGGAGTAACTCTATAGCAAGTCCCTGCTTCTCTGTGGCCTGACCTCATACACCTGAGATGGGACCTACAGGAAGAATCTACTGTGTAGGCGTGTTTTAATCTTGCTAAGAGGTCAGGCCAGGTTGTGTTCTAACTTCCTCTCTCTCTCTCTCTCTCTCTCTCTCTCTCACACACACACACACACACACACACACACCTTCAGGGAAAGGACATTACGCCTGAAGGTAAGAAGTCACAAGAAGGTCTGGGTGACTAGGATCATGAATAAGCTATCGTACTTGGGTTTTGCACCCACACACGTGCACTCCCACCTCTGTTCAGAGACAGTGTGGTGCTATCTGCAGGCACCACCCTGGGCTGCCTCTCCAAACAGGGTGAATTCCCAGGCTTCCAGGGAAAGGAGGAGTCGGGGAAGAGAAGAGGAGCATATACCAGGGCTGGATAGTCTGGGGCTGATCCCATAATTAAAATAATAAACCCAGGGCGGAATCTTGGCTTAGCAGTTGATTCTGGTTAGGATATTCTCAACCCACATGGGAATAACTGGCTCAACTTCCAGGTCTGGCTGCCTATTCCAGCTTCCTGCTAATGCAGACTTTTAGAGGCACTAGTGATGGTTCAAGTAGTTGGGTCACTGCTACCCACAGGGGAGACATGGGTTGAGTTCCAGGCTCCTGGATTTAGTTTAGTTCACTCCTGAACTGTGCAGGTATTTGAAGAGTAAATCACCAGATAAGAGTGCTCTCTCTATCTCTCTCTTTCTGTCTCTCTACCTCTCAAATAGATTATAATTTTTTTAAAAAATCCATTTATTTAGATTAAGGCAACAGGCAGTGCTGGTAGGTTGGGGGCTGGGAACCATTAAAATCATTGGGAACAGAAAATGCAAATCCAACCATGATCATTATGCAAAGTGAATTGCAACTGGAAGTCACATAGAGGACAAACTAATAGGAAACTTATTGAATCAACTTCAACATTTCAAATATAAGTTAAATCACAGCAGTTGCATAGTCTGTATTTGGTGGACTTACCCAGAGTGGCTGTTACCTGTGACTCCCTCACAGTCTGTTGTGGGAGAGTGTGCTCTATTACAGATACACCCATGGGCTGTGCATGCCGGAAGGGCAAGTGACACCCATAAAAGACTCATCTCTGCACACTGGGGATGTCTACAAGCCAATGCCTATTCCTTTTATATCTTGAGACAGTTTGAACATATACAATAAGGAAATGGGAAAGGCAGATGCACTAATAGTTGGGGCAACTGTTTTGAAGCATGAGTTTGAATCAGGCCAAGTTTCTCAGCCAAGGACAATTTAAAAATACATATTGATTCCGTTCCTACCTCTGTCTGTACCATAGACATCCTGTATGACCTCATTTCCGACACCAGCCCTAAGATGTCGACAAACTCATGGTCCCGAATGTGCTGCAGGAGCCTGTCCAGGGCAATGAAGGTTCCTGTCCTCCCCACTCCAGCGCTGCAAAAGAAGGGTCAGACAGCATGTTACTCAGCCAGTGCTTCCTCACTGTCAGAAATAAACAGGCAGTGCTCACAAACACAGGGGGCACCACTGTGCAAAAAGGCTAAACTCCTGATGGTATTTTCCACTTTGCTGATTTTAAAAGAGTATTTATTTGTTTATTTTCATTTTATTTGAAAGGCAGAGAGACGCACAGAGACAGAAACAAAGACAGACGAGAGGTCTTCCATCTGCTGGTTCACTCCCCAAATGCCTGCCAAAGCCAGGGCTGGAACCATATCGGACTGTCCCACATGGGTGGCAGGGGCCCAAGTACTAGAGCAGGCAATGACCTGCTGTCTCCTAGAGTACCCGTTAGCAGGAAGCTGGAAGTGGAAGCAGAGCCAGTACTGGAACCCAGGTACTCCTAAATGAGATAGGACTGCAGCAAATGTCCACCTCACTTAGCTGACTTTTAAGTATGCAGGTGAGGTTTGTGCTCCTTCTGGTGTTACAGTTCTGACTTTACTTCTCCTTTCCTTAAAGAGATAAGGTTTGCACTGCGGTGGCCATGCCCTCCCCCAGGTCTCTGCGTTCTGAGAAAAGTAATGACTCTCTACTAAGCACCCAGGAGAGTGGGTTCCTGCCCTTAGGGAGCTGGAACACGTACTCAGTGCCCCATCCTCTGAATGCTCTCAGAGTCGAGCCCTACCATCCAGCTCCAAAGTCCAGTGGCGATGCCTCCACCCTAACTCTAGCTCTGGGCTCACAGCCACCCTGGGCTCAGTTCATCATCCCAGGCCTCCGTGTGGCATGTTTGCCCTTCCAGCGGGCCACAGGCCTGTTTTATTCTCCCAGGGATTTTGGTAGCTGCCTTAAGACCAAATTAAATATTTGGACCCAATCTCGTCCAGTCCCCTAATCCCAATGCTATGAGAATCAGCAGAAGACTGCCAGGGTCTAGCCAGCTGCCCACCATCACTAATTCTCCACGTTAAATCCATCTCTTGTTTCCTTCCAATCATCCCTAGATTGAAGAGTCAAATGGTTCCAAATTCTGAATTATGGTGAATTCAGAATTCTGAATTATAGGAAGACAGAAAGCTGAAGTTAATTTATTTGAAGAATTAGCTAGGAGAAGAATCCAACACCAAAGTCTGAGTCCAGAGCTCAGCTGGCTTTTTCTACTAGGCTTTCTCTGCTGGCCCCTAGAGCTTCTCAGATCAAATGATCTGCCACTGGCTGACCACCTGTGAAGTTACATTCAGAACTGCACCTGCCTGCTGCCATGAAAGGAATCCACGGGTCTGACCTCATGGTTGAACAGCTTTGTTTTCTATTCTTGGAAAGAACCATTTTGGGAATAATTTCATTGGCTAAAGCACAGCTTTTAACCTACGAATGAGAAAGTGGATTGACAGCAATGACACCTTCCTTAAATAGAAATTTAGTAGCTTGAGACGCACCCTTCTTTAAAAGAGCGACACATCCCATATGAATGCATGTGTGCACATGAGTGCACACACACATACACACACAAACACACACACACTGGTCCTTCTAGTTCACGAAGGCCAAGATGCAAGCTTGAGATTATAGATCTATTTGCTCAGGTTGGTGTGGCTGCCAATGCTTCCCTTGTTCTTTATGTACCTTGTTCTTCCGAAGTTGTATGCAAAATTACAATAATATTATATCACAGGGATGAATGTTCATGGAACTTTGTTCATTTGATGCAAATATAAGGCTGAATTCAAAGATAATTCTTCCCATAAAGATTTTTGTGGGGCAGTGGGTTAAGCTAGCATCCTATAAGAGTGCCAGTTCAGTACTGGCTGCTCTACTTCTGATTCAGCTCCCTGCTAATGTGCCTGGGAAGGCAGCAGAAGGTGGCACAAGTCCCTGGGACCCTGCACCCATGTGGGAGATCCAGATGGAATTCCAGGCTCCTGGCTTAGACTTGCTCCATATCTGACTGTTGCAGCCACTGGGGAGTGGATTAGTGGACAAAAGATTCTCTCCCCATCCCCTCTTTTTCTCCTTCTCTCTCTGTTGCTTTGTCTTTCAAATAAATCAATCAATCCCTTTTTTCAAAAAGAATTAATGTGGTCCTTCACTTTTTTATAAAGTAATGAATTACAGATCCATTTATTTTTGTAAATTGATAAATAAATTATAGATTTATTTATCTTAATATGTGGAATATTTTCATTTTTTCTTTTCTTCTTGATTTTGTTTCTACCTACATTATTCCAAGCTGTGATAAGCTATTATAATTTGGCCTTGTGTTTTCCCATGTTACAGCCATTCAGAATCCTTGATGGGGGAGGATGCATCACATAGTCCTTAAAGGAATGGCCTTTGGAGATTGACATGCCTGGATTTGAATCCTAATTCCTCCACTTTCTAGGTATATGAACCTGTGTAAATAAATCTCTCTACTGAGTTTCTTCATCTGAAAATGGGAATAACAACATCTCATAGGCAAGAGACATAAGGTAGCCATGTTATAAGTAAATAATGTATATAGTAAGACATCAGTTAATTGTAGATTTTTAAAAATTATCTCATTTAATTGTCAGTTACACCTGATCAGCACTTAGGTAATGGTGGGCTATTTCCTTTATGTAAGCAAACTCTGATTTCTAACAGCAAATGTGCCGCATGTGCTCACCTGCAGTGAATGATCATGGGGCCTTTGCTCTTGGTGGCTTGCTGTCGGACCATGTGTACAAACTGCAGGATACTTTCAGCGGCATTGGCCGTGGGTACACCGTGATCAGGCCATGCAGTGTAATTAAAATGCATCACATCCTGCATCTCATCAGCCTTTAGGGAAAGAAACAAAATCCAGCATTAATCTCTGGGTGCACTGTCAGGGCTGCCCAGCCAGCCCTCCAATGACGATCCCGTTGACGGTGCAAGAAGATCGAACATCACTGCACTCCTGGCCAGTACACTTCCCTTCCGAGTTCTGAGTATTGTGTCTGGCACAAAGTAGGCCCTGAAAAAAGAAAGACTACTTGTAAAAAGCTTTGAATAGTAGGACAGTTAGGCTAATCTGTCTGCATATAAAGGGCAACAGCTTATGCAGATAAGGTTTGCATCCTGGCTCTGTCACTTGGAAGCTTCATCAACCAATGGATTAAACCCCGTGGAAGCTGCTGTGGATGCCCTCCGCAGATCTCCTTTTCCAGCTGCCGTGAACAGCCCTCCTGATAGCCGCTCTCTGCTGCGGGGAGCTAGCTGCCTTGCTGGAAAATGTCTGAGGGCAGCCCGCAGTTACCGATATTCTGATACCAAGGAACAAGAATCCAGCCCCATGCCAGAATGGGACAGAACAGGACCACACTGTGGTGCCATTCACACCCCACCACTCTGAGATCCAGCAGAGAAGCGAGACTCCAACTGGACCCACTGTTATGTAGCTTCTTCCCTGTTTCTGCTTCCCTTGCTCTGTTATAGATTTTTACCTAAGAATATACTTTTAAATAATCAAATACATTACCATCTCTACCTTGGGTTTTTTTTTTTTTACTAGAGAGCCTAACCCAAGACAAACTCACTGAGCTTCAGTCTTCACTTACCCAGAAAAGCTGGACTTCTACCTATACCAGGGGTTGTGTTTTTGTTTTTTTTTTTTTTTTTTTTTAACAGGCAGAGTGGACAGTAAGAGAGAGAGAGACAGAGAGAAAGGTCTTCCTTTGCCGTTGGTTCACCCTCCAATGGCCGCCGCGGTCAGTGCGCTGAGGCTGGTGCACCGCGCTGATCCGATGGCAGGAGCCAGGTACTTATCCTGGTCTCCCATGGGGTGCAGGGCCCAAGGACTTGGGCCATCCTCCACTGTACTCCCTGGCCACAGCAGAGAGCTGGCCTGGAAGAAGGGAAACCGGGACAGAATCCGGCGCCCCGACCGGGACTAGAACCCGGTGTGCTGGTGCCGCAAGGCGGAGGATTAGCCTAGTGAGCCGCGGCGCCGGCCTCTGGTGTGTTTTGTATATTAATCCCATTCATGGTAACCTGTGCATCAAATATATTGCTGTGTTCTCTGAGCAGATACCAGTCAGGAGCTGGGTCCTTTGGGGTTAACTTGTTTTACTCCCTACTAATTTGTAAGAAGGATTTCTTCTCTTCTGTTATCAACTATCAGCAATATTCCAAACCCAGACATCACAAAGATTTGGTTCACCTCCTATTCTTCAAACTTGCTAAGAGTTTAGAATGCACTTGGAGAATAGAACACTCTACCATAATCTGGGAGCGTTTGACGCTGATTTGAGTTTGGTGCTGAAGTTTAAGTTCGAATATTAAAGACAAATGAATTTCAGAGTCAGTGGTCTTGGACAGAGTAAAACTTGTATCCAAATAAACAAATGTATAAATATAATGCATAAATAAATATATAATGAAAGTTGTATAAATGCAAATAAGTTGTCACTTTAACTATACCCATTGTCCCCTTGGCAACCAGGGTCATACACCCCTAAGGAGCATGCAGTGCCTCCCTAGCTATGATAGAGGCTCTGTCTTAACGGCATACAGAGTGAATTGTGCCAAATAACTTACTTTTTCAATACCCTGAAGGACTTAAGGGTACTCAGATATCAGATACGTTTAATTGTCCAGAAATGTTTCCAAAAATGCTCTGTTTAAATGCTGACCATAATTAGCATAAGATGTGTGCATGGTAGCCAATACATGGATACTTCAAAAGGTTTATGGAAAATGGAATTACAACAGTAGTTTAGTGCAAGATTTTTTTGAAAGCCATGCAGTTTTTTTTCCAAAATATGCACTTTCCATAACCTTTTAACATTACTTATTATTTGAAAGGCAAAATGACGGGGGTGGGGGAGAGAGAGGGGAAAAGAAAGCGAGAGAGAGAGACAGAGACAGAGATCTTCAATCCACTGGTCACGTTCCAAATGCCTGCAACAGCTGGGGCTGTACCATGTTGAAGCTGGTAGCCAGTGACTCCATCTAGGTTTCCCAATCATGTGGCAGGAACCCAAGTACATGGGCAATCTTCTGATGTCTCCAAGGCACATTAGCAGGAAACTGGATCTGAAGTGGAGATGGGACTTGATCCCAGGCACTTCAACGTGGGACATGAGTCTTCAAGTGGTGGCCTAAACTGCTGCACCACAATGCGTGCTCTCCCATTACATTTGTGAAGATCCTTCACACACAAAGATTTCAAAAAATTTACAGCAAAATAAGCTTATAATTCCATTTCCTATAAACTTTTGAATTATCTATCTGTACATCTATCTCTATCTCTATCTCTTTTGCAGTACAGTTAATCTGAAAATGTGTTCAGCTATAAAGTACAAGGAGTTTAAAATCAGAAATTGTGGCATAATGGGTTAAGCTGTTGCTTGCAATGTCAGCATAGCATATGGGTGCCAGTTCAAGTCTCAGCTGCTCCACTTCCAATCCAGCTCTCTGCTAACAGGCCTGGGAAAGGATGGCCCCAGCCCTTGGGCCCCTGAATCCACATGAGAGACCCAAATGACACTCCTGGCTCCTGACTTCAGTCTGGTCCAGCCCTGGCTGTTGCAGCCTTTTGGGGGAATGAACCAGTGGATGAAAGATATTTCTCTTTCTCTTTCCTTCTCTCTCTCTCTCTGGAATTCTTTCAAATAAATAAAATAAAACTTTCTTTTAAAAAAATCTGGAAGCCATTAGATTGCTATTAATCTCTCCACAGCTACAAAGTGGGGGTCCTACAATTGGAGTCAGATGTATCAACTGCATTGTAAGGCATTAACAGCCTTGGAAATAAACAAGCTTTTGCCAGGTGTAGTCTCCAGCTCTTATCAGCTCATGCCAAGTGCCAAATACTGGAAAGCAGCAAGTTCTGTGGTAAGGTAATGTACTTCTGTGTTGTTAAATAAGAAAACCCTTCTGTTTTCTTCTTTTCCCCGGATACATCAGACCAATGATCCATCTCTTCAGAGTTGGATCCGATGACCCACACCACCATCATTGTATAACCCTTCTGTTTTTATTTTACTTAATCATTCCCAAGTTTCTTACCCTAATTTCCTCATTTATGTAATTTTATCTTTTGATACTTGAACATTTCTCCATATGAATATAAACAAAGAAGGATGCAAACAAAAAATGAAATAGAAAAATATATCCATTACACCATACAATAGTTTTTAGGCAACTTAGCCTGAAGAATAGTTTACAATTTAGATTCTGGATGCTTATGGCCAAAAGGGGGCACTCTGGTACCAGATGCTTGTAACCTCTGCATCAATGCCTTACAAGCAAACACTGATGTTCAGTGCTCTGTTCCTATTTTTTAATCCCTTCACAAGTTTTTCCCTCCGGACAGGTCATCATTTAAGACAAAGGACAAGAAGCATAGTACTGACCGTGCAGTGATCTATGAGACTCTTCCTTGTCGAGGGAACAGACATGGGAACAGACTCTCATTTATGCTTTGCAATTTTTTTCTCTTAGATGCAAACCTAGGGAAAGACTTGCTGCTTCCTTCCCTAGTAGTTGGCACTGGGTTTCTAGATGAAATGGCTAAGAAAGATTTCCCTGATTATTTAATTTTATTTGAAAGAGAAAGATTGAGAGTAAAAGGAGGAGAGAGAACTCCTATCCAGTGCTTTAACCCCTCAAATGCCTAAAATGGCTGGAGACAGGCTAGGGTGAAGCTGGGAGCCAGGCTTGCAAGCTGGGTCTCTCACATGGGTGGCAGAACCCCATTATTGGAGCAGCCATCTTCGCTGCCTCTCATGGTTTTCAATGGCAGGAAGTTGAAGTCAGGAGCTGGATTTGGAAATTGAACCACAGTACGCTGATATGGGCTGCAGGCATTTTCAGGGCTTGGCCAAATGCCCATTCCAGAAAGCTTAGTTTAAATGACCTTAACAATGTGAAATATTTCCTCCAATGGGAAGTCTGCTGATGCTTTACCAATGCTTCATTCTTTTGAAATAACTCATCCTCCGATTTACCCATTCCATGAAGATAGAGTACTTGCTCCTGAGACTCCCAGGATACTGAGGGAAGCAGACAGGAGGACGGACTTGTTAGCATCTGCAGTGCGCTGTGAAGAAGCAGTGCAGGTGGAAAGAAGGGGCTGACGCCTCTGAGACAGCAAGGCTGTGAGAGGAAGTGACCTTTCAGCTAAAACCACGTGAGTAGAAATGTGCTAGAAGAACAAAGAGCAGTTGGGCATTTCAAAGGAGTGGAACAGCGTGAAGCATGATCTGTTCAGGTCTGCAGAGAGTTGCCTACATTTTCATCCCAGTTTAAAGCCACCTTTAATTACCAGTGGTTAAAAAGATTTATCATGCTTGAGCCGGCGCCGTGGCTCAATAGGCTAATCCTCCACCTTGCGGCGCTGGCACACCGGGTTCTAGTCCCGGTCGGGGCGCCGGATTCTGTCCCGGTTGCCCCTCTTCCAGGCCAGCTCTCTGCTATGGCCAGGGAGTGCAGTGGAGGATGGCCCAGGTGCTTGGGCCCTGCACCCCATGGGAGACCAGGAAAAAGCACCTGGATCCTGGCTCCTGCCATCGGATCAGCGCGGTGCGCCGGCTGCAGCCGCGGCCATTGGAGGGTGAACCAACGGCAAGGGAAGACCTTTCTCTCTCTGTCTCTCTCTCTCACTGTCCACTCTGCCTATCAAAAATAAAAAAAAAAAAAGATTTATCATGCTGTACTCCATATATATATTCATTATTAAATATTAAGCAAATTTAAAAAATGCTACAGAAATGCTAATTACTAAGCTGATTTGATCACCCAGAGAACATATGTAGTGAATTGTTTCACTGTACCCCATACAGTGAACTATAAATCAAAGAATAAAAAGAGGTCACTTGTCTCTTACAAATATTAATAAACAGATGGTTATTGAGTGCTTATGTTGTCATTGATATGGACAATGTATGTTTCCATTATTTATATTAAGTGTTAGCCACCTTTCCTGGAAAGAGCCAGATAGTAAATATTTTGGGTTCTGCAGGTTATAGAGTTTCAGTTGCAACTACTGAAGCTTAATACTACACAAAAGTAGTCACAGACAACACGCACGCATATGTGACCTGCAGTCCAACTATTTGTTGACACTGAAGTTAGAATTTCAGAAAATTTGCATATACTATTTTAAATGAAATAGTCTTTGATTTTTTTCAACCACTAAAAATGTAAAATTAATTCTTAGCTCATGCACTAAATAACAGGCAGAGGGTCAATGTGGTCCATAGGTCACTCTTAGCCATCTCCTGGGATACACATCTGGATGAATTGTTTCTAGAATGGAAGAATATTCCAGTGAGGCTACTCTATTTAATTTTGTCTTTAGTAGACAGCATTTTCAAGCATAGAATGCTAGTAAAACTCTCTCCTATATTCTATGGACTATTTACAGGCAGGAAGCAACACGGGACTTTGGTCAATATTAGCACCTAAGCCTGGCACAGAAAGGTTGCACATGTGCTCAACAACTTGTCATGTGAGAGAGAGCAGGCCTTGCTAGATAAATAGACTCGCTGACATTCCAACAAACGGAAATAAAAAGGACTTGAAGAAATACATGGAACCATGATGAATTAGGGCCAGAAGTATCTTCCAAATAATGAGAACAAAATAAGGAAAAACAAACCAAATAAACAAGCCCCAAATGACTAACACATAGTTTAAATGTTTAATTTAAAATGTCGGTGTGCCTTGTATATCTTAATTATACTCATATATGGTTAATATAAATAATGAGAAGACTTCCTGCCTCAGTCTTCCCTGATAAAGCAGTGATTAATGTTGTCTTCTATTGGCCTAGGCTAATTTGAGATAGAACAGCACAGATTTTTTTTTTCTTTTTTTCTTTGACAGGTAGAGTTATAGACAGTGAGAGAGAGAGAGACAGAGAAAAAGGTCTTCCTTCCGTTGGTTCACCCCCCAAAATGGCCACTATGGCCGGAGCTACGCTGATCTGAAGCCAGGAGCCAGGTGCTTCTTCTAGGTCTCCCTCATGGGTTCAGGGGCCCAAGCACCTGGGCCATCCTCCATTGCCACAGCAGAGAGCTGGAGGGGAAGAGGAGCAACCGGGACTAGAACTGGTGCCCATATGGGATGCCAGTGCCACAGGCAGAGGATTAACCAAGTGAGCCACAGCGTTGGCCTCAGCACAGATTTTTTCAAAAAAATTTTATCTTTACAGCCTCCCAGGCCAGCCACTTCATCCATACCTCCCTCCATGAAATGGGACCAAAACTACAGTAAAATGTAAATATACTCAAAGAGATTTTTCTCTTGAAGGAGGAAGTGCTCCGATGTTGGAAGAGCTCCTGGTTTCAAGTGGTGGAGGGTTGGTCTCTTGACACTTACAGGCACAGGGAGATGAGGAGGTGGGATGGGGATGGGGTGGAGGTGTCAGTCTTGTGACTCACGTAGTTGATCCGGAAGTGTCTATGGGCCCAGTCATCCTGTTCTTCCTCCGAGATCATCTCCACGGTGATGTCCCCGTAGGCGATGGGTTCTTCCGTGAATGGCCAATAATGGTCGCATTTCACCTGGAGTGAAGACAGCACAATTCTTCACAGCAGGCCAGTGGACAAATGTGGGCTGTGCTTGCTTAGGGAAAACTGAGGGACTGCCTTACGAGAACTGCATAGGAAGAAAAATACAAGTATAGGAGTTTCTGCTACACAGTGAGCAACTCATCAGTGACAGGGGCTGGGACGAGTTTGGGGCCTGAGTGGGAACAGCCCTATCAGGTACGCACCCTCCTTTTCTCATTGCATTGAGTGAGCATGACAATCATCTGCGACTTCTGTTGTAGGACCATCTTCCAGAAGTCATTTCTGGTTTCAGGCAGCGGCCCCTGGGTGGCAATGTACTCCTGGGGTGAGTTGTACCCCTGAAAGATAAATGATGTCATTTACCCAGCCACTATCAACAGCAAATGTTGTTCCATATCAACAAGGGAGTAGGGGGCGGGATGGGGGAAAGAGGAAGGTCAGAATTTACTAGTGATAAAACTGGCAAGGATCACACAGCTATGTAGTGTTTTTATCTTTTCAAAGAAGCAAAAAGAGTAACTGACTCCATACATCTGTGATTTGAAGCATTGCCTATAAAATCACATCCATACCCCTTTATGACAACCATCACTACTTCACAGATACTTTAAAAGTGCAGGTGTGTAGGTAGAGCAGTTTGGTTGCTGAGATTGACTTTTTTTTTTTTTTTTTTTGACAGGTAGAGTAGACAGTGAGAGAGAGAGACAGAGAGAAAGGTCTTCCTTTGCCGTTGGTTCACCCTCCAATGGCCGCCACGGCCGGCACACCGCGCTGATCCGATGGCAGGAGCCAGGTGCTTATCCTGGTCTCCCATGGGGTGCAGGGCCCAACCACTTGGGCCATCCTCCACTGCACTCCCTGGCCACAGCAGAGGGCTGGCCTGGAAGAGGGGCAACCGGGACAGAATCCGGCGCCCCGACCGGGACTAGAACCCCGTGTGCCGGCGCTGCAAGGCGGAGGATTAGCCTAGTGAGCCGCGGCGCTGGCCGAGATTGACATTTAAATACCATACTAGTATGATCTTTAACACAATTGTCTACTGTTGCTTTCTCTAGTCTTTTACAAAGCAATACCATCATTACTAATCTATAGGCTTTTTTTTTTTTTTAACACCATTCTTCTTCCTGGAATGAAATAATGGAAACTATTGTTTGCTGGGAGAATGACTCTCTTTTTAACTGGCTCATCCATATGGTCCTAATAGTCTTTCCCTGGATGGGTTAGCATTTGGATATCTGACATTTTATTTTACTTACAGGAATATAGTTGGCATTAATATAGTCCGCACCTTCCTCTTCATTCATGGAGAGTAATCTCACTCGGCTAAAGTCATCTATAAAGAAGAAAGAGAAGAGAATTTTTAAAAACCAGGTCAGTGGGAAGATTATCTCTACCCTCTCTCTCCAATATTAAGGCACTCAGTCACATAAGAGATAGCTAGTTGCTTACTGAAATAAATACATAAATATCTCCCAAATATTATTTTCTACCACCAGTTTTCTTTTACTGAACTTGTTAAAAATATTTACAACAACTAAAATATCTGGGAGATTGTATGGAAAGCTACAATATATAACTTAAATACATGGATTCCATTTCATATAATTAAATCTTCTCTGAAAGCATAGAATCTAACAATATCAAAGCTGAAATAAGATTAATGCATCCCCAGAGATGACCTTAAGAACCACACCACAGCTGGCTCTAGTCAGAGATTAGCGGCATTGATAAATCTGCAGTCACATTTTTCCATCCCCTAAAAGACGTGAGTAGGATTGCCACTATCGGCCATCTTACATGGCAAGATGTTTGTGTAACGGTTTTTACATCGGTTCAGTGGAAGATCGGCAGCAAAATGTGGAATATCCAGTCCGATCAATTTCAACTCCTGTAAATGATACAGAATGGATTTGAGATTTCCATAAACGTTGTAGGCTGGCTTATTGATCATATTGGCTGATTGTTCACATTGGATTCTACTCCATTCCCTGCAGGTAGTAGAACTGTCACATATTCCTTGCAATATGATGTTGCAATAGCTCCCTCTTGGGGCAGATTTTACTTTACCCCAACTGTTAACTTGCTTGAATCACAGAACTCATATCTCATCAGAAGCTTTAAATACACTGGCTTGGTTGGGCTTGCCCTCTTGTACTTTTGCCATTTGCCATGACAAGAATATGCTCAGGGGAGTTGCTGGTCTCAGCATGAAGAGACATATGGAAACCTGATTCTCATCCACAGCCAGAGGCAGGAGCACCTCGCTTGTCCCACAGACCCACAGGCAGGATAAACAGAGGTGGTTGTAAGCCACCAAGATTTCGGTGTTGTTTCCTTTAGTATTATTGCAAAAATAGCTGTCTAATACAACTCACAAACACCTTGGATAACTTGGTGATTGATCATTTGGAGAAGTAAAAACTATGTGCCTGAGACAGGGTGTGAAAAATATGAAAACAGATATGCTTCTCAGATTTTTTGCAGGAATAGGGTAACTGAAACTTATGAGGCTTGCATAAATATTTTATATTTTATGAGAAAAAATAAGTATTTTTTCTGGAGGCAATGAATCTTAGAAAAAGTAATAGGGCCTCAAATAATTGGGCCTCTTCCATCCATGTAGAAGACTCAGATGGAGGTCCTGGCTGCTGGCTTCAGCCATTTGGAGAGTGAACCAGTGGATGAAAGATCTCTGTCTCTCTCTGTCTAGTGCCCTGCCTTTTGAATTTAAATCTTAAAACAGGATGGCGCTGCGGCTCACTAGGTTAATCCTCCTCCTTGCGGCGCCGGCACACCGGGTTCTAGTCCCGGTCGGGGCGCCGGATTCTGTCCCGGTTGCCCCTCTTCCAGGCCAGCTCTCTGCTGTGGCCAGGGAGTGCAGTGGAGGATGGCCCAAGTGCTTGGGCCCTGCACCCCATTGGAGACCAGGATAAGTACCTGGCTCCTGCCATCGGATCAGCGCGGTGGCCCCGGCGGCAGCGCACCAGCCGCGGCGGCCATTGGAGGGTGAACCAACGGCAAAGGAAGACCTTTCTCTCTGTCTCTCTCTCTCACTGTCCACTCTGCCTGTCAAAAAAAAAAAAAAAATCTTAAAACAATACAAATATCTGCCTGGATGTATCAGTACTCTTACAAATGCCATTATCAGGAAATGCACTGATAGGACAATTTCTATTTAGATAAAGAGCCATCACACTTCAAAAAGTTGATGCTAAGGGAAAAGGAGGTTTCTAAGCTGCTAGCCATGTGTCTGATAGGAAATGAGGGAGCTGTAGTCTGGCCACCTGAATTTCCTGGAGGCATATTCACCTTGTGGGCAATGTGAATGGTGCTCACTGAAGTTGGACAGTGCACAGCCCTGGCAGTAGATCTAATTATGCCCCTATAAGAATTTTAGAGGAACATTAATACACAGCACTTATAATCATCTACAAATGGGATTACCTATAGGATATGCATCTTCTATATAACTAGTAAGTGAGGCAGTAGAGAAACCATCTGCTATCAATTTTGTTTACACTCAAAAGATGTTAAAATTGCCCACAAGTTTTACTCTTTTTAATGCCTCCCAATAATGATTTCAAGAGCTGGAGAATACTTTTCTGGGGAAAGAAATTGAGAATCTTAGAAGGGTATTGTAGAATTTAATGATGTTCTGAGAGATTGAACAGGGATAGCTCCTGCTTCCTCCCTGTATCTTGATTCGTGTTAGAAATCAAGGTCTTGAGTCTTTTTCTACTTTCAAACAGTCCTCGGTAGCAACTTCCCTTGTGCTTAATGGTATAGGGTCACACGCCTGCAGTCAACACGGATAAGCTGACCTAAATCTCCCAGATTTCTCTTCCCGTTTGATTCTCCAGCATTTTTACCTTTTTAAGATCACAAAATCTCAAGTTCTTCGGCTGAAGTTGAAATCAGTCATGAAGACAAACTATGTCAAGTTTGACCCTCAGCTCACAAAATGAGAAGTTTTCCACCTCAGACAAAACCCTCGCTTGCCAAATGCCTTGAAGCACAAACTTGTCACTGCTACTTTCCAGCTGAGTTTTTAAGAGTTCTCAAGAGTTCTTGTCAGAAACAAAAACTTATTTTTAGCAGGCTTGTAGCAGATTAGTGTTGTTTTTAGGTTCGTTCCTATTGGCAGTAACAGGCTTATTCATATGATACTTTCATTGCTTATTCTGAAGGATCATTTATCAAAATATCTCACTTAATTTGCTGTACCCCTTATAATCTGCATGGTCTTTGAAATCAGTTTAATTATCTGTAAGATAAAAGCTAATTTCTCCATACTTCACTTATTTATAATGACTACCAAATACAATAATTAAACTGAACAAACACCAAAACAGGACCATGGATGATTGCGAAGTGCTCCTCCTATGAGTCCTTGTTTGTTTTGCTTTGCCCAGCGCCATGATTTCTCCCTCCTTTGCCAATTGTGCTAACAGACCAACAGCTCTTCCCCTCGGTCCCCTTATTTTGGAGACAGATTGATAAGCCACAGGAAAAGTCCCATGTACAAAAGAAACTGTGCAAACAGATTGAGGCTAAGAACTGGCGCGCATATGGAAGCTGACTAACTGATAGGACTTTAATTGTATGTTGCCTCCCTGCTGTAAATGCCCTGAGTTGATAAGGGAGGTTTAATTGGCTGAACACTGTAAATGTAAATTGCCAAAGTTGAATTAGAGCAAAGCTGGAACTGCATGTATACACCAAATGCTCTGCGGTCTTTGTAATTTAGCCTGTCACTAAGTAGAAAATCAAATACTCTGTTTCCAGCTCAGGAGTTTTTCAGTTACTCTCTTTCCAACATATGGAAACCCAGAAGCTTAAATCTTCCTAGAAGCAAAGTGCGGGGTGAAACCAACATAAATCATTTTTAAATTTCCTTTTGCCAGTTTTATTTCAATGATTTATCATCTGTTGTTTTCAAAGCTACATAGCTATCTGTACTGGGCTGAATGGTGGCCCCTAGTAAGATACGTCCACTTCCTCACCCCCAGAGCCTGTCCATTGTGACCTCATTTAGAAGAAGGGTCTTGGCAGATGTATTTGGATATTCTGAGATTATTCTGAATAAGAGGAGAAGGTCACGTACATATGGAGGCAGAGACTGGAACAATGCAGCTACCAGCCAGGCTACCCTGAGGCTACCAGAGACTAAAAATGGGTGCGGTGGAGCAAGGGTTTGGAAATGCCTGGAGACTGTAATTTGGAAACAAAAGTGAGTCAGGCCAGTGCACTGTGGCTTGGAGTGTTGGTCCAAAATACACAAAGCAAGCCCGTGATTTAAAACAGACTCCCAAGAGAAAAAGTTGTATTTTCCTGTTGGAACATGAATTCAGTGTCAGGACTTGGCATAAGATAAATTACCAATATATAATCAACGATGATCTAAGAGTAAAAATTGGAGAAGACTTCATAATAGATTTTAAAATACTAAAAATGTCTTCAAATGATGCTGTGATTAATTTTATATGTCTATGTGACTAGGCTACAGTGCCCATTTGCTTGGCCATACACTAGTCTAATGTTAAAAATACTGTGGATTTTTAAATAAGTAGACTTTGAGTGACGATCACCTTAATAATGTGGGTGGGTTCATACCATCAGCTGAAGCCCTGAAGGGAAAAAAGACAGGTCCTCCAAGGAGGATGGAAGACTCAACGCTGCAACATAAACTTTCCGTGGGTCTCCAGCTCACAGATTTTGGACCAGCTAGCTTCCACCCTTCCATGAACCAGTTCCTTAAAATAAATCTATTCACACTTGTGTCCTGTTGGTTCTTATATATATCTTGTTGGTTTCTTTGGTGAACCCTAATACTCATAGATTATAAAGCTTGGTTGTATCCTCATCCCATACTTAGTCCAACACTTCTCAATGGACCATTACTGGCCTGTGGCAAATCCTTGTTGTGTGGACTGCCCTACTTATGGAAAATATTGATCTGTTCTGTCTCTTACCCATTAAACACGACTAGAACCCTCCTCCCAAGTTGTTAGAACAACCAAAACCAACTGAAGCACTCTCACACACTCCTGAACTCCTAAACTCCCCCTAGGGGACTGACTGACATTGGCACAGGCAAGAACCAATGATTTAGTTCAACCTACTGTTTTATAGATGAAGAATGTGATTTCTTTTTAAATACAAACTACAAGCAAAATGATGTTGAGGACCCAGGACTTTAAATTTCCGGTTTAGTACCTTTCTGCATTATAAATCCATAAAATAAACATAACAGTTTCCAAAGATGGAAACATTAATAATCCCGATTTTATTTGATCAGTACACTTTGCATATATTTATTGAAATATCACACTGTACCCCACAAATATGTGCAGTTATTAAGTGTTCATAAAAAATAAAAAAACATTTAAAGAGATGGAAATGCTCATTAACCTGATTTGTCCATTTGACATTGCATACATATATCAGTTTATCACACTGTACTCCATAAATATTTACAATTAAAATAATAGTATTAATTTTTCAAAGTAACATTAGAAAAAGAGTGCAATGGAAAAAATAAACTTTAATGTGTTCACTTACAGATTGAATGTATAAAAACCTTCATTATATTGTAAATCGAACATTTAGTAGCATATAAAACTTACAATCCTGCTTTCAAGTTTTTGTAGGATTTAAAGCTAATATGCTGGAGCAGGCATTTGGCTTAGTAGCTTTGGTCAACCCTTGAAATGCATACATCTTATATTAGATAGCCTGGTTCAGATCCTAGCTACTCTGCCCCCAAATCCAACTTCCTGATAATATGCATTCTGGGAAGCTGCAGGTGACAACTCAAGTGCTTGGGTTCCTGCAATCCATGTGGGAAACCTGGTTGGATTTCCAGGTTTCTGGTTTTAGCCTTTTGGGCAGTAAACAGCAGATGGAAGATCTCTGTCTGTCTCTCCCTCTCTGTCACTCTGCTATTCAAATACACAAATATGAAGCTGATATGTTAATAATTTACTGTTTGCTTCTCCCAGGATGCTGTATTTGTTGAAAATGCACTTCCTTGGTTTAGATAGTTTAGTCACTTTAGCCCCTGAAGTAGGAGCTTACATGATTCTGTCCTAGGTGCAACTGATTTGAAATAGGCACCATGACCCAAATTGACCAATCAAAAATCTTCCCCTGATATTTTTCATACTGCAAATGAGAAAGGGAATCAACAGCTCCTGAGGCAAACCGCATAAATAAGAGCACTTGGCACCCAGAGGGTGATTGATGGCTGTGTTTTCCATGATAAAAAAAAAAAAAGAGGTTGGCTTGTGGTTAAAGAAAGTGACACCAAGACAGAGAGAACCAGAGTGGGAACGAAAAGAGGGGCCCCTAGGGGCTCTATCCTGATTTCCATCATTTCTGAGATGGAGCCCTTCCTTCCTCTTTTTTTTTTTTTAAGGTTTATTTATTTATTTGAAAGTCAGAGTTACAAAGAGAGAGAAGGAGAGGCAGAGAGAGACAGAGAGAGAGAGAGAACTCTTCCATCTGCTGGTTCACTCCCCAATTGGCCACAACAGCCGGAGCTGTGCTGATCCGAAACCAGGAGCCAAAAGCTTCTTCTGGGTTTCCCATGTGGGTGCAGGGGCCAAGGACCTGGGCCATCTTCTACCACTTTCCCAGGCCAGAGCAGAGAGCTCGATCGGAAGTGGAGCAGCCGAGACTCAAACCTGCGCCCATATGGGATGCTGGCACTGCAGGTGGCGGTTTTACCAGCTACGTTACCTCCTTCCTCTTGGTGCAGCTCCTTAATTCTCCCTTCCATTATATGCATGACATTCCTTAGTGCCCTTTGAATAAATCCCAATTTCCTTTGGTCTAAACTAGTTTGAATTATGTTTCTGTCACTCATAATTAAAATAATCTTTTGGGGGTGGGCCTTTGATGTAGCAGTTAAGACCCTGCTTGGGATGCTTACGTCCCATACTGGAGTGCCTAGCTGGAGTTCTGGCTCCATTTCTGATTCTAACTTCCTACTAATGCGCACACTGGGAAGCAGTTGATGGTTCTAATACTTGGGTTCCTGTCACCCATGAGGGAGATCCAAGTTAAGTTACTGGCTCCTAGCTTCACCAGCTGTGGTCATTCGAAGCATGAATCAGTGGGTGGGAGATCTCTGTCTCTCTGCTTTTCAAATAAATAAATACAAATAAAAAGAACATTCTTTCCACCAGAAAATGACATACCAGATTTACATTTTATAATTATTCCATTTTCAGACACTCAGAAATAGTTAACTTTGGGTCTGATGGTATCAGCTGAGAATGTGCAGCAGAAGTAATGCTCTCAGTTGTGCCACCAAGGGCATATAATCCTGAGAAAGTTAAAAAGTGTGGCTCCAATAAGGTTGGCATAGTGACATCATTATTTTTATCACCATTATCAAAATCAGCTTTTTTTTTGGGAGTTTTGGCTTGTGTTTTCTTATTAAACACTTTCTTTCATTGGTACAATTTTCTGAGATGCCATCCTCACCACACATCTCCAATTCAAATGGAATTTCTGTCTTTGAGATTTAGCATTTGGTGTAGCATCATAGTCTCTTATTCACCTGTATGCAATCGGTAAGAGGCACTTTCTGTGTGGAGTTTCTCCTGACGCAGGTGGTAGCAAGGACACTTGCATTTGTCAGTGTCTAAGATTCTTCTCAACCTCAAATTAATTAGAAAATCTACACCATGGCTAATGGTGCATTTCACAGACTAAAGCTGTGCTTGGCTGAACAGGAAGAAAAAATGGAAGAAGAATCGGGAATAAAACTACTACTTCAACAGGGAAGAACAATTAAGTTTAAAATGTCCTGTGGCATCCACCTCTTAGATGACAGCACCCACATCTGAGCATTGGCTGGAGTTCTGGCTGCTCTACTTCCTGCTAATGCACCTTGGAAAGCAGTGGACAATGGCCCAAATGCCTGGGCCTTTGCCACCCACGTGGAGACACAAGATGGAGGTGCTGGCTCCTGGCTTTGGCCTGGTCTAGCCCCAGCTGTTGCAGCCATTTGGGGGAGTGAACCAGTGGATGGAAGATCTTGTTTCTCTCTCTGTCAGTAAATCTAGCTTTCAAATAAATTAATAAATCTTAAAAAAAAGTCTACAGAATTTAGAAAAATCAGCCAATTTTCCCCTTTACTCTAAATCCCTGTCCCCTGAAGCCCTCTTGTAGAAATCTGAAGGATGTGATGCCCACTCAGACTGTTATGAGCTATGAAATAAGGGGAAGAACAAGTCAAGCCCAGTGATATTCCTTCCACTGCTGATATCCCAGGCTTCCTCATTTCCTTCTACTATGATGCAGGCTTTTAAACTCAAAGAAACATGTATGTACACGTCAGGAAAGAAAGGGGTGTTGACAATATTTTTTTTCTTTACTTTCAGAAGTCCCCTGTAACTCACTCTCTGCGTTTCTCCAAGGAGATAAGAGCTGCACAAAGACATTTTAAGTAGCATAACAGGAATCCTGTAGCTGTTATATGTCCAGAAAACAAAGGGAATTAGTCCCACCCACCATCCTTTTACAGTAAAGCCTGAGAAACACACTCCAAACTCCCAGAAAGTGAAATCCTCTCAGTTTGCTTCTCCCACACTGGAATCTCCCATCTTCTGGTTTTTCAACAACGGCTTCTCTACACCAATGTTTGCTCAACCCAATCATAGCATTGATTCTCTCTTTCCCTTCATATTTTTTTTTAACCATCAAAACCCTGGCTGACTAACCAAGGGCTAATGACTCTTGACCTGAACCAGAAGATTACGCACCCTGAGGCTACCTTCCCACGTATCCTGCTTAGTTGGAAAAGCACATCCCAAGGCCTACCTGGGGAACAGGGGAACGATCCCAAGACAAACCTGACAACCTCATGCCCTGTTTATGACAGAAGGAAGGAAATGCTTTATCCAACTCACCTCAAATTGAAGGGAAAATTTATAGTCAGAGTCTTTGGCCATATCCTTGATGTAAGCATCAAAGTCATCCAGTTGAACTGGGCTTTGACAAACACAAAAAAATACATGTTTTATAAATCTTGTTGATAAATATTACACATCAAAATTTTCAAACATTGGCAGTTTTCCTGGAGTAGGTAACGTTCTACTTCTCAAAGGTTAGCACTCACCACCAGTCCCTAATCCATTGTAATTACAATGAAGGGCTTCCATATCAAACTTCCTAGAACTGGGGGAAATTTCTAGATTTATACTTAGCTCTTATTCTAGCGATAAAATATTACATACATGCATTCTCATATAGATTCATGTATATGTGTTGTTTCTAGAAAACTCTGGCATGTGTATGGGAAAGAAAAAAGATTCCAAAGACCTGAGTTACAGTTTAACTTTATTTACAATATTATCTTGGAGAATCACTTAACTTTCTGAGATTCAATGTTCTCACCTATAAAACATTCTGGCTCTATCTCATAAGGTTTAGTCATGCATCTCACAATACTATCTCACAAAATTGACAATTAATATTTATATATTTAAATGACTTTGCTCATAGAAGGCATTGTGCTGCCAGGGACAATCTTCCCTGAGCCAGTGGGATGACACCCTTGTTCAGAAAGCTCCTGGGTCCAACCTGAGAGTCACATTTAGCGGTCTGTACATCTAGAAAGGCACTGAAATGGCTCGGTGATACTGTTAAGTAAAATACCTGAGTTTATGTTTCTGCACCTGTGGAGGAGGTTTTCATTTTTCTTATTTTGGGTGAATCAGAATTAAGTCTAAAATTTTCTAAAGTTACTTATCTTTCCTAGTGTCTACCTCCACCAACCTGCTTCCTCACCCTGCTCTCTGCTTCTGCAGGATGCCTTTCTACCTTGGAGGAGCCCATGTCATTCAAATTTTTCTGAGTCATGTGGCATGCTACTTAGCTCATGTCATCTATAAGATTGTGACCTTATGTATTGTTAGAAAATACATACCATTTAATAGATACTTGTTTAAGTTGTTGATTAGCTAATTTTATAATTAAGTGATGTTTATATTTTAGTAGACTTTAAGGGACAGTGTTGGAGAGTACTTCAAAAAGTCAATGAAAAAATGAAATTAAAATATAAGTTCATTTTGGTGCATAAAGATAAAAGCTTTCTAATGTGATGGCAGGATGGAAGGTGCAACCTTGAGAATCAGTGGGCACCTATTGATGGGGTCATATAAGCAGAGACTGCACCCATGTCATATGTCTTTATACAATTGGCCATGTACTATTTGAAGTATCCTCATACTTTCTGGAAGGCACAAAGAAACCTCAATGTTTTACTTAATAATAATAACCGTGACTCATGCATGAATTGCACTACAGTTAATAAATATTTCCTTATGTTATCTTTCTTGGTTGAATCTGGAGGTAGTCATGGATAATAGCAGCCAAATGCTCCAGATGAGAAGGCCAAGGCTAAGGAAGTGCGTGAATATTCCAACACCACAGAGCTACAGAGGGGTAGAACACTGACTGGAACCCCAGGAGAGTGAGTCTGAGTTCAAAGCTTCACCCACTTCAAGCTTGCATCCTTCCAAAAGAACAGCTAAGGTGGGTGTCCTGTCCTCCAATGAACTCCATCAGGACTGTCCTCTACGGCTGCTGTCTTTGAGCAGTGCATTGACCTTACTGTTGGATTGAACAATCCTAGTTTTTATCTTGTTACTAGGAAAATGTGAGCTGGTATAAGGAAGACAAACAAAAAAGTTTTTTTTTTTTTATGGATTAGGAAAAGCAGAAGTAGGAAGCATTGGGGAAAGGGAGACAAAGGAAGGACCAGGGATGGAAGAATAAATAGGGAAAGGGAAGAGGATAACAAAGAGGAGAGAAAGAAAGCCAGATTGAAGCAGAGAACAGCGGGACAAGGATTGCTAGGGAAAGGGGAAGAGAGAAGGTGAAGGCATGAGTGATGGCATGAAGGCAACCAGAGAGGAAAGGGGAGCCAAGGGAACACAGCAGTGGGGTGGCAGGGGGTGGATTCGGAGTAAAAGAGAAAGGGCACTGAACATGGGACGTGAAAGGAAACCCCCCAAAGAAATGGCTTCTCAAGAAGGAGGGAGGTTTGAAGGAAGTAAGGAGAGGAAAGGAGGAAGCTGCTTTGATGTGAGGTTCTGCATTGTGGGAAGGTTTGAGTACTCCTAAACTCTGCCGGATCTCTGGTCCAAGTCTTGCATCTCTTCATCTCTGTCTGGGTCTGGAAAGCAACAAACCCTGATAGAGGCTCCCTTTTTGTCCAGAGACATTGTCTTCTAAATACTCAACCTATGCCTCACTAGCTCCCTTAACAAACCTAATCAACACGTTTGGGCAATAGTTTGTTTCTTTTGACCTGAGGTTGCTGCAGCCACAACGCGGAGTACTAACCACTATATGATCACGGTGAGCTACTGGGGACCGGTTAGTCTGTTTTTCAAATCACCTTTCTAGGTGACACAGCCCCTCTTCAGTTTAGGCTGATCTTGTCTCTTCTATATTGGTTGGTGTACGCCAACAGAATGTACACTGACTCAAAATAGGCTTCAGTAAGAGTATTCTATGTCTAAATGTTCATAAAATTATGCACCACTCAATGCTAAATAGAAATACACTTTGCACTGACTTTTTTTTAGATTACATCATAGATTCCTTTATGATTTCTTTTTCACTAGCCTGGCTGCCATAGACCCAGCTGGCTCCATTAATTGCTTCCTTGTGCTAATTCACCAATGTCCTACCCTAGGCAAGTATTAAGAATGATTTCCATTTATAAAAAATGTTCCACTCTTTATGTGTGGAGTTTTAAGTAAGGAAAGGCCTGGAGGTGATAATCTCTAATAGGATTTTGAAATCAACTGATGGTTAATTTTCATCCACCAGAATCATAAATCTTATGACTTTACAGTTCAGTAGATAAGTAAAGCCACAGGCTAGCTAATTATCTTTTCCACTTATTATAAAGGTTTCTGGAGACAACATTATTAAAGTATTTGTTATAACATTAGATAGAGTAAAAGACTTCCTGAAATAAGCACAGAATTTCACAATACAAAATGGAAAAAAATTTTGTATAGTTTTGATATAGCTCAGTATAAGAGTTGAAAATAGTTAGAATACCTGTAAGACTTCCTAACTGTTAACAAGCTATTCTTTTTCAGATTTTGTATGGAGAGGATTGTCCTCATCCCTGATTGGCTTCTGTGACAGCTCTCTCTTTAGTGATCTCTGCCACACCACCATGTACTGCACTTAGCTATCACAATCTAAAGTAGCCTGTTTTTAAGGCATCCCTTGTATTTGAAGTCAAGCAATCTTTTTAATTGGAAAGTGAAGATCATTATGGTAAACATTCTTTTAAATGAAATCATAAGAAAAACTTACTTAGTTAGTTTCCTCTTCTTTAAGCCATTTTTACTCCTGAGAATTAAAAAAAATGACAAATTTATCTGGGCAAAATAATTGATTAATGTAATGATTATACTTGAAGAGTTTTAAATAATTATGTCAGGGACTTCAATTTTATTTAATTTTCATCAAACATATCTCCAGTTTGTTTAATTACTTTTCTTTAGAAGTGAAGATAATGATAATAATTTCAGATTCATTTTAAAAACTACAAATTATAGGAACATAATTGTATTTTGTTATTCATTTTGGGGAAAACTAGGTTCTAGAAATACAATTTTTAGTTAATGGTGATTGAGCTGCTAAAGCATTTTGTAAACATATAGAAGTACCTAATGCCTCAATATTCCAGCTGCACAGTCAAGAAGGAAGAACTGGAAAAGAGAAGTGAGAACTAATGATGAGAGACAACGCTGGTTTGCAGGGACTAAAGTAACCTTTTCTGACATTTTCAGTGGGGATGTGAATTTGTGTTATCAGAGTAGGCATGTATCTTATGAAATTCTACCATGGCATTGTTCTTACTCAAATTTGAACTAGTTCTCATGCTATCTCAAAAACTGGACATGCTTGCTCTTTTGTACAATTTATTTATTTATTTTCAGATGATTTGAAAAGCAGAGAGACACACACAGAGGCAGATATCGTCCATTCTCTAGTTCACTCCACAAACGCCCACAGCAGCCAGGGTGGGAACAGGCCAAAGTCAGGAGCCCAAGACCCAATTATGAATGTTTGGGCAGAAACCTAAGTACTTGAGTCATTGCTTGCTGAAACCTAGGAGGAACATGAGCAGGAAGCTGGATCAGAAGCCGAGGAGCTGAGACTCAAACCAGGAACTCTGATACAAAATTCAGGCACCCCAAGCTGTGTCTTTACTGGGCCCAGTGCCAGCCCCTACCACATCCTCCTCCCCTGCCCCTGCTTATTCTTTTTTTTTTTTTTTTAAGATTTTTATTTATTTATTTGAGAGGTAGAATTACAGACTGTGAGAGGGAGAGACAGAGAGAAAGGTCTTCCCTCCCCAAATGGCTGCTAAGGCCGTAGCTGCGCCGATCTGAAACCAGGAGCCAAGAGCCTCTTCCTGGTGAAGATGCGGGTACAGCATCCTCCACTGCTTTTCTAGGCCATAGCAGAGAGCTGGATTGGAAAAGGAGCAGCCAGGACTCGAACCGGCACCCATATGGGATGCCGGTGCCGCAGGTGGAGGATTAACTTACTGTGCCAGGGTGCTGGCCCTGCCCCTGCTTAGTCTTAATTCATGACTAGTGTGTGTAAGCTCAAACACAGGAAATGCTGATAAATGCTTTGGCATGGAAGAGGATATTTTCATACAAGATAAATTAGTTAATGCTGAGATAGTGTCTGTTGAAATACTTTGTTGTCATGTTTTTATTGTCTTATATAAATGATAGATAAGTGACATGCCAATAAGTTTTTTTTATAAGTATATCTCAAAGGTCTTTAAATATTTTTCATGGAAGCTCCATGTTTTCAGAAAATAAGTAGTCTGTAGTAAAGAACCAGCTGTGATCTGAGTTCTCTCAGGCACCAAACTATATTTTAAATATAAATTATTGATGTAAGGGTGCCTCCACTTCCGGAACACCTTCAGCAGAATGGAGCTCTATTTCATCCATGCTTTCAGAGCCCTTTGCAAACGAAGTGTTTTTCACACTGTGTGATTCTTGGTTGTACATACCCTCCTTCCTAGACAAAGGGTTTCCTCCAGGGTTGAACACAGTTTGTGGAATACACATGGGTGGCCATTAAATTTTTGTCTTATTGATTGGAAACCAAATATTTTTATTATGTTACTTCACAATTTTACTTGCAAGTTCAGTTAAGAAATTGATACTTGACTTGTCAGGTTCCAGTGGGGAAATGGATGTGTGGATGGAGAGGAAGCAATGTAGGCGGAAAGGTAAAGAAACATTTGTAAAGGCACGTGGTGTTTGTGGTTTTCAGGTAGTTCTCATTTATTCCCATGTTCAGTAGTCGCTGTTCTACTTCTTCTCTTCTCCCTCATCCTTTTTATTTTCCACATTTGGGACTTAGAGGTAGGAAACATCCCTGTTTTCACTCTGCCTCTCATTCATCCCCTCAAAAACCCACTGCAACATTGGACACAGCATTTGGTCTAGTGGTTTAAATGTAAAAATGGCCACATCGGGGCCGGTGCAGTGACTCACTTGGTTAATCCTCCACCTGTGGTGCCGGCATCCCATATGGGCACCAGTTCTAGTCCCAGTTGCTCCTCTTCCAGGCCAGCTCTCTGCTGTGGCCCAGGAGGGCAGTGGAGGATGGCCCAAGTGCTTAGGCCCCTGCACTCGCATGGGAGACCAGGGAGAAACACCTGGCTCCTGGCTTCGGATTGGTGCAGCGCCAGCCACAGCGACCATTTGGGGAGTGAACCAACGGAAGGAAGACCTTTCTCTCTGTCTCTGTCTCTCACTGTCTATAACTCTACCTGGCAAATAAAAAAAATGGCCACATCTCACATCAGCATGCCTGAGTTTGATGCCTGGCTCCACTCCTAACTCCAGCTTCCTGCTGATGCAAACCATGGCATACAGTGGTGCTGGCACAAGTCACTGGGTTCCTGCTTCCCATGTGGGAGACCTGAATGGAGCTCAGTTCAGGGCAAGTGGAGTGAACAGCAGATAGGAGCTCTCTCTGTCTCCGTCTCTGTCTCTGTCTCTCTCTCTCTCTCTGTCTCCGTCTCTGTCTCTGTCTCTCTCTCTCTCTCTCACACACACAGTGATTCTAGTGATACCTTATTTAGTCATTTGGAAACCAGAGGAATGTCTATTGAGCCCACTTTTTATTCAGTTTTTCTAATAATAATTTTTTAGAAGATTTTATTTATTTATTTGAGAGGTAGAGTTACAGACAGTGAGAGAGAGAGAGAGAGAGACAGAAAGAAAGGTCTTCCTTCTGTTGGTTCACTCCCCAAATGGCTGCAACGGCTGGAGCTGTGCCAATCTGAAGCCAGGAGCCAGGTGTTTCTCCCTGGTCTCCCATGAGGGTGCAGGGGCTCAGGCATTCAGACCATCTTCTACTGCTTTCCCAGGCCACAGCAGAGAGCTGGATCGGAAGAGGAGCAGCCGGGACTAGAACCGGTGCTCATATGGGATGCCAACACTGCAGGCAGAGGATTAACCTACTATGCACAGTGACGGCCCCTCTAATAATAATTTAACTGACTTTAGAAACCCTTCATTTACTCGGTGTAGTAAGAGTGGATGACTCCAGTGCTTTAGGAAAGTGGAACAGCAGCCTAGATGGCTACCAGCTCTGGTAAAGTCAGGAGGAGGCCAACATATTTTGTAATCCGGAGTGAACAAAAAATACTTTCCTATCTGAGCAGATTGCAAGGGAAACTAGAAAGAGACAAATGCATGTGAGACGATGACACTGAATAAATTCAGTGCTGAAATATGAAGCTGCTACTACTCAGCAGCTGTGTGGAAACCTGATTCATGGAGGAGAGACACACTTTTTTTCTTTCAATCCCATTTATTATTGAGTGAACTTTCAACATCAAATTCTACCACATATTTTGTATGATGTATTGTCATATATTGCATATTTTCATGCTCTGTGTACAACTCTTAGCATTTTTTATTAGGTTTGTATGAATTCTTGATGATTCCAAAGGGTTCCCATATCCTAACACTGCATAACCTGACAGCACTGGGTTATGAGACTTCCCAGTGACACTGAAAGGGTTTCCTACATTTTTCACTGCTATGCTAATTCCAAGACTAAAATCCTGGAGGAAATTCGGCTGGAAACTTGTAAATAAGGGCAGTGCTAGCAATTTTAACTTCAGCACATTTTGGAAAGAGGCAGTGTTGGTAGATATTCCTGTGAAAATTTGGAGCAATGTGCAGGATATCACCTTCCCATTGCAAAAAAATTTTCCAAATAACTGATAGATAACACCTATCCAAATGCAGTACATATGCACACAGCATCATAAACTTCTTTTAATTTTTTTTCTTTCACTAATACTTGTAAGCTATAATACCCTAATGACTTAAAGAAATTAAGGTGCAGTCTCCATAGGTTCTTCATAGCTCTGACAGTCTTGGGAAGTTAGATACACGGGAATTCATCCCAAAGAACATGAGGCAATGGCAGAGACATGGAGACATGGATGTTTCCTGGTTAAACAGAATAGAACTTTAAAAGTCCTCAATTTCATAACTCTTTCATATACTTCATACTCTTTCATGAGTTAAACTGAAGCCATCCCAAATCTTAAAATAAAAAAGGTCTTTAAGGTTTTATTATTCTCCAAATAGTACATGCAATGACCATGAGTGAAAGTGAGAACTTTAAACATTGTCTCAAGCTTTTTTTAAAAAGATTTTTAAAAATTTTATTTGAAAGTCAGAGTTACAGAGTGAAGAGGAAAGAGAAAGAGAGAGAGAGAGAGAGAGAGAGAGAGAGATCTTCCATCCATGAGTTCACTCCCCAAATGGCCAGGGCTGAGCCAAACCGAAGTCAGGAGCCAGGAGTTTCTTCTGGGTCTCTTACATGGGTGCAGGGGCCCAGCACTTAGGCCATCTTCCGCTGCTTTCTCATGCATGTTATCAGGGAGCTAGATTGGAAGTAGGGCAGCCAGATCTCCCGCCAGCACCTTTCTGGGACGCTGGTGTGGCAGGCAGAGGCCTAATCCGCTACACTACAAGATGAGTACTTGCATATGGCATGAGGGTGGCTACAGTGGTTTAAAAAAAAAATAATCTTGAAGCTAGGTATAGCTAGTTCCAATTACATTTCTTTAGATAGGAAATACATACTAAGCTCATTACAGTCAGAAATCCTTGTAGAATTCAAAATTGAGACTAACTTAACTGGGTACTGGCACTGCACACTTTTTTTAGCTACTACTGTGGGAAAGATCTGAGCTACACTATACATCTCTTGGTTGCCACACCAACCACCAAAGGCATCAGAAGGGTTTTTTATTTGTTTTAGCCAACTTCTGCATAATTGAGAGATGAAGAGACAGGGAGAGTGTTCCCATTTGCTGGTTCACTCCCCACATTCTCACCAAGGCTGAGGCCAGGGCCAAGGTTGAAGCTGGGACTGAGAAACAAGGCAGGGCTTCTGTGTGAGCGGCAGGAACCCAATTCCTTGAGCCATCACGGCTGCCCCCAGGTTCTGCACTGGTGGGAAGCTGAAGTGAGGATTCGGAGGTCAGAGTTGAACCTAGACACTCTAAGGTGGGGTAGAGGCTTAACCACGATGCCAAAGGCCTGCTCCCAGGAAAGTTTTAGAAACATATTCTTCCAAGAAACTAAGAGTTCCCAGAGAAAGGTGGACATTGCATCAGGAAGTGTGTGGGGAGGGGAATGCTTTGCTATTTGTGGCTGTTGTTAACCACAGCGCTAAGTGAAATTTGAAGACAAACATATCTGAAGAAGAATTTGAGAGGGCTACTTAACAAATAAGAGTAGGGAAATATCCCCAAGTTATTAGGTGATGCAAACAGTAGGGAATTGGAGTCCGTGTGTGAATACAGAGCAGGGGGGGGGGGGGGACTATGATTTCTACTTTTTTTGCATCCCACTGCAGCACAAGCCTAAGGCTGAGACCACAGTTTACACTCAATATATTTTCATTGGTTGATAAGTGTAAAATTTACTTAAAGGGACAGAAAACTGTTTTACTTTCTCACCTGGGGATATCTATTTACAATCGCAGGACAATTCTCCTAAAAAACTACTGAAGAGAGGCAAGTGTTTAGCTTAGTGGTTAAGATGCCAGGTAGTGGCATAGCGGGCAAGACCGGTTCAAGTCCTGGCTGCTCCACTTCCGGTCCAGCTCTCTGCTATGGCCTGGGACAGCAGTGGAAGATGGCCCAAGTCCTTGGGCCCCTGCACCCACATGGGAGACCCGGAAGAAGATCCTAGCTCCTGGTTTTGGATTGGCGCAGCTCTAGCCATTTTGGCCAATTGAGGAGTGAACCAGCGGATGGAAGACCTCTCTCTCTCTGCTTCTGCCTTTCCTTCTCTCTCTGTGTAACTCCAACTTTCAAATAAATAAACAAATCTTTTTTTTTTTTTTTAAAGATGCCAGGTAGCACATATGTGTCCTATATTGGAGAACCTGCCTCTGGCTTCCTGATAATGCAGACCTTGGGAGACAGAAATGATAACTCAAATAATCAGTTTCCTGTTCCCCCCTTGGGAGACCTGGATTAAGTTCCTGACTTCTGACTGGCCCAGCCCCAGCCTGGCCATTGTGGGCATTCGGTAAGTAGTAGAAAGATGCTCCCTTGCTCTGTGTTTCTTGCTTTCTGTCTCTAAAATAGATGGACAGATAGATAAAACTACTGACGAGTATTCCCCACCTGAACTTGAGTCTCATGCCATTTGATCAACATTATAAATAGCAACCTTGAAAGAGTTGCTTTAATTTGAAGATTATTAAGAAACTACTAAGAAAAATATGCAAATAAGCACATGCCCAACTGATAGAAGCTTTAAAACGAAGTATGGAAAATAAGAAAGTCTGTGAGAGTTAAGTAGAGAAGTGAATATGAATTTTTCCTTTGTCTTAATGTAAATGTGTGGAGGTCACTTTAGGGTATTTGCCTCAAGTATTCTAATCATAGGTAGAGTAGTTGAGGATGATGAGAAGATGCTGAGTAAGGGGATATTTTGAAGGTCAAAATGGAATTTATGTTTTCTTACTAAAAACTATACAATGTTGAGTATTGAAAATATCAAGTGGACTATTATGACACCCTATGGTAAACACAAAAATAATAATAACAAACTCAAACAGGGGCTGGTGCCGTGGCCTAGTAGGTTAAGCCTTTGCCTGTGGTGCCGGCAGCATATGTGGGCACCGGTTTGTGTCTGGCTGCTCCACTTCTGATTTAACTCCCTGCTGATAGCCTGGGAAAGCAGTGCAGGATAGCCCCAGTGCTTGGGCCAATGCATCCATGTGGGAGACCCAGAAGAAGCTCCTGGCTCCTGGCTTCGCATTGGCCCAGCTCTGGCTGTTGAGCCCATTTGGGGAGTGAACCAGCGGATGGAAGACCTCTCTCTCTATCTCTCCCTCTCTCTGTCTGTAACTCTGACTCTCAAATAAATAAATGAATCTTTAAAAAAAAATACAAACTGAGAATAAGGACCCCATTATTTGCTGTACTCTAATTTTATTACTTACATATCATTGTGTACCTTGTTTCAAAAGCATTCCTCTAGTGTCTTATTTTAAAAGTAAAAATTTAGGTCTTAACAATCTCTATCTTGAGAAAGTCCTTTTAAAATATTTCCTCCATTGCAACTTGAAATCCTAAATTCTGCCAGCTGTATTTATTCTGTCCTTGAAGGAGCTGAAGAACATGTGATCAATTGTCTTTCTGAATAAATAACTCTGCAGATTGCTATTCATCATTTTACTCTCATTTTTCCTCAATCCATGAGCTATTTTTATTGCTTTCTTCTGGGTCTTTCTCAAGTTATCCACATTTTTGGGTCCTTCCCCAGACACCATATATTGATACTTAACGACGTTTTTGTCAGTTTCCTGGGAAACTGCCACCTTTCTTCTTACATCTCAGGAAAATATTTCTATCTGGATTCTTTAGCTTCAGAAGTTAAGGTTATTATTATGATTAGTATACATTAGAAAGAAAAAAGATGCTTTCAAGATTTGATCATTAAAATGATTTAGAAATCAAGACAATAAGAAATTTAAGGTAGAGGAAAGAATAGATTTTAGAGACCTGGGTTTGGAATTGGGTTTACTATGTGATAGTATGTGACACTTAATCTTCCTAAGTCTCTATTTCTACATATCTAAAATGGAGCTATTCATACTCTCTGCAATATCATGGGAGAGAATTAAGTAATTATATGAAGAGGTTTGCACATAGCTGGTCTGAGTTACCATCATTATAAAAGCCAGAAGGCATCAAGTAGAGAGCACAGACTCTGGTTTCTCTACTTGAATTTCTGCCTTCTTGGAAACATGGGGCTCTTTACTGGGTGGAGATAAAAAGGAAAAGGAAAGCCTCACTTACAAAGGTGTGAGGCCAATAGATTGACTGAATGAAGAAACGATGACTGGTAATAAGTGGAAGAAAAGTTTGTTAAGAACATCAAAGTAAGAAAATTTAATTGGGAAAACCTAGTTAGCATGTTGATCCCATTAACTTCTTTAATCCATTTCAGTATGTGATTAATACTTTTAGATGCTGCCAAACACATGAAATAGTCAAAAAGAAATTTTCCTTTTTGGTTACTTTTTGAAAGATAACTTGTAAAGAGTTTGTCTTAGGTTAAACAGTAAAATAAATCACTTACCAAGGGTTAATATAAAATGCCAAAAGATAATCAGTCCAAAGACATGAAGGCAGCAGAGTTAAGAAAGCAAAGATGCTTCTACGCCTGTGAGCATTAATAGACAATAGATGTAAAGATGAAAAAGTGGAAAGAGTTAGTAATACAAACCGTGAACTGATATCAGTAAATTACCTCCTATGATCAATTAATATGACAAGCACTTTAATTACAATTAAATATTACTCCATTCTGCAAGATTTAAATATGAGGGCTTAAGAGCTAAAACATTGACATCAGTTTGATTCACACATGATCTCTACTATAATCAGATATATTTCTTTCAACTTGCTTTGTGTCAATTAGTCTGCTATTAGGTGATTGCATTTTGTATTCCGTTAAGTGAGGCTCTTAAGCGCCTCATTAGCTATCTTGCAACTTATTCTTGGATAGTATCCTTCCAGAGCTTAAGTCTATTTTAAGAAATCTCTAAGAAGATCATTTGACAGCTGAACAGGAAGTTAGGTGAGGGAATAGAAATGGCTGGTTTGTGTGCACTGATCCTTTTGAAGAATAAGCTTTAGGAATACATTCTTGTAAAGTTGCTCTTCTAGGTGCAGCTTTCAGTATTATTTTTAGTTTAAATTCCTATGTAATTTCTAAAAATATCCCTTAAAACAGAAATATGGTATGATACCCAGGTATCATTCATTGAAAGGAAGTGGTTCATCAACTGCCTATTCTGTAATCTCACTGATTCTCAGCTGAGTGGGAGACAATTTATCTAGTTTAGCTGTAATTCTAATTCAGTCTGTTGATTTAAAATGCCTGGTTTGGATCCAGTTTCAGACATTCAGCCCACTTACAAAATAAAACTTCCATTAATGTAGAGTTAAAATATGTCTGTGTCTGTATCTATAATAATTCTGAGAATTAGAGAAAAAGTTCTGTCACCTTGCCACTTTAGTTATTACAAACTCCCACTGAGATATCTATTCACAGCCAGAAAATGCTATTACAGCAAAATTGTCTTTGCCAAGAGCTGCAGGAGACTTTGCTGGATTTTACAGAAAGGCCGTAAAGTGCATTCTCTTTTGCCCCAGTTCCTCCATAACTGAATTCCCATAAACTCTCCAAACTGGCTGACTATGAAGTTAGTTAATACATAGCTGCCCTGAGTCATAAGGACCATGGGTCAGTTCCTTGATAGGCCAACCACCACTGCTCTTCGATTATGCCTTTGTTAAGGGTGGGCCTAAATATTGGAAAGGCTGCTAATAGAGCTGAACAAACCTAGTTACATTTCCTCATTTTTCATTAAGAATGGATGGGTTTCTCTTTCTTCACAGTTGGGTTGATTTTAATAGCAAAGTTCCATTCATGATAAAATTTAGAAATGGTACAGCACACTGTCTTATTCAAAAGAATCCTGTTCCAACTAGATTTTCATGTAGCAGAGGCATCATTTACGCTCAGAGAAGTAGAATTGATATTTTAAACAAAGCCCTCCTTCCCTCTTTGATTCTGTAGAGTTAACTTTTCAGTCTCACAAGTCTATTTCTTTGATGTTAACCATTTTTAAGGTTAGAAAACAAAAAATCTATATTCAAATACTCTTTTCATGATTACTTGCAAAAGAAACAAACTAGATTAAGTTGTGCTGACTTCATGATGAATGTTTACTCAATTGGTAATTTTGCTGGATATTGATTAAACTGAATAGGAGTGTTCATTCACCTGTGTCAATATTAGGTATAATGTCAACCAACTTAATCTCTTGACAAAATGTCAACCAATTTAATCTCTTGACAATACTCTTTTAATTGCCAAAACATCTCCTCCCAGTAGGTCCTTAACAAGCAAGTTCAGACAAGTGAAGCCATGTTTTCTAATGGAATTTGCCCAGCTTTGACATTCCTATACCTGTAAGTAGAATTGAATGCCCTGCATTGTACACTTGCACTTCATTTTTTAAGACAGTAGTGGCCTCCGTCCTCAGGTACTGCTATGTGAGTTTCAAGTGCAGATACTTCTCATCTTACCCTACTTCCAGGGAGTTTTTCCTCCTGCGCCTTCACCTATCACCTGTTCAGTGTGTCTCCTGCACTTATGCCCTTCTTCAGTATGTTTTGGGTCCCTTGGAATACTTTGTTTAATAATGAAAATTTGGAGCAGACACTGACAGTTTCTCTATGTATTAAGTGTATATAAGCCATCATATCCTGTAAAGATCTAGCCATTGAAAGTTCACTGTCACTGAAATTATGGAAGGAAAACCAGACAAAACCATTTATTCTCACAAGACAGTAAAATCCAGTCTGAAGCACTCACATCATAGCTGAGCTCTCTACAGACTTGTAACTTGGTAATATATAAACTCAGCCATGGGGGTCTTAACATCTGTCAAGAGACACAATTGTTCGATTTGTCTTTTAAAGACTATCTTTCCATTTAAGTTTTTAACTTTGTTCCTCCTTAAAAATTATTTTGTATTAACATTCACTCATCAAACTGACATAAAAAGAAATAAGGAGGTGATTTTTATATTAAAAATCCCCAATACTCACCAGTTGTAGGGAAGCTTTCCATCCCTCTCTAAAGATGCAAAATTGACAAATGTTCCTGCTCCACACTCCCTGTTTGAAGAGAACCACAAAATCAAGATGATTGCTTGACAATACATTTTTCATCTTGACATAAGAGTGCCTTATGGTTTATCATCACATCATTAAAAGATGAAAAGAAAAGGCAAACCTAAGTTCCATTTGGTACTCTTTTGTATATAACTTAGCAAAACAAAAAGATAAAAAAAAAGAAATGATATTTTGCAAGGTTGCTGATCAAGTTGAGGTCTACTGTATTCAATTCACAATCTTTTCCAAATAAATCCAAAATAAATCTTTGTACTTTTAAGTATAATATTTTATATAAAACATTTAGAAGTAATGTTTAGAAACTCTTACAAAACCTGAGGCTTTTCAACTTTCAGAAAAATTTCTTTGTGGGATTTTGTTTTAAAGTATTTTGATTTACTGTGTATATATAGATAGATAGATAGATAATGGTTCAAACTGGATTGTTTGCTTCCTTAACTCTTTCATTCCTATCCTGTTGTCCACACTGTTCATCACTTGAGATCAAAGAGTGATGTGTATTGAGACAGGTGGGCTTCTGCCATGCTTCTTATCCAGAATGCTGCTCATTAATCTGTTAGTAAAAACACTGCTAGAGCTTTTTTCCTCCTGGAAGTGGAGTGGGGAAAAAGGTAAGCATATGCTCATTGTTCATATCTTTTCAATGTCTTGACTAACATCATGCATAAATAACATGGCTAGCTTGGGCTCATGCATCTCACTTTTTCTCAATTTGAGAGATTTTGATGTGCTTATTACTTCAGCTCTGTGCCTATTCTTTAAGTTAGGGTGTTCTAAGAATAGCTTTCTTCTTTTGAAAAACACACCAATATAATATCATATTGTATTATCAATTATGCACCATCAATAAATTTTTCTATGTCAATTTGTTATTTATGGGATTATTTTACCCTCTTATTCAGAGGTTCCTAATCTGGGGCCTAAGGATAAATTTTAGGACTTTAAGAACATATCAGAGAAAGTACATCTTTTTATTCATAATTTGTAATTTAATTTTATTCACAATTTGTAATTGAAATTTAGCAGTGGTAGTCAGCAAAACACTAATATCAGTACCCATCACTTGCTAACAATAGAATTTACAGATATTTTTACATAATACTCACAGACTTGTTACAGATATCTTGACATATTATTTATATTCATTACTAAGATGATATGAGCTACCAGATATATTGTTAAATGTTGATATTTAATGTACTAATAAAGAAGCATATAACAGTTTAGAAATATTATGCTCACTTTTTCAATATAATTTTATAAGTCTATATACTTTATTTTATGTAAAAAAGAAAGCATTATTCTTAAAGAGATCCACAGATTTCACCATACTCCCTAAGAAGATCATGGCACCCAAAAAAACAAGATGTTAAGAATCATTGTTTTCATGACAATTACAGTCATCATCTGCACCTGCAATGATGCCTTCATAAACACTACTGTTTCTATTACCATATCTATTACCATTCCCTCCTCAGTTACTACTGGGAGCTAACACTTACGGCCTCCTTCCCATGAGCTGAGTATGAAGGTCCTTCAGAAAGTGCATGGAAACATAGAATTAAAAATTCATGTGGTAAAAAAAATTAAAATCCATGCATATTTTCATAAGATATATTCCATGAACTTTTTAAAAAAGGATCATTTATTTATTTGAAAGACAGAGTTAGAGAGAGAGAGAGAGAGACAGAGAAAGATCTTTCATCTGCTGGTTCACTCCCAAATGGCCACGCAATGGCTAGAGCTGAAGCCAGGATCCAGGAGCTCCTTCCCGACCTCCCACATGGATGCAGGGGCTCAAACACTTGGGCCATCTTCCACTGCTTTTCCAGGGCATAGCAGAGAGCTGGATCGAAAGTGGAGCAACCAGGAATCAAACTGGTGCCCATATGGGATATCAGCACTACAGGTGCCAGCTATCCCCACTACTCTACAGTGCCAGCCCCATCCATGGACTTTTTGAAGACTGTCATTTCTGCACACTACTGCTCCTAACTACCCATGAATGTGAGGCTATTGTCTCTTCTCTGTACACACTCTTTCCTTGACTTCCAGAAAGGCCTCACACTTCTTAGTTTCCCTTCTACCCTGACTGCCTCTTGTCAATCTCTTGCTGTTATCTTGTTTTCCCTCTGAAAAGTCTCAATATTAGATTGTTCTAGTGATTAATACAGGACCCTTTTTTGTTGTTTGCAGCTACTTCCTGGATTTCATCCAGTCTGTTTTGAATATTATTTATATGCTAACAGCTCTCAAATTCTCACCTTCAGCCAATATTTCTCTCCCAAACACCAGACTTTCATGTTTAGTTGCCTCCTCCACACCTGCACTTGAAAGTCATCTCAAACTTAGTATTTTTGAAACTGAAGTCCTGATGGTCCCCTAACTCTGTTCACCTGGAATCCTGTGCCAGGTGATGACAACTCCATCCTTTCCGTTGCTAGAGCCAAAATCCCAGAGTCCTCTTTTCTTCTTTATTGATTCCCATTCCTCACCCAGTTTGTTGGCATATCCTGTTATTTTATTTTCAGAATATATCCAGAATCAGGAAGTTTCTTTCTGTGTTCCTTGCTACTACTCTGAACTGAAATATCACCATCTCCTCCCAAATTACTGCGGTGACTCCATCCACTGGTTCACTCCCCAGATGGCTGCAACAACTGGAGCTGAGCCAATCCGAAGCCAGAAGACGGGAGCTTCTTCTGGGACTCCCATGTGGGTGCAGGGGCCCAAGGATTTGGGCCATCTTCTACTGCTTTCCCAGGCCACAGCAGAGAGCTGGATCAGAAGAGGAGCACCCGGAACTAGAACCAGCGCCCATATGGGATGCCGGCACTTCAGCCCAGGGCTTTAACCCGCTGCGCCACAGTGCCGGCCCCTAGTATTTATTCTTATAACCTTTTACTTATGTGACCCTTTTACTTAAGTCTTTATTGTTTGTTGTTTCTTTTCTCATTAGAATATAACCTCTCTGAACATATAACATTTTGTCTGTTTCACATTCTTCCCTGTCCCAAGCAACCAGAGGAGTCTGACATCAGACAGCAGGTGTCAAATATAAAAACTTTATGGACTGCATATGATGAAAAATTATGCATAGATTTCAATCTTTTGCATCAAAATGGCTTTAGTTTTTAATTCTACTTCCATTACCTTTTGGAAATACTTTTCTATTTGTTAAATGGATGGTGTTTCAATGACCTGCATGCATTTACATAGAGTGTAAATTAATATTTGACCTCACAGAATGTAATATCAGAGCTCAACACTATAGCCATGGTGCAATTCCACCTCCCTCCATGTCCTTATAAGATTTATTCAAATGCCAATCTTCACAAAATTGAATTTCATATTGAGAATTAATCTTCCTTGTCTCATAGCTCTCAATTCTATCTTGCTTATGTTATAGGTCAGCTTATTCTTTTAAATGTATCCATTCATGTACATATCTCAAGTGAGGTTGTATGTTCCCAATGGATGACTTCAATGTCTGATTTTTTTGATATGCCATATTAATCACTGATTACATTAATATTAAGTGACATTATCTATGAATATGTGAATGATAGAACATTTAAATCAGAGAAGGATGTTGAACAATTCAGGAGGCTAACATTGGGCAAATATGTAAATTTGAACCAAATTTCCCAAAACTGGTAGTATTCAAACAAGAATGCTTTAAAAATATTTATTTATTTGAAAGTTAGTTACAGACAGAGATGGAGAAACCAAGAGAGAGATCTTCCATCCATCTTTCATGTGGGTGGCAGAGGCCCAAGCACTTGGGCCATCTTCAGCTGCTTTCCCCAGGTCATTAACAGAGGGATGGATCAGAAATGGAGCAGCTAGGACACAAACCAGCACCCATAGGAGATGCCTGTGTCACAGATGGCAGAGGTTTTTGCCTGCTACATCACAAAGCTCTCTTAAGGGAACTGATGGATTGTTCTGACAACATATAAGGGACTACAGAAAGTACTTAAGAATGTGCTGTGATAAGGAAGCACTAAGATAATAAATCAAAAGGCTTTATTAACTGCAAGAAAAATTAAACTAGCTGCAACTTTGAACAACAGGAAGAAAACTAACAGTGACCTCTAATGAACCTAACCATAAACACTATATTTAATAATAAAAAATTTTTTTTGACAGGCAGAGTTAAACAGTGAGAGAAAGAGAGAGAAAGGTTTTTCTTTTTTCCGTTGGTCCACCCCCCCAAGCAGAGTTAAACAGTGAGAGAAAGAGAGAGAAAGGTTTTTCTTTTTTCCGTTGGTCCACCCCCCCAAGTGGCTGCTACGGCCGGCGCACCGCGCTGATCCGAAGCCAGGAGCCAGGTGCTTCCTCCTGGTCTCCCATGCAGGTGCAGGGCCCAAGCACTTGGTCCATCCTCCACTGCCTTCCCAGGCCACAGCAGAGAGCTAGACTGGAAGAGGAGCAACTGGGACAGAATCCGGTGCCCCAACCGGGACTAGAACCCAGGGTGCTGGCGCCGCAGGCGGAAGATTAGCCTAGTGAGCTGCGGCGCCGGCCACCATAAACACTATAAATGCTTTCTGATTTACAGCTTAATAGAAGTAGTGAGGGAGCTGGCACTGTGGTGCAGTGGGTTAAAGCTCCAGCCTGCAGCGCTGGCATCCCATATGGGCACCAGTTCATGTTCCGGCTGCTCCTCTTCCAATCCAGCTCTCTGCTGTGGCCTGGGAAAGCAGTGGAAGATGACCCAAGTCTTTGGGCCTCTGCACCCATGTGGGAGACCTGGAAGAAGCTCCTGGCTCCTGGCTTCGGATCAGCTCAGCTTTGGCCATTGCGGCCATCTGGGGAGTGAACCAGCAGATGGAAGACCTCTCTCTGTCTCTACCTCTCTCTGTAACTCTTTCAAATAAATAAAATAATTCTAAAAAAAAAAAAGAAGAAGTAGTGAGAGGTTATCTCTCTCTAACCTCTATTTTCATTGACTCATTTCACTATCATATTGAACAGACTTACACCTTTCTTTAACTCTACTTGTGTCTAAAAATACCCAAAAGTAAAGGCCTTCTATATATGTGTTACTTAAAATGCCAAGATCAATAGCAAGAGGTCTGGCTTTGTGTAAACAAGCAAACTTTGCTTTACTATTTCACTGGAAGCATTTTCTAAAATGAGATTGAAAAGCCTAGTTAGGAAACTCACAAAGTAGAAATGACATTGAGAGTGACTCGGCGCTGTGGTGTAGCGGGTAAAGCCGCTGCCTGCAGTGCCGGCATCCCATATGGGCAGCGGTTCTGGTCTCGGCTGCTCCTCTTCCAATCCAGCTCTTTGTTTATGGTCTGGGAAAGTAGCAGAAGATGGCCCAAGTCCTTGGGCCCCTGCACCTACATGGGGGGCTGGGTGGAAGCTCCTGGCTCCTGGCTTCAGATCAGCACCCCCCCCAAGTGGCTGCTACGGCCGGCGCACAGTGCTGATCCGAAGCCAGGAGCCAGGAGCTTCCACCCAGCCATGGAGGCCATCTGGGGAGTAAACCAATGGATAGAAGACTCTCTCTCTCTCTCTCTCTCTCGCTCTCTCTCTCTCTCTCCTCTCTGTAAATCTGCCTTTCAAATAAATAATTAAAATTTTTTAAAAAGAATTGACATTAAGAACTGACATCAGATTTGCCACTTATACAAATTAGGTCTGTGAAACCATACATGTATAATAAGTAAAAATATTTATACGATTATGGATAAAAGGTGAACAAAATGTAGCTTACCTAGCCATCTGCAGATGTTTCTTCCTAAGAATGATGAGAGTAACAAGCAGCAGACCAATTAGAAGTGTGCTAAGGATGGCCAGCACTGAGATTACTACCACGTTAGGGTTCATCTCTGTAACTATAAAAAGAAGTCATACATTTGTTATCAGGTTCCACTATGTGGGAACTAACAGAACTATTAGTTGTTTTTCATCTAATCTTGACAACAGTGAGTTTATGAGGACAAAATATCTCTCAAGTCAACAATGAGCTCTTTCTGGTCAGTTATAACTACAAAGTAGACTGGTAAGTGGTATTCTGGTGTCTGGAAGCCTGGAGTCCATTTTCATGGTCTACAACATTCAGGATGTTCTTATATGGGGAAACTATAAAATATAAAGAATGCATGTGCCACAGTTTAAATCCATTTGAAAATGAAAAGATCTAAAAGTCATTATCATGTTTTATCATTGCTTAACATTTTAAAAACCTTCAAGGGTGGCAGGTTCTCACTTTATGCCTATGACTTCAGACTCAGAAAGCACAACTGTATATTCACAACTAATAATGTATATGAAAAAGGCATTAGCAAGCCACCATCTGTCACATCACTTAACACATCCCTAGAACAGGCATTCGGATAATCTGTGACCATATGTTTAGGGGTTTTCCATCTGCACAACTCAAGAGATTAAACCTATTAATAAGTTGTAGGGCCCTTAAGAATAGGGGCTGTTGTTTTCATCCACTGTATGTAATGAGAAGGCTACTGTGGAACTTAACACAGTGCCTAGTTCTTCACATGGTATTGAACAGGAAAGTATATTAGATATTTTTATACAACTCTTAAAGGTGGGCCATTCTTTACATTGATAATAAATTCACGGAACTGGTCAGCCATTTTTCTACTCTTTTGGGCTTATGTACCTCACTTACAAGTAAGTTTAATTATATCACCTGTTGCCCTTGGTTGCTGTGGAGGTAATGAGAAATGATGGACATAAAAGTAGCATTAGAAAAGTGTAGAAGGAAGCATGAATAAAAGAACATTAAAATATCTTTGAGCTCCATTTTTGTATTTTCTTGAAAACACAAAAATTAAAACTAAAAACCAATACCAACCAACCAAAAAATAAAAATTACAGCAATGAGGTCATTATAACCATCAGTGAATGTAACAGCTAAATATATGATTAAAATTACAGGAAAGAAACTGAACTCTGTAAATGGATAATGTGATAGTAGGAGTAATTTTACTACATGAGGCTTCATAGAGGTTCTCAGACTACAGAGTCAGACTCTAACCAACCAAAGGATAATGCATAGGGCAGTACCTTCAAAAGCTCACGAAAACTGGAATTGAGAGGTGAGTTTATTTTGGTTCAAAAAACATTGGAATCCATGCATAGATTTTTCATAATACACATTTTCTGTGAACTTTTTGAAGACTCCTCCTATGCATGGATTTCAAGTTTTTTGTATCAAAATAAACATCACTTCAATCCATTTTCATGGGCTTATCCTATCATACAACTCAGAAAAAAAATACAAGGAAACAAACAAAATTTGGTAGAACTTTAGTTAGTTTCTAATTTTCCTATCTACTCTTTCTGCTGGATTGGAAACTTTCCTGCTTTCACCTAGTATAGCATTGCCATTACTCGATCATTGACAGTTGAGGGCAAGGCTAAGACAGATGAAACTGAGTTCATCAGGGCACTGTGCCTAGCTGTGAAAGATGAGGATGGCCATGATGATGAAGCTGATGATAGCAAATAGCACTTGGACAGTAGATGTTACAGTTTTATGTATTTTATTTCTAAACTTCAAAGCAACCTAAAAAACTACATATTATTATTAGTCCAACTTTACAGGTGAACACAAAAACAAAAGCTCAGAGACAATAACTACCAAATAGTGGTAAGTGCATTTTGGGATTGAAATGAATGACCCCATGCACTGTAAAGCTTAAGATCTTTCAGCATAGCATTGGCCCCACTAAAAGGATAGATTATATATATAATATATATAGATTATATATAGACTATAGACAATATATAATATATAGATTATATATTGATACCATTAAAATGATAGATTATATAAAATATATATCATATATATGTATATGTAATATATGTAGACAATATAGAAAAATAACTTGCAAAGGCCAGATTCAACTAACATATAATTACCCATTGTTGAGACAGCTATAAATGTAGGAACACTGGGGCTGTCGTGGCTAAAGCTGGTGACACTACAGTTGTAAGCAGTGGCTGGAAGGAGACTAGAGATGGTCACAACATGAGAAGAAACAGCAACTGGCTCCTACAGATACAGAAAATAATAAATTTTTATTATCTTAATCTGTTTTGCTTTTTAATTATTTTTCATGGTTGAAGTCATCTATAGACAGAGTAAAAAAATTCACAAAATGAAAAAGGTTAGCAGGGAAACGGTTTCCTTTTTTCCTTTCTCCCAATCTACTCAACTCTCTTCCATGGAAGCAGCAATCATCATCAGGATTTTTTTGCCTTCCCATATATATTTACCATTGCATAAATATATAAGACATAGTTTAAAAAGTAAGTGATGACATAGGTTACATATGGTTCTGTTTACTTTGTTACCTTAGATTTTACCTTAGTTATCACTATGTTTGCCTCTCTTCCCACATCAGTACAGATTAAGCTGTTTTATTCCTTTTTCCTTTTTAAAGATTTATTTATGTATTTGAAAGAAGGATGTAGAAAGAAGGAAAGGCAATGGAGAAAGAGAGAGAGAGAGAGAGAGAGAGAGAGAGAGAGAGAGAGAGAGAGAATATCTTCCATTTACTGGTTTACTCCCCAAATACCCGCAACAGCTGGGACTGGGTAAAACCGAAGCCAGAAGCCTGGAACTCCATCTGAGTCTCTCATGTAGGGGTTGCAGGAGCCCAAGTACTCGGACCTTCATCTTCTGCCTTGCCAAGCCATTAGCAAGGAGCTGGATTGGAAGCAGAGAAGCTGGAACTGCAACCAGTACTCCTGTATGGGATGCCAGCATTGCAAGCGGTAGCTTAATTCACTGGGAAACAAAGCCGGCACTATTCTTTACCTCTTTGACTCGTAGCAGTTTTTTACACATTAAGAACACTACAGAAGACTACAATTTTTTTCTACAGCCTCAGCTTTTATATAGCATCCGCTAAAAGCATGGAGACTCTTTGTGCTCTGAAACACTTAGCGTTATCCCATTCTTGAGTAGAACATGCTGCTAATTTGGTAGACTGATGGCCAGGTGGGTGACAAGGACTACAGTACAATGTAAAAAGATGAGTCAGCATAACACCCTTTTTCAAAACAAGGATCTGAAACATCCCTGGCTAAAGAGATGACAGCCATCAGCACTTCTTTCACTATTCTATAAAAATAATGATCCTAAGGAAAGAAAGGTTTTTGCTAACAGGGCTCACTTATAATAAGCCGCTGACTAACCATTGTGATCTTAAAGGAAGACATCACTGGAGTTACAGAGAAAAGAATCCATTACTGGCAGAACAGTTATTTTCAAAAAGGATTCTTAGAATAAAGAAAAGATTCAGCTGTTCAGAACAGATTAAAAAGAGATAAGCTTGTAGAAGGGACTATCCAGAGGGGAAAAGAATCAAAGCAAATTATCTTAGCATTCAGTATGAAAAGATCTATATTCCTGGCAATTCTTTTTTTCTCAATCTCATGAACTTCATTATTTAAAAGGCATCAATTATTCATGTTCATAGTATTAGTCCATATACCATTATTACGTGAAGGGCTTCCCAAGACTGCCCCTTTCCTTCCTCCTCTGGCTGTAAAACATTTTTTTCTTATGACTTTGTTACCCTTAGACCTGCTGGTTCATCTCTGTCCTTCCATTAAGCACAACCTGAAGAACAACCCAATACTTATCATTTCTTTGATTTTTTTTTATTCTAAGGCTTAGCAATAACCTTTCAGCTTGGTTTTTCAACAAAATTGTTCTTTTTATTAACAAGATAAGCATGCTATTTTAAAAGAAATTTTCTAATAGTATGGGTCTCTCTTGTGGCACTTATATTTTACTTTACTCATTTTTATACTTATGTAATATCTACAACTATACATTTTTGAAGGAGACCATTGATTATACCATTTACATTCTACACATTGCCTTTTGGACTGATTTATATTTGTTAAATTATATTTATTTGGCAAGATCTTCATCCCTTTGATCAATGTAATGGTCAACAGGAAAAATGAACCTTGCATTACCCTTTCATATGTTCTGGAGTGGCTAAGGAGCAGGAACAAAAGATTAAAAATAAAAGATACAAGTTCTCACATCTTTTGGGCTTATTTTCAAAGCACACTGTTAATTTTAATTACTGAAACAGAAAAAGAACAAATGGTTTTCATTTTCCATAGTTCAAGGAAATAAAAGAGTTATTTTTCTCAGATAATTAGTCTTAATCAAAATTAATTCATGAAAAGAGTATCAAGATGTACAATACCTGGAGTTTGGTTTCCAGACCAGAGCCAACTTGTTGACAGAAGACTTCGAAGAAATCAGCTACGCCCTCTTCCACCCACAGCAGAGTCACTGAAGTCTGAGTTTTGTTCACTGCAAAGAGTGATTTTGGAGGAGCTGGTTCTGAGTAAAGAAAGAATGTTTTAAAAATTTAATTAGATGTTTTATTTTTTTCATATCATTAGTTATTGGAGTAAACATAAAAAATCCAAATGTAGGTAATTAAGAGCACCATAAGGTTTAATATTGCTTTGGAAAGAAATCCTTTCATGAAGATAGACAATCATCTGAGTAGGAAAGTAGAATATTTTGCCTTTTCCCTCTTCCATTTGATACTTCTCCTTTTGGGACACTTCTGTTTTCTACTTCAGCTTTATTATTGACATACTCTATTAATAGCTTTTGTGTCATCTGCACTGGAGTTAGCATTGCTCTGGTAATACAGAACCTCCAGGGTGAGAAACATAAATCTGTACTTAAAAATGACTGAGAAAAATAAAAGTGATGCCCTCCCTTCTAATGGAGACTTTGAGTTTGGTACTTGGCCAATAACCTGTCTTCCTTTCTCTGAAGACTCTTTGTAATAGCTCAGGCAGAGGACTGTCTTCTTGAAAATTCAGGAAAAACTGAGAGCTGAACAGATGACTTTCTTTTTTAAGGAAAAGATTGTTAGAAAGGGATTGGATGATTTAAAAAATGTTGGAGGCAGATTCGTAGTCTTAGACATTTTATCTTTTTTTTTTTTTTTTTTGACAGGCAGAGTTAGTGAGAGAGAGAGGCACAGAGAGAAAGGTCTTCCTTCTGCTGGTTCACCCCCAAAATGGCCGCAATGGCCAATCCGAAGCCAGGAGCCAGGTGCCTCCTCCTGGTCTGCCATGTGGGTGCAGGACCCAAGCACCTGGGCCATCCTCCACTGCCTTCTCGGGCCACAGCAGAGAGCTAGATTGGAAGAGGAGCAACTGGGACTAGAACCCGGCACCCATATGGAATGCCAGCGCCGCAAAGCGGAGGATTAACCAAGTGAACCACGTCGTCGGCCCCAAACATTTTATCTTGATCAGTGAATTACTGCATTAGTCAAGGAAGCCATGTTGCCTGTGGCCCTTCATACCCATTTCCAGCAATTGGGTCATTGGTTTTGTTGGCTTAAGACAAACCTATTCTCTCTCCTCCATTCTAGTATGGGGTTTGCTGTCTTGCTCCTCCATTCCTAAATTTCTTTGGGTCTTCTGTTTTGATGGCATCTTTCAGATCTTGCCATCCCTCTGGCTCCTCTAGCATGGAAAGTACTATGTTGATCTAAAATCTTAAGCCCAGTGCCTTGCTGGCTGCTGTCAGACTTCCCTGACATTGCTTGTCTGGCATGTATCTTTGCTGCCAGGTTTACAGAACAACCTATTCTGCCCACATCCATGCCCATATCAGACAACTACCCATCGTTTATTATTCGTATTTCTTCTCATTTTCTGCTCCATTCTCCCAAGACTGGCCTGGCTTCATTTTAGTGGTGCTTGAAGAAAGTCCTGAGAAGATTATGATCTTTTTCTAGTCTGCACCACTCATGGTCCTGTCCAGAACCAAGGATTATGTCAAAAATAACTCTTGACATGATTTATCTCATGTATGCTAAGCTTATGTCCAACTAAAAAGTGTATTTTTTTCCAGAGACAACCTGACAAGATTAGGTAGAAGGGCTGAAGGAATGAAGAAGTGAGTTAGTCTTGGGCAATCAAAAATTCATGGTAGGCGTCAGGAACCCCTTTTCATTTGCAATTAATTATCTACTCCTCCAGACATTGTCCCATTTCTCTTCTGAAGAAGACCACAGATGAAACATAGAGGTCCATTTCCTCTTCCCACATTCTTCAAAACTGTCATTGTTAACAGGGTTGTGAGTCAGGGAAGGAGTCTTCCAGTGACTGTGACTCATGGAGAACTTGGGTCTGGAAGCAAGGGTGAGGTTATTTGGGGCAGAGATGGATGATTAGTTCCTGTGAGCCTGGGTTTTTTCCTCCCTTAAAAATAACACCAAGAACTGCTCCTCAAAGTGAGTCTCTTGGATTAGATCAAATTCTTGGATTAGGATCAAATTCCCTGGGTTGTCTATATATTTCCTCTTATAGAATAGATAAAATCAGCCTAGTGATACAGTCTGAACATTGCCCAAATTCTAATCTCCAGATCTGACTTTTTATGCTTGCATTTCCATTCATTTATTATGTATGCCTACTTTAATATCTTACTGCTATTACAATCAAACTTCACAGTGTCAGAACTGAACCTGGCATCCTCTCCTCACAAATCATTTCTACTTTCCAACTACTCTTTTTTTTTTTTTTTTTTTTTTGACAGGCAGAGTGGACAGTGAGAGAGAGAAACAGAAAGGTCTTCCTTTTGCCGTTGGTTCACCCTCCAATGGCCGCCGTGGCCGACGCACTGCAGCCTGCGCACTGCGCTGATCCGATGGCAGGAGCCAGGTACTTCTCCTGGTCTCCCATGGGGTGCAGGGCCCAAGCACTTGGGCCATCCTCCACTGCACTCCCTGGCCACAGCAGAAAGCTGGCCTGGAAGAGGGGCAACCAGGACAGAATCCGGCACCCCGACCGGGACTAGAACCTGGTGTGCTGGCGCTGCAGGGTGGAAGATTAGCCTAGTGAGCCGCGGCGCCAGCCCCAACTACTCTTTTTTTTTTTTTTTTTTTTTTATCTTTTACTTAATGAATATAAATTTCCAAAGTACGACTCATGGGTTACAATGGCTTCCCCCCCCATACCGTCCCTCCCACCCACAACCCTCCCCTTTCCCACTCCCTCTCCCCTTCCATTCACATCAAGATTCATTTTCGATTATCTTAATATACAGAAGATCAGCTTAGTATACCTTAAGTAAGGATTTCAACAGTTTGTTCCCACACAGAAACATAAAGTGAAAAATAATAGATGATTTTTTTTAAATGATGATGAAATCAGATCAGACCTATTGTCATGTTTAATCCCAGTGAGAGTCAAGTTGGGAATTGATAATTTCTTTTTTTTCTTTTTTTTTTTTTTAAGAAGATCAGTTTAGTGTACATTAAGTAAAGATTTCAATCGTTTGCACCCCCATAGAAACACAAAGTGAAATATACTGTTTGAGTACTCGTTATAGCATTAAGCCTCAGTGTACAGCACATTAAGGACAGAGATCCTACATGAGGAGTAAGTGCACAGTGACTCCTGTTGTTGACTTTACAAATTGACACTCCTGTTTATGGCATCAGTAATCTCCCTATGCACCAGTCATGAGTTTCCAAGGCTATGGAAGCCCCTTGAGTTCTCCGACTCTTATCTTGTTTAGACAAGGTCATAGTCAAAGTGGAGGTTCTCTCCTCCCTTCAGAGAAAGGCACCTCCCTCTTTGAAGACCTGTTCTTTCCACTGGGATCTCACTCACAGAGATCTTTTTGCCAGAGTGTCTTGGCTTTCCATGCCTGAAATACTCTCATGGGCTTTTCAGCCAGATCCGAGTGCCTTTAGGGCTGATTCTGAGGCCAGAGTGCTATTTAGGACATCTGCCATTCTATGAGTCTGCTGAGTATCTCACTTCCCATGTTGGATCACTCTCCCCTTTATTTATTCTATCGGTTAGTGTTAGCAGATACTAGACTTGTTTATGTGCTCCCTTTGACTCTTAGTCCTTTCATTATGATCAATTGTGAACTGAAATTGATCACTTGGAATAGTGAGATGGCATTGGCACATGCCACCTTGATGGGATTGAATTGGAATCCCCTGGTATGTTTCCAACTCTACCAATTGGGGCAAGTCAGCCCGAGCATGCCCCAAATTATACATCTCTTCCCTCTCTTATTCCCACTCTTATGTTTAACAGGGATCACATTTCAGTTAATTTTCAACACTTAAGAATAACTGTGTGATAATTACAGAATTAAACCAGTCATATTAAGTAGAACAGACAAAAAAAAATACTATGAGGGATAATGTATTAAGTTGTCCATTAGCAGTCAGGGCTATGCTGATCAAGTCACCATTTCTCATAGTGTCCATTTCACTTCAGGAGGTTTCCTTTTTGGTGTTCAGTCAGCCCAACTACTCTTGATTGTCTTATAAGTATCACCATTCTTTGAATTGTCTAAGCCAATCATCTTAAGGCCTTCCTGTTACTTCCCAGTCCCACATCTTTTACAGTTCCTGTTTTCTTTAAATTTTTTTATTACATGTCCAGACTTTTGACATCATACTCATTGATCATTGTAATAATTCTTTTTCCTTTTTGCCTGCCTCAAAAATGTTCATTCTCCATTTGGACAGTGATAGTTTCAAATCCAATTCATGTTGAACCCTAACCTACCTGTGCATTGTCCATGCACATGCCAAGTTTTAAAGATTTACTTAAATTGGCTACATGCTTCTCATCTAGCTTCACCAGCATTCCTCCCAACAGACATGCTGCCCCTAGCAATGGCAGTATTTTCACTGACTTTCTTACCTTTAGTCCTTTCTCAAGTACACTGAGTTAGTGTACTCTTTATTTTGCTCATTCTAAGATCAAGACAGAGCCTTGTCTGTTTCCTGATAGACTATCCCTTCTCTGATCTCCTACTGCTCTTAAAAAAATTTCTATTTAATTTGTTTAAAGTCCTGATTCTACTTGATCCTCGTAGATTCTTTAAGAACAAGAACAATGTGTTATAAAGTATTTTGTCTTCACCTTTAACTATCCACCTTTAGGCATTCATGCAATCTTATTGATTAGCTGATTTAGAATATGAGTCAAGATTTATTAATTAATAGCATCAGGATTCAAGTATCAGTCAAGACAGACATATGAGGGCTCAATTTTTATGTTCTCTGCCTTTGTTATAATGATGATGTTGACAAAATAAATTTCTTGACTTCTGAGAGGCTTTGTCAGGGCCATAACTTTCTCTTATATGTACAGAGCATTATCATTTATTAGATTTGGTGGGAACTGTACTTAAATTTCACTACTTGAGACAGCATTGTGTCTTAAATATATTGAGCCCTTGAAATGTGGCTAGTTCAAATTGAGAGGTGTTGTCAATGTAAATTACCAATTGAATTTCAAAGACTTAGCATGAAAAAGCAATAAAATATATCATCA